ATGAATTATATGAATAAAGATCTCATTGTTTGCCATATCTTTTTTCTATTCACCAGATCCACCAAATTAGTGAAAATGATACCAAAATGTCACTCTCTCATACTAGTCATATAAATCATTTTCAATAGCCAATAGGAGTCATCTTTAGAATGGGACGAGTTACTGTTCGACTTTCTCTCTTTATGGGACCAATTAAGAGAAAACTCATTTTTGTATGGGACGAAAAAAGAGAGCAAAACAGGGACAAATTTTTGTGGGCCTAATAATGGTCCTAATCAAGAGTAGACCAATCGATTATGTTCTAGTATAGAAATAACAAAAGATTAAATTGTTTTGTGTTCTTAAACAGATGGTTTATATACGATATATCTTGAAGTTAGATGATTCTTTCTCGCACGAGACGACAACAAAAGAAAATATTCTTTAAATGTACCATTGAGAAATTATCAAGAAAAAGAAAGCTTATAGATTACTTTGATTTCTTTTTATTTCTCGTTCTCGAAATTCGTATGAATTTTTTCTCTACTATTTTGAATCATAACAACAAAAGACTTTAGAAAGTATTTATGTGAATAGAGTCTATTTTTTTATTGAGTCCTTTTTATTTTCTTCGCACTGATTGAATGTAAGTCGAGTATTTCTTGCAATTAGGGTTATAATAATAAGCATAAATATTTATACTGCGAAGAAAAAGATCAAAGGATACTTAATAGACTCGTTAAATATTAACAGAGTTTTATCTTGTTAAACAAATGATTTATCCGTCATTAAAAAATGTATTCTGTGCAGATCAATATGCGATCCAATGGCGTTTTATCGAAAACGATACCACACGCACTTTCGTGATTTAAAAATTTTGATTAAATATGCAAAAACTTGGAAACGTCACATAATGAAAATAGCAACTATTTCGTGTTTTTCTTACAAATGCTAATTATATAACGTTTGAGATGAATATTCTACTTGTCTTTCAAACTATTGTTCTCTGTTCAGTTTTGATAGTGCTTAGATGAGAGCATCATTTATGTTGAAGTGTAACTTCAATATTTTGGCTTTTTTTTTATTCGAAAAAAATTAAATAAAGAAAAACCACAATAGGCATTGACTTCTATCAGTGTCTCCAAACAGCTATCAACATGATTCGTTTTCGCTATTGTAACTTGCGGGTTTTTTTTTCATAGGAAAACAGCATTCAGGAACTTAGAGTCAACGGCAACCTATGGCTTACTCGCTAAGATCTCCGAGTACAGAAATTAAAACATTTTCTCGATTAGCTGTCATCCAAAAGCCTAGGAAAGGAGACAGGTTTTTTGAAAGATGTCTGTAGGTTTTGGAATCAATCTTGTAAAATCAAGACTTTTAGTTGTTTCTAAAGATGACATCAAAGATTTTTGTAGAAGTGATAGTTTTCGACTAATGGCTAAACTTTTCAGGTCTCAAAAAGAACTTTTGAATAGAAAAAAAAAATGTTTCCTAGGGCACTAATCTCGTATACTGCATGTTACATTACCAAATTTTTTTCTTTGCATAAAATTAAATTTTCGATTATACTCCATACAGTGAAATTAGAATCAAGAGTGTTATGCATTTTACACTTTATTTTTCCATATAAATACAGGAAATCAACAAGTTCTATCTTGCACTTCCTATATTCGAAATCATTTTTCTAGAAATTTATCTAAAATAAATTTATGAAGCTAGTATAAATAGATATATAAGTTTTAAACCCGAGTTCATAGGTAAATTTCGCTGTTGGTATTCAAAAAGATCACTTTATCAAATAATTATATGTTGATCCATCAATTAATTTTATCCACGAGAAAACGTTTGGCTGATGATGCTAGTCTCTTATATTATATGATTGAATAAGAGACAATTGAATAAATATTGTTATCCAGCTGACATTTCACATACAATATGTATATATATATATCCCTGCTGTGCAATCAATCAATCAAAAATATTCCTCCTCTTTTTTTCATGTCGATGAAGCATTTGACAGTTTCCAACTGTGCAATATTGAATATTTTGAATGAAACATGAATATGAACAATTCTATGATAATTTTACCTTTCTTGTTTTTTCTCTTCTTCTTCTTCTTCTTTCCTTCATTCATTCTTAAAGAAATATTTCTATTGATGGTTATCGTGCAAGACGAAATTGACATATTAATTAGTTCAATGCACGAGTCTCCTGTTGTTTTAACTTAGTCGCTTTCCAACTGTTATACTTTCCTTTTATGACATTCAATACAATCAACTGATGGCAATAACTTCAAGTCATTTTTAATTTTTTAAATATATCATCAGCATATTTCTTAGCATGGAAAAAATGAAAACCCAAGCACAACAACAAACAGCAACGAAAATCATGAATAAAAAGAAATCACCAACAGAATTTGTTGCAAGACGAACACCACCATCGATTATTCAAGTTGAAAAAACACGTCGTGTTGCCGCTAATGCACGTGAACGCCGTCGTATGAATGGTCTTAATACAGCATTTGATCGTCTACGAACGGTTTTACCTTCTTCGATGTTTCAACAACAACGACGTTTTTCAAAATATGAAACATTACAAATGGCTCAAAGTTACATAGCTGCACTTCAATCAATATTAAATCATAATACATCATCGGATAATGATCATAGTTTTGTAAATGTAAGTAGTACAACCGATGAAGATATGGATGATCAAACTGTGAACTATTAGAATAAAAACAAAACATATTAGACGATCTTTTTGACTGATTCCTATTATAATCATGGCAATTGTATTTTATCAGAAAAAAAAGAATTTGGCTTGACAAAGAAACAAAAAATAATAATAATAATAAAGAGAGAGCAATAAAGCAAACGATATAAAGCACGAAACCTGAGAGATGGACATACGCATTCACAAACGAGAAAAACACATTTTCGTAAAATCAAAAATCATTCAGAGAGAGAAGCTAATATTAAGCAAAGAAAAATATGAATTGATATCGATGATCTAATGTGGACGAATTTTACGATGATGATGATGACGATGGTGATGCGTGCGTTTGAACACTACTTGGTAACATGTCATTTAGATTTGGATGGCTCTTTTAAATGATGTTCCATATTTGAACGAGCTTTTTGTAAAACATCTAACGTTGGTCGAACTAAAATAGAGAAAAAACGAACCGTATTAAAAAAAACATGATTCTCTTGAATTTTTCACATCGCTTGGATGAACACATAAGAACAATTCTTTTGCATTCGTAGCTAAGATAGTACTCAAATATTTAAAGATACCTCAACGTAAACTATGTTTCTTGTTAATGGTATTGGAATGTTTGTCGAGTGGCGAGAAAATGAAATTTTCTAAGTACTATTTTGAAAACTTTGAATACGATTAGAAACTGTTAAGTGTTCGGAAGGTACAAACATTAGCATTAGAGATCACATATAAAAAAAACGTAATAAAACAAAGAAATAATTGTAAGCAAACAAAAAAAAACAATTCAATCATGCATAATAAAATATATATTGACTCATGCATTAAACATTCAATTATCTATTAGTGAAATTTATTTGACAGGTGCAAAGGAATAGAAATGTTTATATATAAAATGTATATTTGTCGCTTGTTTACACACACACACACAAAACTTACGCAGCAATGCCAAATAATCGTCTGTATTAGCTTTTTTGTGATTTGCTTTCTGCAAATAGTTTAGATTAAATAAGAAAATTGAAAGGAATTTATTTTCGTCTCCTCATATATTCATATACGGGGGAAATAAAAATATGAAAAAATGAACTAAGCAGAAGCTTGAGCAAATACTTACTGTTAATTGAGAAAGTACTTGATCCATATACACTGATTGTTCTTTGTATTTTTGTCTTAAACTTTGTAGCTCTTGCATATATTTTGATTGAGAAATTCGAAGTTCTTTATTCTAAAAAATTTGAAAATATAAAACTTTGTTTTAATATTAGAAAGAGAAATTAACCTCATTGGCAAGACGTGGATCATTAAATGGATGTTCATCGTAGCCATTCTTAACCGGTAGATATGCTTTCCAATATGCTTCAATAAATTGATAAGCTTGTTCAAAGCGTATAAGACATTGATTAAGGGAATTTAAACGATGTTCAAGCCATTCAATGGATGGTTCAGTTATAGACGAAGTCTAATTGAATAAGAAAAAAAATTAAATTAAGAAAAATTTGGAAATTTACACATTGATTAATGCAAAAAGAGAAAAAAATCCAAATCTTTATTTGCATTATTAATATTCATAAGGAAAATAAAATATCGATGAAACTAAATTTTATATGTCAAACAGAAGCTTGATTCTTCTTTCTTGTAGGTATCTAAACTGAAGAATTTCCAACTTTGAAAAATTCTAAATACACTGTGATTTGTTGTAGCATCGATAGCTGGATCAATAAATGTTTCTAAAAGATTTGATCTAGCTCTTCAAGAAATCATCTCGATTTAATTATTGTTATTAGTTTCTTTTATTTAAATATATTGCTGACTAATGAATAATTGACATGTAAGAAACCGTAGATAGACGGGAAAATAGATGATCGTATTGGATATTGTAATGAATATTTAATCACATAACGATAAATATGAAATATTAGACAGAGTTCTTTTCAATTCAATGTTGCATAAACTCACGATTTAGAATAAAATCAGATAAAATGTACAGCGATAGATAGAGAAAAACAAATTCGACTAACAATATGTATATGTTCATTTGTGAATCAAAATTCTTGTAATTAAGAGACGCAAAAATACTTTGAAAAAAGAACAAGTTTTGCTGGTCAGCTAAGTTATAACACAATTTTATTTTGGTAGATAGAAATTAAGATTTCCAAAATTGAAATCATCTTGATTCACACTAGATATTGTGTAAGAGTCAGTAAGATATCGTAACCTTCTTTATATCCGTCAATTAAAATATTATGCATGAAAAAGAGAAAGAATTGATAATCAAACATACGAATTTTGATCGAAGTTTTTCTTTAATTTTAACTTCAATTGCTTTTAATTCAATTTTGATATCAGCCATTAATCGCCGAAGATTCTCATGATTTTCTAATTCTCCAACAATATACATTTTTCCAAGAGCTAAAACAAAAATTGTAAAATTATTTATTTCAACAAATCAAAAGCAAGTAGTACTTATTCGTTCAGGTTCTATAATAACAAAATTAAATATTTTCAAATAATTAAATTAAATTAAAAATATTTTTCACTTACCAAGTTCTGTAGTTGACGATCCGAGAGGTCTCGCACGCTTTTCATCAGTTATACTTGTAAATGATATATTTTCAGCACCAACTGAACCAGATGCATCAATAATGCGTAGATCAGGGTATGATACGCCATGACCACAAAATGTAAATTCACGTTTCGTTTGGGTTACACGAATATTTTCATCTAATTTAGCTTGTAATTCATTTTGTTTTTGAATACTTTGTTCAAGATCATGACGAAGACGACGCATTTCTTCTAATAATTCGGACATTTCACTTGTTCGAATAGTCATTTCACCTTTACCACCATCTAAATGTAAATTATTAAATAATTCAAACTAAAAAAAAAGAACAGCATAAAGTGTATATACCACGATGCGAAATTTGTTTTTCTAATAAGCTAATTTGTTTTTCATAATGATCAATTAAATCTTTTTTACTGTTTATGTCATTATATAATAGTTTTATTTCACCATGCAATCTAGAAAAGTAAGAGAAGATAAATAACAGAATTATTATCTTTTGTAACTGAACCTTTGATTTTGATCTTGAGCTTGATCAAGTTGAGTTTTTGTTGATTTTAATAAATCGAGTTGTACTCGTAATTGACGTAAATCATTTTGTTTAGTATTCAAGTCATCAATTAAATCTGTATGAGCTTTTTCAGAATTAAGACGACATTGATTTAGTTCATATTCATAAGTTTTTTTCAAACTAAAATTTATTAGTAAAAGAACAAATTATTTTTCTCTGAGATTACAACATTAGACACAACAACATCAATTGGAAATTTCATTAAAAATGATACGATAACAGTTCGCACTGATACGGATTGTAAAATATCTAACTAGCATTTCTATGAATGAGATCCTTGAAATTTAAATACAAGATTTCCTAGCAAAAGTATTTTGAAAAATAGCAAGAAAAAACCGCTTTCTTAACGAGATTTAATCGTAGCGGTTCTATTCACTGGTTAGCTTCAATGTTTTAATCTGTATTTATAACTCAAGGAAGTCATTTGAATAGGGTCATTTTACGAAGATTTCTATACAAAGTCATTTCCTTTGGATTCAAAAATGCTATTTTTTTGATAATAGTTTCCAAAGATACTTCCAATAACTTTCTACACGATATATTTTCAAAAAGCAAATAAAAAGGATGATCATTGATATTTATTCTGATAATGTTTTTTTTCTATTCAAATTCGAAATGAGCTACAATAAATTGATCCTTCGTTGCGTGCTATTTTCTCACTAGATGAATAGTAAGAATAAAGATAAATTTACTCATTCAGTTCTTTTGTTATTTGTCTAATTTGATCGTCTTTATCACTCATTTGCCGTTGATATTCTTGTTGCGTTATAGTACAACGAGTGCTAAACAAATTAAAAATAAAAATCGATAATGATGAACTCTTATGTATTCAATTGAAAATGCTTTTACCTATCCATAACACTTTCCACGCCGCTGTCTTTTTTGTTCAGCGATGTTTCTAAATAATAAGCATAGAAAAATAGTTAATATAGTGTTAAAGCATTTTTGAGTTATATTTAGGTGATGGTTAAGATATAAAAGTGAACAAATACACATGTAATATTTGATCTCATTTGCTTTTCCTAGCTTAAGTATAGAGCAACAAAAGCAAAAGTTGAAATCAATGAGTTTATGTTAACGAAGTGCATTATGTTTAAGAAAAAGAGAAAAACAGCACAGATTCAGGATAACACTATGCTTTTTGTTCTAGAACCGACGTGTAATTACAATATATTATCATTAATCATTTCCTTCTGTCGGTCTGTCTAGAAAATTGATTTCATAAATAATATTTTAATAAAATTCAAAACAAATAATGCTAACATACTTTTTGTTTTATCAAATTCCTGTGAAATATTAACATTTACGTCGATTATTAAATCATCAGTTGCATGCGGTTTTTCTTCATAAAATATTATTTGATGGTGTTCATATTTCTACAAACAAATTTTAATCAGAAAAGTCTGTCAAAGAAATGGATAATATAAATCCCAAGTGTAGGTAGAGAAACTTCATTGTTATATCAATTTAAAAAATAAAGATTGTGATCGATTTTAACGACACCAAGAAAGCTAGCTTTTGTATTTTTACAAAACTTTTTCATAGAGACAAGTCTCTATAAAAAAAATGTACTTTCATTCTCTCATACGAATATAAAATCTACCGATATTTATCTTTTAAGATATCAACTTTAGAAACTATTAAATTGAAAGTTAATTTTGATTTTGAGATCAGGATTTTTGTGATCCTATGGAAAAGTGTTATATTATTCAAAAACAAAAAGTTGTGTTGATACAGAATGTCTACAATAATATTCTAAGAGAATGACATCGTTTTAGAATATTTAATGTTCACTAGAGTTTATATAATATTGATTATCTTAATTCTAATTGATGAATTCTTATTGTTAACAAACCTTAGGTATTATTGGTGCATGTTGATTTGAACTGTTAATTGATTCTTCAACAAAACTTCGTTGCTTTTTAATAAGATTTTGACGTCGCTCCGATTGCAGTTGTTTTAATTCATTCACTTTATAGAGTTTTTCAAGTTCGTTTTTAAGTAGATTCGATTCATTTTTATAAGTATTAATAACAAGATTTAAATTCTAGAGGGAAAAAACAAATAATTATATTAACTTAATGTCGAAATATCGTCTGGGAAAAGTGTTAAAATAAAAAAAGTAGCAGGTTTAATTCATTCATCTCCAAAAAGATCCCAATCAATACAATTCTGTTTATTAAATAATTGAAGCTTTCGGTTAGATTATTATCAAAGTCGGTTGAATATCAGATAGCTACTCCTTTCCATTCTTACACACTCTATGTAGGGATTCTCATGTCACACGATTGACAGTAGGTAGATATTCCTAAAACTGGAATCTATATCGGAAGATTTTATCTTTCACCATATTATCAGATCCATCATCAATCAGTTTTTTTTTAGGAGTTTCTCATTAACCATTTTCAAAAATCTGCTTACCTTGTTTTGTTCAGTTAGTTTTTGTAATACTGTTGGTTGAATTATATATGGTACATGTAAACGAACTCGTTTTTGTAATTGTTCAATATATTTCTTTTGATTACGAATTATTTCTCGTAGTTCGCCTATAGATTTACTATCATTAGAATTATCTGTCGTTTTATCATGTGATTTAATGATATTTATAAATGAAGACATTTTTCGACCAGTATCTTCGGCACTGTGTCGACGTTGTCGAATCGAAGAGGACTCGATTAGACCTAAATAATTAATTTTCTTATTAAGAATGAATAGTTAATCAAGTCAATTTAAACTATTTTCGATAACTATTCAGTTTCTATCATCATCATTTTTAGAATCATTTTGAAACAAAGCATTCAATTACGTCGAGTTCATTAACATGAATAATATATTTGATACTAAAATTTCATTTTTTATCTTAATAGAAAAGTCTAGTTAGATAAAAGCTTATCTTCTATTTATATATCTAAAGTTACATGATTGCATTTCAATTTTAAAGTATTCGTAGCTAGATAAAATATTGAAAGCATGGCCATCCATCGTTCTCATTCACACATACTCACAGTTACCAATAGAATAATTACGACTGTATGATATTGAAAACGAGTGTTATTTCAGCAAAGATTTTCTTTGAATAAATTTCGTATTGAAGTCGTTCACTATTATTTTTGTTTTATGATAGCCTTCAGATTTATTCTACTCAATCGAAAATTAGCAAAATCTCGTGATTATATAGGAAATAGAAACGAGTATTTTTCATGAAGTTTGTCAAAAGCGTATTTTTAAAAGAAAACAAAACTACGAACCAGCATCATATAATAATTTGTAATACTTGATCAATTTTCGATAATGGTGTCTTGATTGATTTTCAAAACGATGGCATTTTTCTTTAAGACGAATTAACTGTTCGTGCCATTTGATGTTTGCGCATTGCAAAAGTTCTGTGGGGGATTTATTAGTCCTCGATGATAGTTCAGTAGCTGATAATGACACACCATTATTCAATAGACTAATATGTAATTCTAATCATTGCAGACAGAGAAGGAGAGAATGTGCAAGCAATCATTTCAAGTGAAGAAGATTACGAAAAAAAGAAATTTAGAATAGTAGAATGTTAGAACAGTGAAGACAAGCATAAAGCATCGATTGATATCAAAGAGAAAGTAACGAATCATTAGACAAACACCTGATGATGATCTCGAAATCGCATTGAGCACAGCAGTACGAGTATTATTAGACCGATTTTGTTTTGCTTTTAATGCTTCAAGTTCATCATGATAATTGGCTAATTCAAGAGTTAATTCTGCTCGAGTATTCGAACCTTGGATATCGAGTAATGCATCAAGTTTACGCCATAAAACTTGATTAACATATTTTTGACGTGCTAATTCTTTGCGTACATCGAGTAATTGATTGTGTAATTCGGTTATATTAGGTGTTTTCTCTGTTAATTATATACTCACGTTGAAAAAATCATTTTTATTTTATTTAATAAGCGCAAGAAGTAGAAATAATTGCTTGTATTTATTTATTTTTAACTACTACATTAGAAGAACTCCATAAACTTACTTGCTAACTGTTGGACCAATCCTTCGTTGTCTTGTAAAGCCATTTCAAGTTCATATAGGAGTTCTTCACGATTTAGATGATCAAAATTCATTGATCTTGGGCGACCTGAAATTAAATACATAAATCAGGAAAGATTCTTATAAAATGATCGTGATATTTTTATTACGCTAACATTGATACGTCGAATCTTTGCTTTCAAATTCGAACTAGATATGTCATAGAGACTCTAATAGGTTATGAAAACTATCAGATCAGTTCGGGTTAATAACCTATGTATGTCCATCAAGATTATTCATTTTTACTCAGTTTTGCAATATAAACCCATTGGTTTTCTTTTGAACAGTCAACATGATTGTACTCTATAGGCTTAATTCTTTAGATACGGTAGGACAATGAACTTTCGAATTTCGACTTCAACATTTTCATAAAAAAATTGTTTTTTTTCTTCTAAGATAAGAATATAGAATCTGTAGGATGACTATACCTTAATATATGAAAATTTCAAAATAAGTTACTCTCATCTAATTTTAGTTCAATGTTAAGTTTTAATTCGAAATTGAATAATCTTTTTTATTGGCCTCTCTTCGATATATCATAATATCATATTTTAAATAACGCCAATAATGAACTATACACTTGAACTAATTTTGATTATTCATAATGAATAAGGACCTGTACGATCCACATATACGAAGATAAAAAATCATTGATTCATTGGAACGAGAATTCCCCTCGTGAGATGACTTCTTAAGCTCAAGTTTATTATATACATGCACTTATATGAATAGAATATATCTGATTGTTCGACATCATTTACTTCGACATTATGGTTAATGATCTATTGATGAAGATATATGGTTGCTTTACTCAAAGACTCAAAATGAAATACCATATTTTTTTCGACATATCCAATAACCCAATAGATTCGATTCATGCATCCTTCTGCGATAAGTAATACTTGGATTTTGCTTTTCATATAAATGTATTTTATCGGATTAGTATCGAGAGAATATTAGAAACGAACAACTTACGTTGAACTTCAACTCGTTGAGCATATTGAACAGTGGACGAGTCAACCTAGATAAAATAATGTGTTTAAACTAGTCAAAATTCAAGAAACGTACTCGTCCACTTGGAATTTTATCACTACGAGTTCGATCTAATTGTCTTTTAAGTTCGTCAATTAACTGAAATAGAGAGAAATAAACAACAATAGAAGATATAGAAAATTTCTCTGATTTACATCATCTTTCTTTTGAAGTTCTAATTTTAGGACAACATTGGCAGGAGCTCGTGCTCCTGAATATTCACTTCTTGAATCTTGATCAGATTCACGAGATTTTGAACGTAATTTATTAATTACTGCTTCTTTAGCGAGATCAGTCTGTCGTAATTTCTGTGCATAAAAATAAATAAATAAATAAGCAGTATATTTTATCTTTCTAATTTACATCTATTTCATCATCTTTTGCAACTAATTTTTTACGTAAAGAAACAATAGTTTGATCGCGATCTTCTAAATCGGCTTTATATTGATTTTCCATTTGCTGTCAAAGTAGAAACAATTATAGTCACAGTAAGCAAACTCGAAAGGATAAAAAATAATAAAAACAATCGACTTACTTCATAATGAAGTTGTGTTCGATTATAATCACTTTGAAAAGTATTATGGCTTTGACGAGTTTCTTTTAACGTTCTATCAGAATCATCTATAGTACGTTGAAGATTCTAAAATGAATTAAGAAAAAAACTTTCGCTTTTTCCGTTCATTTATTTATTATACAATAGCATAGGTGCTTTTGTGAATGAAAAGGAAGACTATGTGTAAATTTAATGTTTGTTGCGGCTGAAAACTAGATATTTTTGTCTGTTCTTGTTCTTTTACTTTAAATTGATAAAGTAGTTGAGTTTTCCTGCTGTTCTTCTTTTTGTTTTCATTTTTATACCAGTAGTCAATGGCAAAATTAACCTCATAGAATGCCTTTTTTCTCTTTTAATAGCCGACAATGAGAACATATAGCGTTAGTAGTGTTTACGAAAAAGATATTAGACAAAGCATGTGCACATATGTGAATAGGTTTGTTTCTTTTTGCATACGAGAATACTGTATGTTTCTTACTCGAAGTGAATCAATACGATGCTTTCGTTTCTAAATGTCACTCACAGTATCTTATGTTAATTTCTATCTAATTTAATACTACAGATTTCATTGTAGTTTCTATATTACCTGTATAGAATCTTCTCGATGTCGTAGTTGAGCTTTAAGATCTTCAATTATACCTTGATAGTGTGCAATTTGTTCCGGCGTTATATTTCGAATCTAAATTCGTTAATGAAAATTACCATTAAAAAGAACTGAATGAAATATTTTACTTGAGTCATTTCTAATTGTCTTTCTAATGTTCTGATTCTATCCAAATGAGCCTGATGTCAAAGAAAAAACTGAAAATTTCTTTGTCTTTCTCCATTGATATACGAACTTCGTTTTCTTCAATTGCAATATTTAAATCAACAGTTAATATATCACGTTTTTGACGACAATTATCAAGTTCATGCTGTTGAGTCTAGAAAAATTCCAAACGAAAATTTAGTTTTTGAAACAAAACAACTTTCTATACATTAAGAGATTGTTGAATTTGTTGTAATTTAGCATTGGTATTATTAATTTCACGTTCTTGATCACGAATAACGGTTTGTAATTCACTTATATGACGTTCGTTTTCAACAATAATCAATTTTTTTTCATTTAATAATTGTTCACTTTTTTGATCACGTATTTGACACTCTTGTCTTAATATTTCAGAACGAGAGGTATTATTTGAATTACCCTAGATTGGAGATTATTTCAGGTTGTAATAGAATATAAATTAGAATTATTGAACTAACGTATTGAATACTATTTAGGAATCGATCAGCTTGTTGGTTTCTGATTGGAATTGATTCACTATAAACTTCAGTAAAACGTTCTCCTGGTGCGGCTTCTTGTTCTAATGATTCAATGCGAATCTACAATTAGGAGCGAATAAATTTAAAAAAAAAGAAAAGACTCATTTCTATTTTTCAATAGAACGTACTTCGAAGTCTAATTGAAGGTCTTTTGGTTCATACGAAGATTGAGCATGTTGCAGTTCCTTGAATAAACATAGATTTTCATTCAATTAATATTTTAGCTGATTGTTATTACTTTGATTATATTATCTTTTTCAAGAAGTTTTCTTTCAAGTGTATTGATCTAAATATATATATATAGAAAGTAGTTATTGATTTGACTTAAGAGTTCAATAAAATTAGGATTTTTTTCTTTCTAAAAACATTCTCACGTTTAATATCAAAACATAAAACGAACTTTTTTCTTTCTCATCTGAGAGAGATTCTGTTCTAGCTATAAAAATGAAAGTAAAATTATCAATGTGTTCTGGATAAATAATTACAATTGTTCTAAACTATATATTCTCAAAATATTCTATTGTTAACAATAAAAACAAAATTAGATATGCTTGAAGCATGTTCATTTCAGACAAAAAAACCTTCACCGAAATATTCAGCGTACTGATCTATGAAAAAGTCATTTCATGTAAAAGCATTTATTCATTTCATAATGAATATGTTATGCAAATTACTTGTGACGTAATCAATTTTAAGAATTTCTCATCTTCTCGTAGCAGATTCAGTTAGATGCATTTATCAGCAGAAAATCATGAAGCAAAATAAATTGTAATGGTTTCTTTCCTTATGATTTATTTTTTGTTTTATGTCAGTCTTAGCAATATTCAAACGGTCACCTCTCTAATATATACGCACTATACTGTGTCAATTCTTTTACTTCAATTGAGAACAGGTCTTTAATTATGAAGATTGAGCGAGTAGTGCTATGCTTTTTTCCGAAATGAGTTACTGTCAATCACGATATGATCTCAATTCTGCATCTATTCCTTCAAGGTTTTTCTTAAAAGAAATAGACATAACTTATAAATACCTTTTCATGTACTATTCTTTAACTAATAGACGCTGTCAATGGCCAAACTAGGTTTCTTTTTTTCTGCTGTGTCCTTTGCAAATGCTATAAAAATTTGCTTTTTTTTTGTTAAATCAAAATATATTTTTATGTAGTTTCATAAATTTGATTTAAACGCAGAAGAAGTACAAAACAAATGGCTTGAACTTTTAAGTCATTAATAATTAATTATTGAGTTTTCTTTACGTAAAACGGCATGGCATCTATTTCGTTGAAATCAAACAATATCAATTACCTTAGGTTAAAATTTGTCTATAAAAAAATTGTTATTTTTTTCTTTACGAATTGAAATAAGATGAGAGTGTAATTGTTGCTGCGTTCGATGAGAAAATGAGTAAAGAGCAAAAATGAAAAAAAAGAGTAAAACTCTTCACATTTTCTTCGTTCTTTCTATTCCTATTCAAGCCAATCAATTGAATATACAAAGAAACAACGAAATATTGAAGAGCTTGTTTGACTCTCAATTAAGATTCAACAACTACTATTAACTTAATGTTTATACGTCATTTTGATGTTTCATTTTCTTACCAATTCCTCTTTGTTTTCATTTGCTTGAACAAGACCCTTTCGAACACGTTCTTCAAATTCCGTTAAAGTTTTCTATCAACAAAATGAAGACAAAGCCTATTACTAAATTATACATGTTGTTTTTCGCATACTTGTCTAGAGTCATTGTTAGCTTGTTGTTCGATTCGATATTGATTATATTGACGTTGAATATGTTCATTTGATTCGATAAGTTTTGTATTTTCTTGACGAAGATCACCAATTTTTGTTTCATACTAATAAAAATAATTTAAAAAAGAACGACATGTTAACAAAAAAGAAAAGAAAACAATAAGTAGTGTTCGATGTACTTGACTGAATTGTATTTCAGTTAATCGACATTTATTTTCTAAATCCTATACAAAATTACAAAAGATTATTATATAGAAATAAATATAATAATCTACTTGTAAACGATCTGTTTTCAATTTGAAATCTTCAGCATATCCTTTTGATATTTCACGTTCAAGTCGTTCGTTTTCTTCTTGAGATATACTCAGAGCTATTCGAAGACGATCGATGTCCACTGCGCAGGTCTGATAAAGAATAAACGATATTTCTATGCGAGACACATAGTAGTTATAGATACTAACTTTAATTGTTTCACTGGCTTGTTTTAAATTCTGTTCTACTGCTTGCAATCGATCGAAAAGCTAAAAACAGATAAATAAAGTAAATTTGATAAATTCTGTTATGTATAGAATCGTGTCGTAATTTTCATTGATTCCAGTAGCTATATACTGAACGTGAACTTACGCGTGTTCTTTCATTATTCGACTGATCGAGATCATGTTGCATAGCTTGTTTCTCTTTTTGCAAATTCTATAAAAAGAAAAGAAAAATGATGATTAAGATAGATTCTCTTCTATTTACTCGAATTTCTGTTTCAGTTCGACTGTTGAATTGACGATACTGCAAGAAAAATATGTTTTAATCAATATATATATATATATATATTACGATAGATTTTAAAATAAGACGAATTTTTACTTCATCATCATATTTTTTTTCAATATCCAGGCGAATTCGAATGGTTAGTTCGTTAAGATCATCTTTAAGTTTCTATATAAGTGTTGAAAAAAATTCGAGTTTTTAAATCATGAACGAAGAATTCAACGTACTATATTTTCATTATTCATAGTTTGATGTTCTGATTCAAGTATCTGTCTTTCATATTGTGCACGATTTAAATCAATGCTTAACGTTTCATATTTACGTCGCCATTCCTAAAAACCGCAGTAACAGTAATAGTAGCCGACTAAATAACTCCTTGAAATAATTTTACGTTAATCTCATGAATACGATCTTCATTTTCTTGTGAAATCTGTTGAATATCACGTTTTAGTTTAGTAATTTCATTTTGACTTCGTTTATCATTATCTTCATTATCGTGAAGTCGAATTTCATAAATAGAAACTTTTGATTTTAACTAAATAAAGAAAATCAATATGATCTCATTGGTAAAATGTTTTCAACTGATTACTTCATCGTTCCTTGTTGTTAATTCAAGAATTTTATTATCAACATCTCGATATCGAACTTTGATCGACTGTTGAAAAATGATGATTATCATAAAATAAATCATTCATTTTAAAGATGTCTCTTACTTGATTTTCGCGTTTTAAACTTTCTAGTTCATCGTTAATATGTAGTTTTTCCTAGAAGGATAAATAAAATATCTTCAATTAGATAGATTATATCATTTATATAGATCAGGTTTAGATTAATCGATGTAATCACACTTCAAGTTTTTCTCTGTTTGACTATTTTCGACTATGGCATTCTGTTCATCTATGTTGCCACTTTATTTATTGAATGATTTTTTTTCTTATCAAATTTTCATAGAATTCATTGTCAGGAGAAAAAAAGAAGCTTCAATAGAAAATCAGTGAAACATAATACAAATCATTTAATACATATTGGCTGGCCACAAAATAGATTGAATAGAATATATGATGGATTTTTCGTCAATTCTCTTTTTGTCATAAGCTAGCCATACTAAATTCAGGAAAATCGTCTAAACTATCTTGCACAATATTAGGCATTATTCTATTTGCAATGTTGTATAACCGATTAAAATCTCTCAAGTATACAGCCGTGTCAAGAAAAACTATTTTCTTACTTGATCGAATTGTACCATTTGACTTTGGTAAGTCTGTTAATAAAAGAATAAAAATGTTCTTCGTTGTTAATTGAATCCTTACTCGAATTTGTTGCTCATGTTTATCTCGTTGTTCATCAACGATTAATTTTAACTTTTAATATAAAGATGAAATAATTCATGCTTAAGAAAAATAGAATAAGAAAATAAAATCTACTCGATCATATTCAGTTTGAAGGTCAGTAAAATGTTGATGACTCATATAGAGTTTATTCTGTATTTCAACATTTTTTTCCTTTTCCGACTAGAATAAATTTATCAATATTTTTATTAAAACATATATAGAATGAACAATTAGTTACATCAATATCTCGTTCAAATTGACATCTATCCTGAAATAATATGCAAAAAAGAATAATTAGGATATGAATCGTGTAGTGCCAAAGAAAAAGATATTCACATTTTTAAATTTAGTTTCCATCTCATGTATTTCAAGATTGAAATTCTCAATGTATTTTTTTTGTTGCTATTGAATAAGAAAAAAATTTTAAATTTAAAAACAAAAATAGAACTTTTCACTTGAATTTCACTTTCCCATTGTCCAACTTGGGTCTCCGTTGATGTTCTCTGTATAAGAAAAATCAATTTTTAGGTCTTCTTTAAGATTGTAAGATATTTATTCAATTGATTTTTGTTTCTAGTTAAGTGTTTTTATTTGAATTTTAAAATTATTATTGAAATCTATGCTACAATGAACCTATGGCAATGACAAATGCGTAAATATATTTGATAAGTGAATCTTTTTATTAGAAATCTGTAATATATTCTATCTGTTTGGAAACGCGTATTCAGTACTCTAACAATGCCTTTTCCCCAACGGATCGATCATTTCACGTCGACGAGAGATGCAAAAAATAATATTATACTTTAGAATCGGAGGGGATTTTACAAATGGATAAAAGATACAAACTATGTGTAGATTTTAATATTTTCTAATTGTAAATTGAACCAATCAATTGATGAAATAATTCAAGTCCATATTAATCAATTTTCATTTTCATTTAAAAAGTAATCAATAGACTCGTTATAGTAATCTCCGTAAAATTCAAATATAACTCACAATATCCATTCGATTATTGATCATAGCGAGACAGTTCTATACTATCTACTTCAGAATAGATTTCTTCACTACCATTTTACTTAATCCATGAGAGATACTGAATGGAATATCTTCTGATTAAAGATTTATGTGACTGGCTTTTTTGTTTCAGATAGAGAACATTTTTCGAAAGTTATTCAACAAGAGGTGAATTCACTAGTCTAATTACAAATACTCCTATTTAGAGGGAAACTGCTACAATATACGAAAATTTACAAATCATTGTCAATTATTGGCGCTTATAGTACTTCTCATAAACTCTTATTGCATTTCTGTTCCTCGCTTATAGTGTAACTGTGAAATATTGCACATACAAGTTGTTCATATTTCCTTTGTAAATCATCATGCTGTCTTCGTTCAACAGTCCATTGTTCTTCAAGATTTCTAAAGTTTTCATTAGCAGTCTTGAATAATAAAATAATAAAAGAAATTTTAACGAATTGAAATTTAGATAAGTGCATACTCGAAGTTGGCCTTGCAAATTTTGTCTTTCCTGTGTATAAAATTAAATAAAGTTTTGTCTTAATTGTTCAATGTCAAACATACTTGATTGTGAATTTGATTGAATTTTTCATATTCTTTTAGATTTCGTAATTCCATTTCTTTTTTCTCTTTGTTAATCTCATTCAAAAGACGATCACGATCTTGAAGCTAAATTCAGAAAAAAATGACATCAGGATAAAATAATCCTCGAAACAAATCTTTTTTTTACTTTTTCGTTCAAATCTTTAATTTCCCGTTGCAAAATTTCAATTTGTAATACGTATTGTTGGCGAATACGACGTTCAACTTCTGGTTCACGTTCTTCTAATTGCTTTTTCAATATTAATTATATAAATCAGATATTGATTATGAAACATTTATAATAAAAATAAATACCCGAATATGAACATTTTTCTTCTCGATTTCATCTTGTAATCGGTTGATTCTATCTTGCCACTAAAATTCAATTTATAATAATATTTATTATTAAGCGAGAAAGAGTTATTCGAGTTTACAAAAGTCTATTAATCCAAGGTCTACTGAACAATACATGATCATTGCTGATTCGAAGAAGCTACATTGGTTAACGTTCAATCAGTTTTAGAAAGGTTCATTTGAATGTCCTAGAAATCTATCAGGATCAACTACATTCTAATAGAATTTATTAGAATCTATCATATTCAACAAAATCTTCCAAGACTTTCTATTGATTCTTGCGTAACTGCATTTTCATTTTCAACTAGGTAATCTATATTGCATATGCTGTCACTTTCTGATCATGCTAATTCTAATCCTAATCTATGCAAGATACCACTGATAGAATAATTAGCACAAAGTACGACAGATTAAATTGAATTAGAACTTCTGTTTTTTTTTGTACGAGTCCTTTGTAGTTTATTATTTGCATTGTAAAATAATCTAGTTACTTCGTCACGATCTCGAATTATTTGTGCAACACGATTTGTTAAACCGGATACATTTTCTGCATCACTTTGAAGTTGCAGTGTTATTTGCACAACAGCAGTTTGCAGATCCTGTTCAAGGAAAATAATAAATAACAATCAAATATCAACATGATGCCCTACTTCAACTTGTTGAGCTTCTTCAATAATATCAACAGTCTAAAAGTTTAAATATATAAATAAAAATTCTTGAAAATAATGAAAGACAACCTTGGTAGATAATGGTGACGGAAGAATGAGAGGAGGTAACTATTAAATAAAAATTCGTATGAGAAACAATTGTTTATTTAAATCTACCCCTAGATTTCGCACGGGTGTATGAATAAGTTGAGTTAAACTATCAACTTGATTTCTCAAGATTTTTTCGCTTCGTCGAAGTTCAACACATTCCGCTCGTAATTGCTAAAATGATTATTCTTAAAATTAAATCTATTGAAGTTTTTTTTCTTACATCAACAGTTTCTAGATGAATTTGCATTTGAGAATTCAATTCGGCAATTAACTTTTGACTATGCTAAAAAAATAGATATAGATTTAGTTTCTCGTAAAACAGAATTTAACTAACTTCATCTATCGATTCTACTGTTGATGATTGAGAGGGAAGCATCAATGTAAATGGTGTACGCAAACGAATTGTTATTTCATTGATGGCTTCTTCAAGTTGCTATCAAATTTTCACGACAAAATCAAGCTGCTTTTATTTTTTATTTTGTTAAAAGTTACTTGTATTATTCGATCTCGATCATGAATTGCTAGACGATATTCCTCAATGTTAACACTTGAATCCGTTTGTTCTGGCTATAAAGAATAAACGGTAAGGATTAAATTATTCATTTTAATCATAAGTATCATAGCTTCCCAAACGAATAAATTATTCGTTGTTCATGATTTTTTAGATATTAAAATACCGTGAATAGGTTTTTTGAAGATTCTAGTTTTTTCGTCTTACAGTCATATATTCATATATATGAAAATAGCATGAAAAAAAAACATCTATGAGTCAAATGACATTCATGATATATAATAGTTTACTAAGCATCACAACAATAGGCATTTTATTGTATTACAATTGGGAAGAAAATCAGTTTTCGATTTGTTTATAGTAAACAGTGCAGCACAGGAGAGGAAAAGCATAGAGTGGAACAAGATAAGCGATGTGAATACAAACCAGAGGATATGAAAAACGAATTCGAGCGAGTAATGGCTAAAATACAATGTACTATTATCTGTTATATTAATGAATTCTATTGTGTAAAAATAAGCAAATCTATTCAAAGATTTTTCATTTTACCTCATGCCGATAACTCTCTAAATCTGCTAATTGTTGCTGTTGTTTTCCAACCAAATTCTAACAATCAAAACAAAAACGGTAAATAGCAATCCAATAAAGCAATGAATGTTTTTACTGCAATTCGAGTTTCATAATCAGTTTGTAAACGTTGTAATACGCGTTCAGATTTTGATTGTTGTTGTTCATAATTTTGAATATCAACTTCATATTGTCGAATTTGTCGACGAGCACGATCTAATTCAGCAAGAGCCTAACGATATCAAAACAATATATTATTTATTCACTCTAGACAAGGTTTTTTTTTGCATTTACTTCATTCGTTTGAGGTAACGTTGAGTCGAGTTGCTGTGAAAACATTATTAAATCGTCAAATGACTTTCTTATGCTTCTTTCGCTTACTTTTCGTAATGAATTAACTTGTTCTTGAAGTTTTCGTTCTCGTTCTTTGTATTCGTTTAATTCAATTTGTAATGCACTATTACTTATAAAAGTATTTGACATTCCAGACGAAGTTGCATCAAAACCAGAATCGATGAGTGTTGACGTTTGAATAATTTGAGTTGGTATATTTATTGTTAATATTTCTTGTTCATTATCATGAATTGTATTACTATTTAATTGAAAAGATTTTCGAAGGAATGCATTTTCTTGGCGAAATTTTTCAAGTTCTTCTCGTAATGCACGACGTTCATCATCATAATCAAAATGATAGACGGTTTTTATATTATCGATCTGTTCTGATTGAGATTGGGTGCTTCATAGAAGAAGAAAAAAGACGAAAATAAGTAAAAATATTTTTTAGTGTTAATAGCGTTTTATAACAATGATTCGTTTCGTTGAACTTTAAAATGTTTCGGATAGAAGAAAGAAAAGTTTTACTCATCATCGCGTAATCTATTCTATAAATGTAAAGGAATAAATATTCTAATAGAACTACTTGAGATACCATATGTGTGTACATAGTGTTTGCACGTAATCGAATCATTTAACGTGTTGAGAAGTGCCAGTATCACTATTATGATTCAATCATTACTTTAAATGGCTAAGTAAACTCAAATTGAACGTTAAAAAAAAAGAATGATACTTGAAGAATTTGAGAGAAACTTTTCCATTTATTTTCTATTTCACTTATCCAATAGATTATCATGCAAAATAGAATAGATTACCTCGTTATCAATTCATAGTCAACTGTTTTAAGTTCTTCATCATTTCCATCCCGTGTCACTTCCGACTGTGTGATGCCCATTTTTCAACAATGATTTAAACACCTTCAGACGTTTTTTCATCTCTCCTATTTCACCTTCAATTTTGTCGCCTCATTGTTCTACTTATAAGGCTTCCGTACCACATTCGTTGCAACACTCACAACTAAGACAAACCGCTGAGTTTGATTGAGAGAAAGAAAGGAGAAAGAATCTTAAAATCACATTATTCAACGGTTCATTTTGCCTCATCAAAAATCATCTTATTCGAGAATGGGAGCGCGTGTGCTTGTATGTATTATTTGTTTGCAATAAAAACTTACCGTCGATGAAGTCGCTCAGTGTCATTTTGTAATTGTTGCACGTAAGACTATGTCAAAAGAAAAATAGATAACTAGTTATTTCAAACAAAAAGAACTTAGAAATAATTATACGGTTTGATTGAGATATTCATTATTATTGAAATTGTATTGACTTTGTTCTTCAAGGAAATAAATACGTAATTTTAAATTGAAATTTTCGCGTTTAAGATCTTGAAATTCCTAAAATAATATTCGATATTTAGGTAATTGGTTAAAAATTGAACTTTTTATTTCAGCAAACCTCGTCTGTCATCTTGTATTTTATCTCTCAAGTGTTATAGTACTATACAGAATTCATTATAGACATAAACGTACACATATACATTGAGATATCTACTCTCTCTCTCTCTCTCTTGCTTTCTCATGGTCGAAAGAATGCTGATACACGATCTATCAAGACTAATAAATGAAAAAAGGAAAAGAAACCATCAAGATTAAGCATAAATAATACCTTTGTTATTGCTTGAAAAAAGAGAAGAAAACGAGGTAACATGACGTAAATACAAATATACACATACACAAAGAGACATCCACTTCAGAGAAAAAGGATAAAATATGTCAATATATTTTAATGGAAGAAAAATCTTCATATAAAAGAATTTAATCTGTTATCTACAGGGTCATACAGGACAGGTATAAGTAAGAAAAAAGGATTTAAATGTACATAGATCTTTAGTCTCTTTTTTTTTATTTAAAGTCCTTCATCGTTTTCTATGTTAATACAAAAATATTGGATTAATAAAATGACTTATTTGAAATCGTTTCTTTTCCAAACATTGATCGAGCTAATATTTTTTTGACTTGTATTGAATGTTTTCTTTTTACTAATCGCACATATTCAATCGCTTTATGAGATTCTCTTATCAACATTCTCGTTTTACTTTTTCTACGACCTTCAATAAATTGTCTCAATGATAAAGTTAACATAAGAATGTAATAATCATTAAATATGAATTTCTCGTTTATTTGAAGATACCATAAATAAAAATCAAATGTTGAAATGAAATAGAAGTTACTTTTCTATTTTGCAAAAATATTTTTTCAGTTTTCTCATTGCATTTTTTTTATCGAACTGATTAAAGCTGTGTATTTATGACAAAACAATAAAGCAAAGTCTATTAGCTTTTCATCCGTTTAACTGCTCCCTAAGTATGTACCACTTTCGCACTTGCTTTAGTAATAATAATAATAATAAACATCTATTGAATATTTCCAAAAGCTTCAATCATAGATAGAGCTCGATCAACAGAGCGAATGTGGCTAACATTATTAGACTGCGAGTTAATTTTTACGTGAAAATGTAAAGTTAAGTTGTTGGAATAAGCAGAATAAATTGACTACTGAGTATTTTTCTATAAAATATGATGAATTTTTTCGGAAAGAGTATCTTTGGATGACAACTATTTATATGTTTGATTTTAATGAACAAATATATTCCAAATGAAGCGTGTATTTTCTAATGGATACTTCTTATTAAATCACGGATATCTTACTCAATCTTTCAATGAAGTGCTGATATCTCTGTATTAAATCAACAACTGTCTGCTTACTTAGTTTGTATCAAAAACTTAAGAACTGTGTACTAAATAGAATTTTTCTCAGCTATTCTTTGTTGCAGGAATGATATTGTTCTCTACAATCTATTACTTGAAAATAGTTCACATCCTCAATATAGTTGAAATTACATTGATTTCAAAGTATACTTATATTGAGATCTTGATTGGGACGACTCTATAATACAACCAATAGAATTTTTCATATATCCTATTCTTAGTTGTTAATTTGGAAAAGTTCGTTGTTCGAAAAAACAAACTTTCTAGTTCGATTCATATCTTCGTATAGAAGTGTCACTTGGCTTTATTCATTGTTGTTCTTTCTACTAATTATTTTACGTTTGAGAATAGAAAGAAGATTTTTAGAGATATTCGTACGAGAGATTACAACATGAATTATTTTAGATTTTATTTTAATTTCGTTGAAACACACCTAATGAGAGAATGTGAATTATTGGAAACCTAAATAATCATTTTGAGAGACTCTTTATAAGACAATATGTTCATTTGAATGAATCGAAAGATATGAAAAATACAATTTCATGAATGTTGTGGTTTTGAAATTTTGTATCAATATAAGTTTGTTCTTGATCTGATTATTATTCTCAAAATAGATCCAATTAATTTAGAAAAATCATTCAATACTAGTAGAAACAAAACTAACACAAAGCTTTAGATTTCCTTAATTGACAAAAGTAGTCTTTTGAAGTTAACACTGAAAATCAGAAAAATGATGAAGTTATATGCAACAAGCATGTGGAATCTAATGCAAAAAGAGACTGTTGCTGTTGTTTTTGAAAAACGATTACATACGTTATCATAATCACGAATCGTTTTTACTAAATTGGTACCAATATTAGATATGTTAGGACTTGTAAGCGAATTTTCTAAAAAGTAGATGTTCTATGGCAATGAAATGAAAAAGGAAAGCTAAACTGTATACCTTCAGATTTATGCGAAGAAATTATTTCTCCGTTGGTATCATCCATTATACTGACATCCAATTAATTATTGTTGTCTAGCATGAATCTTAATAGATACATCTGCATTTGTTTCAACATTGCAACAATAAATTACCGCCGCTTATGACTTATCAATTGTTGCCAGTAACAACTTTATAATCGTATATTTCCAATTTTTCTATGACGAAGAGATTAAAAGCAAAAATTATCAATTTCTACTTCGACAAAATATTTTTTAAAAGACAATTTCATCATTCGTTTTCTCAGAAGAAAAACTCTAGATGGCGCTACTCTGCGATTTATATATCTAGAAGTATCAACTGACACTATATCTAGTAGAACAGATAGATACACATGAGTTATAGCTGCTTCAGTGATCGGTATGTGTATCGTCATGAACTGTAAGGTAACAAAATTCATGAAGGACAATTGTTAGTTATATTACCGTTGCTTCTTGCTTGATCAATACGATTCTTTCTATTTTTTTTTGCCTTACATATTTTACTGTATTGGTCTTTAAAAACGTTCAAAAGTGACCGTGACGATTACCGTTTTTCTTTCGGCATAATTACTATTGCTACCTTGTATGATACATCATAGAATCATTAACTTTGAATGAGTAAGTCAAATTGACAATATAAAAAGCGTGGGTTTTTAAAGTAGAAAAGTAAAAATCTCTCTTCTACGAGCCATAGAATAGAGATTGTCGGATTGATTTACAAGCAAATTAAAATGCATTTCCTTAGAATAACATTGGAGTATGTATAAAGTAAATTATAAAGTAACTAATAATGTTATTTTACAACGTTCACATCATCTATGTAAACTGTTTTTTCATATGATTCATTAAATTCACTCTTGAAATTGGTACTATACACATCTGGGTTCTCACGAGAAGATCTAGATAATGACCGTTTGTAGCTGTGTAAACGAGATTTTATTGTATTGCATATTGCAGTTATTTCAATACAAAGTGTTCGATAATAATACGTTCAATGGAGATTCTCTGAAAGAAACGGAATAAGCCTTTGAGTCATTCCATGATACTTGTTTAATTTTGATCATTTCGAATTAGTTCAGATATGAAATGACTGTAACAAACAACTAAATTTAATGATCTATTATCGGCGGATTCATTACGATGCCTTTCATTTAACTACGTAGATGCTAACATTTCTTTCACATTATATCAATATCATCAGATCGACAGACAAGAGAAAATCTACTAACGGAAGTGTTTCGTTAGTTTACGATTTAGGCTTCGTATAGTGAATAAATAAATCAAATTCAACAACAATGAATTACGTAGTGATGATAAAAAGTGAAAATTCTCCTAATTCATTTTTTTTTATTAATAACTAAGCCGAAATATTTTTTGTCAACTCGGAATTTATCATGAAAATATACTATTTTATCAGTTTTTTCTTGTCATTTTCTCGCGATAATTTCAATACTGTGTCGATTTTGTAATCGATTTGAAACTACTATAAATGAATGGAACGACAACATAAACTTAGACGAAATTTGTGTGCTTCAATATGCGTCTCACTAATCTTTTATCGCCGATTCATTAGAATTTCCATAACAATAAACTTTTATGCACTAATCACCATGATGACGTCGACATATATGAACTAATCTTGATTCAATTGCATATAGTTGCTATCAATCGCGTCCAACCATCGAAATATAGTTCCGTGGATGCTACATCTTTCTATGATCGTAGAATTTGTGTACAAATGCTGCTTCAAAACAATATGGAACCGTGAGCTATGTTCTAGTTGCCGGTAACGATGCTGATAATTTGCGTTCGAAATTCGTTTTAAGCAAAGAAATAGGACAAAAACACATAGCCAATCTATCAACTAGTTCAATTAATGGTTATAACAATATTGACAAAACTTTTCATAATTGTAAATTCTAAAAGATCAACTGTTTAAAGATTACTATCGTATTAGCCTCTCAGCGGCACATAAAAAACTTGATAAATATCAGTAAACTGTTTACAATGATGCAATATTAATTAAAATGAAAAAACTGACTTCAATATTTGTTGAATATTGAGATCGTTTACGAACTTGCGCTTGAACAAGAAACAAACAGTATTCATTGTCAAGGAATAATCTCTGAATTTAATTCTTACTACAAATATAGTGCAGCTACCGATTTTCGACATAGCTTTCATAGAAATCAGTTTTACTCAAGAAAATAATAGTTTCAGCATTCATTGTCGACGGATATAAAATTGCTTTATACTCAATATATATCTATCACTAAGTGTCCAATTGAAAACATAAAAAGAAGTAACAGCATGATTAAAACATTTTAAATATTTTATTTTATTTAAAAGTAGCAAGATTAATTATGTAATAAGGAAAACAAGAAAATGTGTTTACTTGAAAAGTAAACTAATCTAGAATGTTTTTTTTTCCTGAAGTAAAACTTCAATAATTATTCCCATGATGATGTACAATAGAGCTTTTCAAGTGATTTTAATATAATTCGAACTGTTTGTCCCATAGAATCTATAGCAATAGACCATTGATAGAGCATTAATTTAACATCATCACTATCGTTAAGATCTACTATTGTTACGACTGGTGGCAGTGATTTCTTGTCAGATGTTGCCATTGATGTTGGTTGTTTGCTTGTTGTCATTGTTTCCTATTATCATAGAAAAGAAAATATCTTTTTGAAAAATGAGAATTAATTTTCATTTACCATAGCTGCTTTATTGGCGCTGTTAATAATTATTTCGATTAATTGATTAAATGTTTCAGGTTTAGATTTCTGAACTCTCTGGATAATATTATTCAATGGTGTTAACGCTTGTTTTGTTACCATATTAAATAAATAATTATCAAATCTTTCTGATGTGCTTAAAACTTGTACAAATCTATTAATCGTATGCTTTAATGTTGAAAATATTTGTTGAATTTTTCGACCATCTAAATCTGGATGAATATTTTGCAAAAATTCTTCGGGTAGAGTACCATTTACGATAAGTTCGCCATGAATAATATTCATATGCGTCATATTAATAATGTTGTCAATAAAGTGTTCTAAATCAAAGTTGTTGTCAGCAGCAGACCATAGACCACTTCCTAATTTTTCATAATCAATTTCTTGCAAAACTATACGAATAATAGTTTCATTATCGATATTCTCTCGGATTTTATTCATTGTTTCATTGTTATTCAATATTGAAATTGCAATATAAGTGAAATTCATATTTTGTATTGAATTAGTAATCATTTGTTCAACTATAGTACCTTTTAAGCTACTTGCAGAATTGGCATCTTTTAGTTTGTTTGCATTAAATAAAAATCGTTTCTGTCGATGATGTTGAGACGAAAACGACGAAGCACGATGAAAACGCATTGCAAGTTGAGCAACTTCTGGTATAATCGTCGCCAGACTATCAGCTGTACGAAGAAGAGTACAAGAGCTTGAACTTAATTGAGCAAAAACATCGATTTGAAGTAAAATCACGTAACAGAAAAATATAGATAAAAAGTGCATCATTCGAAAAATCTTGATAAATCTTAGAATGATCTTTAAATGCCTGAATGAATTCTCTATTTATACTGCATGCCATCTTTTTGCCAATTATTTCTTAAGTATTTACCAATTAAGAACATACAGATTGTTGTATCAATAATGGTATGTTAACAGCATCTCAAAATAAATAGATATGAATATTAGCACTCATTGATCATAGGAAAGCACAGAAATATTATGATTTGTTATTTTTATTTTTGTTTGTCGCAGAAACAATTCTATTAAATATAAACGGTTTTGTTTTTACAATACGTTCACACTGAAGAAAAAACGAAATGGTAGATTTCGTTTGAAAAACTTATTTTTATAATCGTCCACGAATTTTCAAAACATAATACATAGCACCGGCTATGGCACCACCTATATGACCTGCTGAACCAATGTTTCCTTGACGATGTGTTAAAGCTCGATAGAGGTCATATGCAATAAATGCTCCAACACCGACAATAACAGGCATCGGTATAACAAAAAACAGAAGAACAGTATCAAATGGACGAATAAATGAGTAGAGCACTGTCATGCCCATAGTAACACCTAAAATGAAAACAAATATGTTTATGTACATATTGATAGAATATGTTCTAAAGAAAACAAACCAGAAGCTCCAACGGCTGGCACAGAAGGTCTTCGATCGTAGAATCCTTGATAACATATATGAGCAAGTGAACAACCAACTGCACTAACAAGAAATAATTGAATAAATGCTGGTAAACCAATATGATTTAAAACCAGAGGGCCTAGATATAAATATGTACAATCATAGTCGATAGGGGCGGGGAGGGGGTGAGCCAAAGTAATATTTTACCAAAACTATACAAAACAAAGTTATTAATCAAAAAATGTGTAAAATCAAGATGGCTAAAAGCTGAAGTAACAAGAGTCCATATACGATTGTGTCGAACAACACCATCCCAAGATACCACTAAAAATTAAATAACAGCTTATTTATTTATTTTTTGAACATACATACATACTAAAATTATTCGTCAAAAACGATAATAGACGATGATCATGATTTGATTTAGCATGAGCATAGGAGATATTCCATGCAACAAAAACAATTCCATTAATAATAATTATTCCGAGAATGGCATTTTTTTCATTGATAGATCCAAATGGAAATTGTTTATTATTAAGAGGAGATGAACGTATCGAAGAACGAACTTTATCCGTTGGAAGTGAAGAACGAAATGCTCGGCGTATTTTATCTGTAGTTAACAGACGACGACAAGTAAAAAGTGAAGATTGTCGAGATAGAAGTGTTCTTATTAATACATTCATTGACTTTCTTTTATCTACATGAGAGAAAATAACGTTCTCAAAGCATGCTTTTATGATATGGAAAACAACATATATGTCGGAGTTGACTTTAAAATCCAGTTGCCTTTTAAAGGCAACTAGTTGTCTTTAAAATTGAAGAGTCAACTAGTTGTTTTTAAAATTTGATAGTCAACTAGGATAGAGCTAGTTGACTCTTCAATTTTAAAGACAACGAGTTGACATTAAAATCAACTGGATGGAGCTAGTTGATTTTAAAATCAACTAAGATGGAGTCAGTTGACTTTAAAATGTATAATCATAAAGTTGTTATGCACTAATCGATAATGAACTTGTTTAACTGATGGAAACTTTTCGATCTGAAATTAACAAAGAATTATTTATTTACTATCAAACCATCATTTCATTTAATAATGAAGGCGGCTTTCTACTCAAAGCTAGATGCTTAGTTGAATGAGTTAGATACTAAATGACCAGCGACGTACTTGATAACAACTGAAACATATGAAAAAGGGTGGAGTGTGGGTGTGGGCGTGAGCTACCCAGGTCGAACAGTCCGACCTGGAAACGGCCGGTTCCGAGTAGTTCCGTTGATTTTGTGGAAGCAGTATTCCGGTTGGAAATTTTTTCGGTGATTTCCGATCAATTCCTACCGGAAAGCACCGGAACTTGGCAGGAGTTCGCCGGAAAAGTCCGGCCGTATTTTTGGCCGGAATACTGCTTCCATGTTCCAACGATTTCCCATGTTTTCCTGCAGGATATGGCGACTTTCCCGCATATTCCCTGGAGTATCCTACGGGATCCGGGGACCGGAATGTTCGACCTGGGATAGACTCGAAACCATACCCACACCCATACCCACTCCCACACCCTCAATCTCATCTATTGATTAAAATACTCTTTATCATATCAATAACAACTTTATGATTATACATTTTAAAGTCAACTAGTTGGTTTTAATGTCAACTAGTTGTCTTTAAAATTTTATAGTCAACTAGGATGGAGCTAGTTGACTCTTCAATTTTAAAGACAACTAGTTGACTCTTAAATTTTAAAGTCGACTAGTTGCCTTTAAGAGGCAACTGGATTTTAGAGTCAACTCCAACATATATCTTTTAAATAAGAGTAAAACAATCATTAGTGACTTAGCCAATAGTTCAAGTATTAGACAATGACCAATACTTGGCGCCGATACACAGATCATTTTTATTCGATTCCAATCATACGAGAAAATTTTTAGTTTTAGTTATTTTTTTGATAAAAAAGTTAGGTAAAAAAGATCATCTACATGACGAATGTAAGTGGAATTCGTTCAACAAATTTATTCGTATGTAAAAATTATATGCAATAAAATTCAAATAGGCGACACGAATTTTTCAATTTAACAAAATATACCTAATAATAACATCAATCAATCTAAAATATTCTAGATGTTCTACGATATTATTCATCCATTAGATATTTCAAAAGTAGTTTAGATTAAAGTATAACTATATGACAGATCGACTAGTTTAAACAATTTTTATGTATTGTGCTAACAAGGAAATGATTCTGATGATAATCCGTCATTTGAACCCATGCAGTTAGCTCGTTAGTTTACATTAATACTAGAGTTTGAAGTCAGTTTACAATCGATTTATCTAACTTTCAATGCATTTTTAGGAAACGACTATCAATCAAATAAATGTTCTAGTTAAAAAGAATATTTATTTGTCGAAATATGAAGTTCACAACTAAACTCGATTAATATAAGCTGTGATTATCAAACGACTTATTTTGGGAACATTTTAAATGTGATTAAATCTATTTAAAGGTACAAATATTACAATAGTTACAAGTTCAGTCAAAAGTTATACGACCTTCAAGCTAATTAATCTAGGATATATTTTACATTTACTGAAACTTTGTTTCTGAACCTCCTATGAATTTCAACAACAGGCGCTACAATTCACTATCGGATAGATTCTTTTTTTTGTTGTTAGAAACAACTTAAGGTATTCTGTAGTTTTGTTTAGTTACTTTTTATTTATTTGTTCTAGTTTCAGTATAGAACGAATTTATAAAGAAATACTTAAACACGAATGAAACTCATATAACAACTAAATCGACAGATCAAAAAAATATCAGCAATTCAGACGCTCCTGTATTGTTTGGACCAATTGCCTCATTTAGTTAATAATTCAAACAATTTCCAACTACAATCAACAAACTATTGCAAATATTAACCAAATCTCGAATAATAAATTGAATAGTATAGCTGATCGTTATAATTTAACATGGATTTGTGTTAGTTCATCTGAAATCAAAATATCACTTATTATATTTATGTTCTTCAATACAAATAAATCAGAACAAGAAACAGAAGCACAATATTTTATTTTATTTTATTTTATTTTAACGGCGTCTCTCTTGCTTTTGAGCTCGTTGTTGTGCTTTTTTCTTTCGTTCTTCATCCTTTTGTTTTTGATTATTAGAATCAATTTTATTTTTTTCTTGTTGTTTTTTATGTGCCTAAAAATGGTCAATAAATTTATACGTTTTTTTTCTGTAAATGATTAAATAAAAGATCGTTTTTTACCTCATGTTGCAGTTCTCGTGATTTTTTTTCTCGATCTTCAATGATTTGTGTATTTGTATTTTGAAATAAATTGTTAGCATTGGTTTCATGTTCATCTTCATTGTCACTTTCTTCATCAGACACTTCAGAATATTTTGCTAATACTTGAGATTTATGTTTTTTTGATGCAAGATCATCATTAGCTTTATTTGCATTATGATCATTATTTTGTTTTTGTTTCATTGTTGATTCCATTTGATTCATGGCATTAATCAATGCATCATTCATGACATCATCATCTTTATGTATTGCAATAGAATTTCATTCTTTTAAACGGAAATTCGTTGATTTATTACCTGTTTGACTTTTGTCAGAGTTTGAATTATGATCCTTATTGTGTTGTATTTGATACCAACGATTAAGGATTTGTTCACTGAGATTATCAATATTATGATCATGCTTACAAATAAAAACAATGTGCATTACCCTATTCATTTATTTTTAAAATTATTATTACTTTCAAATCCAGATCAGCGAGTAGTTCTGCAATAGCTACTTGTTTTTCTTCGTCCGTTTCACTATCACTTGTAACAATACCCATCAAATATTGAACAAAATCACTCATATCAACATCGTTCGATTGTAATTCATTAAGTAATGATCGAATCCATTCATCGAAAGATGAAGATGATGCCTCTGCCATTAGACACACTTGTATCTAGATCTAGAGATACTAGAAAAATTATATTATTCACTACTATGATAAGTGATGTGTTGCCAATGCAAAAAGCATTCGAGCACAGTTTTCTATTCTAGTGTTTGGATAGCGTTTCTTGAGTCAATCTTCGTCATACTGTTTTTAAATTAGTTAGAGAAGCATTCTGTTTTCTCGATTTTAAGCATTATATGAAAAGTAAATAAGAATACTCCTGTTTCTTGAAATAGAGTGTGACATCATCCATGAAACTGGTACTTTTTTCTATACAATAAAAAGATTTGATAGATACAGACTTGTATTCTGAAGTTTTGCCTATTAAAAACGTAATTTTTCATTTTTATTATCGAATAGTTTGACCTGATCATATGACAGAAAATACTTCCTATATCACTCATAATTTTTCTTCTCGTTAAAAGACAAGTAAAATTCAATGTAATTGATGATATTTATTGAAGTTACTGAGTTGTAATGTATTCAACATATATCAATTATTGTAAACTTTTCTAATTTTGATTAACATAACTTTCCTATGTTTGACTACAAAAGTATCATTCAAATGTGTTGATAAAAAATCGATCACCTTTGTCCTGATAGGATTAAAAACATCAAAGAAAACTAAGAGTTTCGTCAATCTTCCTACCACTGGAATCTTGCATTAATGACAAAACAAAAAATGGCCTTTAGTTAGTCCGAATCCGAATATGATTAATATAGCTTTGAGATATTTATACTATTGGATATAATCAACTATATATATATCAAATCGATAGATGACAGTCTCTTACAATCACATAATTCATTATATGAAAGTATAGATTTGCAACAGAATCGTTGTTGACCAAATTCTTTTAAGATATCGTACAAAACCTCACTACCAACGATATATACATATTACAGAATTAACTCGACATTAGGATACATTATAGATTTCGAATGGAGAGATTAGAAGAAATAATAAATCAAAACAATAAATTATTAAATATATGCCAAAAACTAATGAATCGTAAATCGATATTTTCTCAATAAAATCAGTCACTGATGAAGTCAAAGCTCGTCATCAGCAACATGCGAATATATGAATGTTATTACTGAATGAAAATATAATTAAACTTATGCAAATTTTTATTGATTAAAAACAAATAGAATGCGTCGAAATTCATTCATTACAAAATCTCTATAATTTATAGCTACTACTGAATTATATTGATAATTTTGAATCTTTTTTTTCTTCCTCTTAATATCCTATACAAACAAAACTCGTAATCATCACGTTAAAGAATAGATTGAATATATTTGTTTGACCGTTGTTCTCTTTCTCTTGCTTTCGTTTTAAGTTAACGTTCTGTCATATTCTATGTTTGTATAAGCCATTTGGTCAGTCAGGAAGTGATTAATGGCATTGTTGACAGTCGTTGACACGTATATAGAGAATACAAAGAAGCAACTAAGTAAAAGAATATCATTTTGCCATGAATCGTTACTTACTATTCAGTATAATATTTATTCTTACGACAAATGCTGATGGTATATCAACAAAATATCGTCAATGGTGTTCACCATGGAAATTTTGTGCATTTACAGGATGGAAATCTTGGGAACCATGCGATAAAACATGTGGAGGTGGTGTCCGTAGACGTTATCGGCAAATGTGTTCATTACCTGTTATTGATTTTACTCAACATGTTGCAATGTGTCATAAAACATTAAATGATTTCGTTCAGTATGAAAATTGCTCACAAATATGCTCAAATTATGGAACATGGTCGAATGAAACGAATCAATGTCTATGTGATGATATAAGTATTGTTGACTCGTGTTGTATGACTGGTGTGAAAAATTTCTATTTGTTAGGAATGTAATATTTGCCTTTTTTTTGCTATTACGTATAGATCGAGGTCGATGGTCAGAATGGTCATCATGGTCAAGATGTAAAGCACGATGTGGAACATATGGTGTCCGTAATAGAACACGTACTTGCTTATGGAAACACGATCTTATGCGACGAGATATAAAGCATATCAATTGTATTGGAGATCGAGTTCAATATGAAAGTTGTTTAAAAGATTGTCATGAGCCAGGTTAGAAAAAAAATAATAAAAGAATAGGTTTTCTTTTATTTTTTGCTCGTTCAACAGAAAAAATTTAGTCTTGTTTTGTAGAATACGATGAAGAATTTTTTGAAAAAATGCCAATTAATACAACTGTAACGATTGGTAAACATGCACAATTTATGTGTAAACAAAAAAGTGGTAGCATTAAATGGTAAAATTTCAAAAATAGCTATTATTTATATTTGGAAAATTTCTTTGTTCACATTAGATTTAAACAGAAATTTATATTTAACATAAAAAAAACGTTGAGAGTACTATTGATATATTCTATGATGAAATCAATGTTGCCAATAAGAGATACATTGTTTCGTTTATTTTCTATTTGATCACGTCATTGAATAGAAAATTTCAAGTTCTACATAATACGATTGCTTCTGCAAACTTGTCGCATGTTCTACGAGCATCAAAACAGCTAGAATAATTTAGTAGCTAAAAATAATAATTAATTCATTTATCTTTTCTGGATCGAAACTTATTTTTTTCTTCAAAGGTTCATTAATGATCAAGATGTTTTCGTACTATCGATTCAAAATCCTTCAATAAAAACTGTTTCAAACCGTACAATATTATTTATTTATCCGATAACAAACTATTTTTCTTCTCAAACACGTATAACGTGTCAAATAAATACGTTCGATGGTGAACATATAAATCGACATGCTTGGCTGATAATTGATGAAATTGAAAATAATATTGAAAATTCGATTGATAATCAATGTGAACTAATAAAACCATTAGAATCCATTTATTATGTTCGATTAGGATCAAGTTTTTCAATACAATGTCAAGCTAAAGCACTTAATGCCACCGTTCTATGGTATAAAAATGATATTCTAATTCATAGTCACGGAGAAGATAATATACAAATATTAATTAATTATATGTTATTTATTAATACAATTGATATTAATCATAATGCAAATTTTTCTTGTACTACTCAAACAACAACAAAATGTAAACAGATATCATACTGGAAATTAATTGTATTTGAAAGTACTCAACAGATTTCAAATAGATTACAAGTCAATCCATTAAATTTTGTTGGCACATATGGTATTGTATTACCGGGTTCATCACCATGGCATGTCACAATATCCTATCGTGATTTATCAGTTAATTTTCATTATGATGCATTTTGTTCAGGTTTATTGATTGATGAGAATACAATTTTGAGTGTATCACAATGTTTTGATAAATCATCATCGTTACAAACATTTCTTGAACAACAAAATTTAATATTTGATCCAGCAAAACTTGTTATTTATGTTGCAAAATATGATCGTTTAAGTGCAAGTTCATTTGAAAGACAATCATCTGTGAAGCAATTATTGACCTCAAATAATGATTTTATCATCTTAAAAGTACATTTACTTTTTATGAGTTTAGAATCTCGTCCATTGTCATTACCTACGATGAATGAAATAGCAAAATTAGTTAATAATGTTTCTTTATATGCAACAGGTTGGGGTCCATTATCGACAAATGCTGATAAGCTAATGCATCTTAAATATATTCAACAACGATTAATTGATTGCAATGTGTCTTCATCACCGATTACATTATGTACAACAACTATCGCTATAAAACAACCAAATTTATGTCCAGGTGATACTGGCGGAATACTTTTTGCGCAAACAAAACAACATATATTTGCCGTTGGTCTTATATCACGATTTTCAAAAGCATTTTGTGATATGCGTTCAATACAAATCACAACCATCATTCGTCTAGACACTATAACGACTTGGTTAAAACAAAATTCACTTGTATAAAATTGATCGTTTTTTGTTTGTTTCTTTTTTCCCTCGTCATATAGATAATAGGAATGACAAAGAATGTCTGTTGTCCCATCGAAAACATTTTTCAATTGTTAGATCCTTATTTGTTTTTCAAAAGAAGTATAAATTCGAAGCTATCGTTTGACTAACTTAGTGTATTAATAATTTAATTAACATGACATTTAAATTCTGTTGTTGTATTCGTGAATATATTGTTGATATTAATCAAATTTTAATGAGAGTTTGAATACCTAATAAGCGATGCAGTAGTCTTTGAAAAAAATATAGAACTTCATTAGATTATATTTTCAACTTCTGAACAAATTGAATTTTCGAACACTTTTGGATTCTTCAGAAGTGTGCATTTGAGCATGTTTTAAAGCTATTAGAATCAAACTTCGATAACTAAGAAAAAGCATTAAAATGTAGCTAATCAAACACCTTGCTGGTATTAGCTTAAACAATTCTTTTGGGTCCATTCAAAGGTTTCTATTTAAAACGTTTAAAAACGCAAAGTTTTTGAGCAGGCCATAAGTTAAAAAAAACTTTTCAATCATTATCTCCAGAAATCATGTATGAATTGAATTCATTTTGTGTTATTTGGTCGAACATAGAATTATTGAGAAAAACATTATCAAAAACAAACTTGTATCGCTATGAAATGCTAGTGTAGTGGTAATGACTAAAACGGTGAGTCTCTTTCAGAAAATGCTACTCTGTTGTTAAAGAAAACAAAAATTATTTTAACCTTTAATGAGTCATTGAAATAGAACTAAGTTAGAAACAAAAATCATCATTGAACAGTGCTTTCTCATTTATCTTCGAACACAAAACCATACTAACGGAACATAAGAAATAATATTGTTGGATGGTAAAATTCTAAGAAATTTTTAGGAATATTTGTATTTGAATTTTTCCTTATTCTCAAATTAATTTTGAATAAATATATCTGTTACGACATTTGTATTCGAAAAGTTGTTCTTTCCAACAAAAATAAATTTGATTCGTTCGGAATTCGGCATTATGACCGAACAGGGTGTGACAATTTTCCAAAGATTTTTCTACTACTTATTAGAATTATTAGTAGTTCAACTATTTAAAGAGAGAACTAATAATCTTTTCGTGTTTTCAAAGCAAATGAAAGAATCTTCAATTGTTGTATCGAATCTAGACACTTTTAATTGTTTCTCTAGATTTAATTGATGAAAAAGCATACAGGAATGCTATCTCGAATAGAAATTCTCAAATTTATCACTCTTTTGAAAATTTTCACTTCAAGCGATACAGATCCTATTGACAGGATTTCAATATATATATATATGTTTCATTTTGTTTCCATCAATTATTTTGTTCAAGCATTTAAAAATGAAGTTTAAGAAAACATTTGATAAGAATAGGCTCATGAACTACAACGCTTTTCAAATAAATAGTCTTTGTAGTTTTTTCTATGCCCTCCAATCAAAAGCTTCGTTTAATCAATGACCCGATTTTCATAAGTCGCAATCTCTGTTTCAAACCGAGTAACCTTATACGTGTTGAGCATCTTCTTTTGTTTACGTCTGAAAATAATTGTGTGTGGCTCATATTCAGGAACAGACAATATAGTTCGTATTTTAAGGATATTATAAGCTTCTGCTTTACTTCCGCTTTTTCGGTCTACTAAAATTGATTTTCAATTGTTTGCCATAAATTTACACGATCTTTTCACGTTATTTTGAGACACGGATCGACAAGATGCAATAAAATTTTCAAACTTCTGGCAAACTCTTTCTGGGTGATACTTAACAAAAAGCAACTCAGAAGAGTCTATTGAGAAACTTTAAAATCCTCTGAAGTGTTTGATTGTCTATGTTACATTTAGTTTTTTGAAAGAGTATATCCGAGCACAATGTGTGATATACTCTTTTTGTTTTAATGTATCACTTCTTTTGTGGAGAAGATCACCGTCGATAAAAATTAACGATACTTACCTACTTATAACAGCTTTCTTTCAATAATAATAAAAGCGTTTCATTCATACAAAGAATGATGAAATTTGATAAGCTCGTTCAACTGAAAAAATAGTAATTCGTTTCAATAAACTTCTTCGAAAATATATGATAAGCCATTAGAAATATCTGAGCACAGGAACAGTATGAAATCAATGTTTATATTTTTTTTTCTCAGTAAGTATTCAATTTCAACATTTTCTTCTCGTAAATTCACCTACGTTTCAATAATTCTGATAAAAATTGAATTTTCTCGAAAGCAGAGAATGGGGGTGGGAAATTATTTAAATAAAAATGTACACCTATTTAGCAACTTGTGGAGCCTTATTTTTAATAAATAAATTATGGATTTATTTTAAGAATAAATAATTAAATAGGTTTAAAAGAAAAAAATGCCTGTTTTTAAGATCTCAAGGTTTATTCTTTGTCAAAATTAATTTTATAAATGAAACATTAATTAAGTAAAAAAGTTTCTCGTTGCAATAGGATTATTCATTCTAAAAAACACTAAACTATAGGAGTAGATAAGCCGATAAAAAGAAAGATTTATTAGATTGAGTACTATTCATATCGCAATCGAACATATTCTCTGTAAAATAAAACAAGAAAAAAGAGGTTCTTCACATCAAATAGAAAAATTATTGAAGATTTGTTTGATTTAAAATGAATGGAAAATTCAAAAAGTATTTCTGTTAAATATGAATACTGATTCGACTTACTGGTGAACTTATTCCTTATTACAGACAATTTCCAATTTTCTAAAATTAAATAATCAACAGAATATATATTCGCATACGGTTGTCATCTTTTGAGAAAGATATTTTATATTGTTACGTTACAGACGAAGTTCATGAATATAGCTTCATTTTTTATCATTTGACAAAACAATCGTGTTCTGACAAAGTTTATTTCTTAATATCGAGCGCATAGTTATTACATCAGAATTTTAATGTTTCTCCTAAGAAAACTTCTACGATGAGTTTTGTTTTAATATTTTATTTATTTATTAAAATGAAAAAAGTAAATGTTAAAGAAAATGACAATTAAGAACATGTATCAAACTTCTACTGAAATCTATACCAACGAGTGATAATGACTGCGTACGTTATGAGAAGCCGTTTATCCAACAGGGAATTACATTTTATACTCTTTGTGTTTATCGAACAGCAAGATCTACTTGAATAATAATAATAATATCAGGAAAGGAAAGCTATTAAGTTTTGTAAAAATTTTCGATTGACAATGAAACTTCATAGATATTGCCTGCTGCTAACAAAAGACTTCAATCAATAATAGGAAATTAATGTTCATCATTTGTTTAAAAATAAAAAACAAGTCCTATGCGCTTAGATAAGATTAAAGGCTAGGCACTACAAGAAGAATATAAAAAACGTTTAGATCTAAGTATACTAGATTAATAATGCTTAAAAAACAAAAACAAATTGATATATCATAAGAATCACAAAGCAATACAAACGCCTCCACGTTATTTCCTTTCTCTCTAGGGATTTCTATCTGTTTCATTAAGTTAAAAAGTAGAAAATGTGTCATAAAAACTTGTCATACAAATGTACATTAGTATCGAACTTTTTATGGTTTAATTAAGAAAATATCAATGTAAAACATTCTGAGAAATAGTATATCAATTGAACCAAGTAGTTCGAAACGAATTGAAGTAAAAATCGAACCTCTCAATGCTAGAAATGCTTGATCATGAACATAATATTCAGGGTGAAGTCGATGTGGATCACTGGATTTTTCGATAGTGTGATATTTTAATCAATAGTTAAAATGGTTTTTCGAGAAAAAAATAAAACTGTTACTATTGTTTGTATATCAATGGTTAGATTTTCTATTTTACAAAAACTCCAACGCTTAGTTTACAGGTGAATATTAAACATAGATAAATTTTGTTATGAAACTATGTTTTAATTGACCATATAAAATTGTATGATAGATACAAGAAGATAATGATGAAAGAGCATGAAGAAATGTTTCAATAGCTGCGACGAAATGATTTCATAATATTTATTTTTCAGATACGTAATGAAAGTATTGTGCTTATGTAATTTCTTCGACAATCACATATTTCAATAGGATACACTTTATAATTTGATAATTATCATGGAATTTCACAGAGATTTGTTTTTCTTTTTATTAGATGCCATCTTTTTAATCTCAGTAATCTTTTCATGAGAAGCTTTTAAATTTTCAGACTTAATTCTACTTTATTGACAGTGCGCCTTTCATTTTGTTTTTCCGAAAGAATAATCCTTGCACGTATGCTGGAAAAAGAGAGAAAGGAAAAATATCGAAAACGAAACTGAGGGATGAAAATGTGGACGTAACAGTGAGGGTGATGTTTTCGATATTTTTCTGTTCTATCTTTTCCATCCATTCTCCTTTTATGGCTTCAATTTTATATTCAAGAGTCGAAGTCTATTTGAATAAGTAGGTAGCTCATTTTCAAAAGCCACGATAATTAAATTTTTATCTTTTCACTCATCATACACTTTCAATCTAAAATATGAATCATGATGATGTATATTACATCATTTTTCAAATTGAGTATAATTTTGCCAGAGAACTGTTGACCTTTATCATGTAAAACGGTAGGCAATTGGTCGTTCATTTTCTTAAAGTATTCATGTAACTATAATTATCATTCTACATATTTTTATTTTGGAATTATATAAAACCTTAATTGTCTATTCATGAAATTAAATCAAGTATAATTATTCAAAGTAATATCTGATATTTTATCGCACAGTTAATAGCATATTTGAAAACTTATAATTTAGATTTGTTAACCCATATTTATGGACAATAGTTGACAACTAACATCTAATTTTTCATAAGCTTTCAACAAAAAATAGAGATTGAGTTGGTTGTTTTTACTATTAATTTCTTTTGAACATGCTCGAAGTTTTCTTCTTCAAATCAGTAAGAAACGGATGTAGATATGGATGTAAAAACGTCCTACAATTAGTTCAATCTAAGCTCCGAGTGTGAATCATAAGTATACTTATAATAGCTGATTAGTTATTAACGAAATGACACAGGAAACTTTTATTTGTATCTGAAACAAGAAAGTTCACTTGTTCTTTCTTGTTTGATTATTCTGAAATGCAATATGACATTGTATATAAATTATTAACTAAACTTTGAACAACGTACATTGTTATTATAGATAAAGGGAAGGTTGACACCATGAAAGTTGATTCTCTTTCTATCTTTTTCTCTTCTCTGTCTATATTATTACGCAGTCGTTTTCAATGTATATTATGAAGGAATAATTCATTTTCTATCAACAGCTTGTTTTGTCTGCCCTTTCCTGTTTTTATGTTGTGTTTTCAAAATTTACTAAATGTTAGTCTGCTGTATAGTTCGAATAATAACATTGTGTGAAGGAGGAGGGAACTTCAATTCGCGTGAGAAAGCCCACTAACTATATGAAAACAAAGTCCAATTCTGTTTGACGTAAATTGTTTTCTATTGATATTATTCTCCTTTATGAGAAGTTGACGTAGATAATGACCAGTGACTATCATTTTATTTTGACTAATCTCAAGATGACTTAGATTTTTTTTGTATCATAATGTATACACATATGATATTTATTTACTATGGAGCTATTCATGTAGATTTTCACTCTAGACATAGTCTATATTTTTATTCGAATCTGTTTTTGTCAATATTTATAATAATATTTTTCGTTATTTTTTTCAGAGATGTTTATCGTATCATGTGCATTTATTGGTCTCTTGTTATTTACTTTGGGTTCATCAAGCAATGGTTTATGTATGCTAGTATTTCTTCGACAAAAATTTCGACATCGTGTAATAACACCATATTTTATCGTTTTATTATGTGCTGATTCCATTTATCTTTTATTTCATTTGATTAAGTTGTTTTATTATTCGCAAACACTTTTTAACCGAAATGTGCCAACAGAAGAATCATGTTCAAATACATTTTTTGCTCGAGCATATCGACATGCAACACAAACATGGCCACAACCCTTAGTACCGTTGGTGCATTCAGATACATATATGCGTTTTTCAATAATACTAATGTGTATAATATCTTTGCATCGAACAACATATATTACACGTTCATCGAATTGTCTTGTTTTGCCAAAGTCAAGTAGTTACCTACAAAAACACAAATGGACAATTGTATTCATTATTTTAGCCTTTTCTCTTGCATATCTATTTGAATTTGTTGGTTTAACATTATTTTGTTCAAAATCAAGTAATCGTAATGTATCCTATGAATGGTTTATTTATATGAGTAAATACATGGAAAATTCAACGAATCTTTTAACAAGTACAATAACTGATCAATCAGATTCATTAAAATGTGTGACAGATACTTTAAGAACTTTACAAGAACAAAATCAAAGCTCAATCATAAAAGAAAATAGCATGTGCACAAAAGAACAACTTATAGATCTAATATCTTATTATTTTGATCAACATCAACGATCAATTGTTAGTTTGATACAAAAAATTCTATTTCATCAAACTGGCTTTAGAATAACAAGAAATGAAATTCGCCGAAAATTCCATTTTCATGAATGTTTATTTCCTCAAGATCCAATTTTTTTTCATCGACATTATCATTTTATGTACAATCGAATATTTGGTTTTAATCGGCATACACTACTTTTAGGTAAGTTAATATCTTTGTAAAAGATAATCATACAATGATTGGCACTTAGTGAAGATATATCTAATGTACTAGAACTTATAATTTCTACAATATATTGCACTTTTTTTCGATTATTAGATCTGCATTTTTTCTTATTTAAGATAGGTGTAATATCGTGTTGACCTGAATTTCTATATTGTACACTGATGAGTAGCTCAAATGAAAAATAATTTTGCTTTTTCCAGTGCAAAATAGAATCACTCATGTGAATAATTCACTTTCATTGTTAATTGATATAAAGACGGAAAAAATAAAACCTCGATGGGAATATTATTTGTGATGAGTTCCACTATCTTTCTTTAAATATATTTCCAATGAATTTCACATTAAAGCATATAAAAGATGTTTCGAATTCATCCCATATGGTAGTTAAATGCGAAGTATAAGACAATAATTTAATGATAACAGAGACATATCCAACATAATTTGTCAACATCTCTCCAGTAAAGCTAAAGGCAATTTCTGTATGCCACCATCAATTTAAAAGCTATGAAGAATTGAAGAGACTTAATTGTGTAATAGCTTTTCAATAAATTAAAATGATAAAGAGATTGAAAATTTTTCATGAATAGTCAAATTATTTTTCCAGAGTTAATGATTATACATACAACTAAAGTAAAATCAACTTCTTTCGTTATTATGGAAATGGAAGTTTCATTTCAATGATAACGAAACACGAACAAAATAAATAGCATATGTGTCGAGAAACAATACGATATTAGTTTTTGATTTTAGGAAAGTTTTTCTTGACATTTACAACGAGAAAAAAGAGCAGACTTCGATTGAAGCAGAAACGATGAATATGTGCCGTGAAATTATTATTAGCAGATTTATTCTGAAGGTCAAGTCTAAGTATTATGCAAGATAATCGTCTCATAAAAGTGTGTTTCAGTGAAAATCATCCTCTTTAGATAAAAAATATTAAAAAAATATTTGGTATTTATTTTCGGAAAAAAATGAATAGGATTTTCATTTTCACATGGAACTTTAATCTAGATGTTAAATTTGACACAATATATTAATATTTCATTCGATATTTCATGATTAAATAACTTTTTGCAGCAAAAAATCCACAATGTACTAGTGCTATTAAGGGGTCCTACCGCATTTTATCTTCATAAGAACGATTTTGAACGTTGATAAAACAAGTCAACAGTGGAACGAGAGATTCTACAGGATAGATGTAAAATAAATAAATAAAAGTTAAGCTTATGAAAAGCTTTCAAAATATAATGAAAAAATAGATCCTATAGGGATAAAGCTGTCGACTTCTTTCTAGAGCTTGTTTAACAAAAAGAGGAATATAATGAAAACTATGGCTAAATATCGTTTATAACTTGAATAAGCAGTTGACATGATAGTTACCTAGAATATTATGCTAGTTCTGTAAATTATACTCGAAGAAATAAATATGCCTCATAAAGGAAAATAAAAATCACCCAGTTGTCTGATGTAGGTATCAATGCAAAACAGCATGCGGTGAGAGTTTTCTGTTATTGAATTATTCTTAAAAAAACTACGTAACATTGAAACATTACAGCCTAGAAACTCATATTTTACTATAGAAGCCTAGTCTTGAACTGTTCTATCATATAAGTTCACTTAATACAGTCCTTCTACGAATAAAACCGACATCTTTTTTTTATTCTATATATTGTATTCATGTTTTAAATAAGAATAAAGGAAAACTTACCTCAGATCAGTCAATCTATAGATGGTAGTTGTAATTGAAATTCAACATGAAACGCCTGCAATGCAGATATCATAAAATTATAGTCCGATATATCTGTGTTATGGTGTATTATAGAATAGTCTATATTTTACTAAGATCTACATAATAATTAGAGACCTCGATTGACTCAGTCTAAGGGTTCATGTAAATCAAAGTAGTAGTAGTTTTCATGCGCGTCACTCATAAGAAAAGATTTTAATTAAAATAATTTCAGCAGCAAAAGTTTAAAAAATACTTCTTTCATTTTTCTCTTAACTTTCATTATTATTATGATAAAAATTAATTGCCTTGAATTATCGAACTTGTACTAGATTCTGTATTAGTAAATATTTTTAAGCTTAAAAATACTATATAAACTTGAATCCATGATACGTCAAAAATGAGGAGCACAATCTCAAAAATAACTGAAAATAAATTTATGCAACGCTTCATTGAAATAATTTATCGAATCGTATATTAAGGATATTTTTGCTTGATCAGGAATGAATACATCATTAAAATGTACCGCATATATATAAAACGAATCTAAATGAATATATTTTCCTGTAGTTTCAGTTTGAATAAGTCAAATGAATGATGAAAATATTTAAAATAGCGTTCGCTATATATATATATTTTAATATCGACGTAATAAATAATCATTAAAGATTAATAATAAATCTTTCTTTATTTTACAAATCTATGCTACTTAAGTACAGTTGAATTTTTTGACATATTTGTTTTAATGATTTATAGTAATCCTGTCTCACTAAGAATTTAATTAGAATAATGGCGAAGAATGCTGTTTATCATATTAGGTTGAACTTTCCTGGAAATTTTCTCAATGATAGTTTTACAACTCGAATCAAAGAAGATTTTCTTTTGCGCTTAAGTGAAACCGAATACTTGTCTTAAATTCTATATAGGCAAAACCTTCATTCATCGAAAAAATATAAATCCAAATTCGTTTTCTACTACCCATTGTTTCGATCATTTTTACGAAGCAAAACATCGAATAGTTTGTTAGATATTCTCGTTCTCTCTTAAACATTAATTGTTATGTAAGATACTAGAAGAATAATAAGACGATATACTCAAACTGTAACAAGAATGGAATTCTGTTCGACTACTATGATAATACATGACCCATGAGAGGTTACACAAATCAATTTTCTTGGTTAAATCAAAATGAATAACAAAGAATTTTAAAAAAGTAAAAATGAGATGTTAATCACACATTTTTATAAGCATGCATCAACTATTCGAAATATAGGTTTTGCTTCTAGAATTACTCAAACTTTCATTTTTTTTGTCTTACTACAGCTTTTTACAATATCTTGATCTTGATTGTCTTCGAACGTTTCAGATAACAAAGATACAAATTTTAATGAGACATTTTTTTCTTTTCATTGCATATAATTAAACAGGACGTAATGAACTCACTAGCTGCAACAGTTTTCGAAAGACTTATTAGGAGAGAAATGTTACTTTTTCTCGATGAGTCGACTTTTTGAAAAATATGTCGCATTTTCAGTATTGATAAACTTTCGACTTTTGTCTTTTCTAAAAATCTAAAAAAGTTCTCATAACAAAATCTTTGAACAAATTCGCAAACATCTATATTCAAGGTCAGCTCATTCGAACTTATCCTCGAGATATGCAGGATAAGCGAAAAGTAAACATGACATAGGATCGAACAGAGTAAGGATTAGAAATGTTTTCTCAAGTAGAATACACAGTTCATAACATACTTCTCATGTGTATCTGTATTTTGCTACTAATTATTTCTGCGATTTATTACTTCTCGAGTTCTTCAAGTAAGCTAGTCTTAAGAAATACGAGATAAAAGTTTCTTAGGAAAAGGAAAAGGTTACCAGTCATATAAACGCTCGTTTAAACGTGTTTGATGCGTAAAATATGGGACTGTGAACATTAAAAGCGATTTGTTTTTGTAAAAAGCAAGTGTCCAGTTGTGATTGCTAAACAATTGTGTATAACAACATAGATTTTCTACAAAGTGCGATTGGTTAATGGCAGATAAATAAGAATGCTTTATTAGGGTCGAGTAGGGCAACGTAAGTGTCAACAACTTTTTCTGATGTCTGATTCAAGCAAACGAAAAGAAAGTTTATCGTGCATATGTGTAATATTTCTATGCATATGTAATAGAAAACAAACAGTTTGCCTGCACTTTCATATTGTATTTCCAATATTTGGCATTAATAACAACATGAGTGTTATGAAACACTTGCGCAGCAAAAAAACATCGTTTTATTATTAATCAAGATCAAGACCAATTGAAAGAAATCAATAAACTATAACACACTTGCTCATGAGAAATTATTTGAAATAAAGCAATCAATTTCAGTATCTCCTATATTGATTTTGATATTTATTTTGTAGAATAAGAACTTTTTGTTTTGATTAATAAATAAGAATTTCAATGAATTTTTAATTTGAGACAGAAACACAATGGTCTATAAGCTAATAAATATATAGAATAGTCCAGCTTTTTGAGACAAGACAGATAATAAATCGAAAACTTCTTTCAACGCTATTGGCAATGTTTTCATCATTAGTTTATCTTTTGACGTGTCTCTTAACAGAGAAAAAAGCTAAATAAGTTTCAGTAATTTAATACAACTAAATAATTTCTTTTTATGTTCTCTCGAAAGCTTAGGTGTATTTTTATTTTCGTGTCTTATATAACTTGTCGTGCGCGTTTCCCACACAGATAAAGAATAGTCTCTCGGAATTTCACACTCAGATAGATCACTACGAAAACAACAAGGAAAATAATGCATCTCTTTTAATTATTCTTTATTTTTCTCTTTATTCAAGTATTTGGAAGTGTTCTTCCATCGTTTATAACAATCATTAGTAATATGATATCAATCTATCGAGTACGTCAACTAAATCGTTCAACGTCAAATTATATAATACCATCTCGCCGTCGTACAGATGATACACGTCGTGTATTACTTGTTATTACAGTTGAATGTTTATTTGCTATAATTAATTCATGGTTTAGTGATATATTTCTTTCACTCGTGTATTGTAAACGAAATCTACTAGCTGATGATGATTGTCCAATGTTTTTAAAAGAAAACATTAATTTATTAATTATGTTTGATATGTTTAATTCGATTTCAAATATTTTTCTACATTGCTTATGTGGAAAACGTTTCCGGAATGAATTACGTCTCATGTTTCAATCATTTTTTCAAATAATAAAGCGTTGCTTTAGTGAAATATGTTGCTGTTACTTTCAAATACAATTCAACGCATGTAGCCGAGATGAATATGTTTGGTACAATGCTTCTATTAGAGGAAATGATAGTTCGAATAGTTCACATAGTATCAGTCCAACTCATTTATATTTAAAAATTCAAACACCATCTCGATTATTAAAAAATCGATGTTGTGATTGTCGATGGTATTTTAATAGAAGACCATTTATTACCTTACAACAATTTTTATCAACAGTATCAAAAGAATGCTTAGGAAAAAATCGGAGACATTTGTCGGCTCATTATCAATCGATACCAATCGGTGAACAGGCAATAACACTAACAACAAGTAACTCAATGAAACTTTACTCTCCTCAACAACAACAACAACAACAACAACAACAACAACAACAACAACAACAACTAATAGCAACAACGACAACATTACCATCAGAAAATAAAAAATGGTTTTCATATTTTCGATGAGACAAGACTGTTCATTCTTTTTTTTTCTTTCAAATTGATTAATTGATTAAGATGAATTGCTCTGTAATATTCTTGCATAGTGTTCACTGTCAGGAAACCATTCAATAGAGAAGACGTGAATGGCAGCAAGAAAAAAAACAGAACGCAAGAAAAAAGCTCGAATTTCAATTGTACCTTTTTTTAAATACACTTTTAATGGTGTTTGGAACTCGATACCATTTAGATCAAAGGTGAATAGCCTATGCCCTTGAATTTTGTTTTCAGATTTGTTTTCTATGTGAAATAAATAGGGAAAATTTCAAATTATAAATACTAGGCTCATCTATACAACATCTGATTTATAAAAATGGTTGATTTCTCCTTTCAATAAATAGTGTTGATTTGCTTTCTTTAGATTAAAATATCGTCGACAGTATCAATTTCAATAGTATTAATAAATAAATAAACGATTGTAATCATTTATTTATATTGAATGAATAACACTAACATAAAAATTTGACAATCTAATGAGTATTTAATTGAGAGAATGCTTTTTCGGAAAATTTTCATTACTAATTTAGGGCATATTATCTGAAAGTAAACAATAGTTTTATAGATGTAGGCAGAAATCTACATTGAGTTCAATTTTATAATATTATTTACAGTTCTCAATTATTTAGTATTTGTTAATAGGATGAATTGAGCGTCTTTTTGCTCTCCTGTGGAATTACCAATATTGATTTGATATAATAACACAATTCTTGACATTAGTGATGTAGCCCAAGAAAACTAAAAGGAACTAAATCATAGAGCAGAGTTTGAGGATGTTATGCCTCTGAGAGCTAAAACTTTAATTTTATTACTAGTTGCTACCATCTCTGTTAGGAAACATAATCAATCTGACGATAATAAGGTATTGACTGATTATTTATTTCTATTTTTAATTCCTTTTTGTTTTAGCATAGATAGATTTTTGTATAAAAATGAATTATTTGTTTCTATCGAATGGCGCATTTCGGTGATAGTATTTATTTTTTCGTCCAATAAAAATGTATGCATAACTATATCATATCGAGCAAATGAATTGAATTCTCTTGTTCGCGTATTGTACACATCAATATGTCGAATAATGAACAAACAATTCAATTTCCTATTGCTCTTAAACCATTATTAACCGACTTTGTTGTTCATGTTTTACGTGATCGAATACCATCTGATCAATTACCATCATATGCTGTACAATATTTTTCTGAGAGACAAAATGCCCAAACGTATACAGCAACGCTTGATGATAATACGGAATCAGCAGGCACATTTTTAACTCATCAAACAAGTCGTATATCTAACCAAACTGATGACATCATAAAGGATGAAAAACAGCGACGAAAATCTGTTTGGGGTGGTTCACCGGTATAGTAAAATAATAGGATGCGTTTTGTTCAATTTTTAATTGAGATAGGTTTCCTTTTAGGATCCAGATCGAGATTTAACCGATAAAGTAGTGATGAAAAATCCAGATGTATTTCAAATATTATGTAAAATTGTACAAGATGCAGTCATTTATGTTGGTGATGATCCATCACTTGTTAAACAATTTGTCAAATATCTTGCACCAAAAAATGTTTTCAAAGGAGAAGAAATTATTCGACAAGGAGATGAAGGTGATTATTTCTATTGTATTGAATCAGGCAAATATGATGTCATTGTGAATGGAAAAAAAGTATCTGAACTTGATAATAAAGTAATTAATGAAACATTTGTATTTATGTATGGTATATTATAGAATAATATATTGTACCGAATATTTTAGGGTTGTTTTGGGGATATTGCTTTATTATACAGGTAGGATAATCATGCTAGTTTTCTTCACATAAAAGTACATTTCTTCTCCTTCTTGATAACAGAGAAATTTCTCGCAAAACATTCATTTTCTTTTATAAGACAAAATTTATAGATTTTTAACAAGAATCCAAGCATTTTATTGAGATTACCTTTGGACGTATCAGAAAAATTCTAAATAAAAATTCCAAACTGAATCTAATGATTCCTGAACTAGAATTGTAAGTCGCTTACTTGAGTTGCTACTGCAATTGCTCTAGTTGTTGTTCTATTCTATCATTGCTGTCGGTTCGAATATTGATACTAAATGTAAAAGATCTCGATGCTCACAGTTAGCTTCTAGGTGACAGTGACTCTGAAAAACAGAAAGGCAGTAAAAAACTTTAAGTTTTTCAGCTACTGATCGATGTCTGGGCTAACATCTCTGATAATGATTGCTAAAATTTATCAACAGACTGATCGTATTTCGTATGATCAATACTCGTGTATTTAGTGCTCTTACTAGAATTTCGTCGGCCATTCCTTTAGAAACTTTGATTTTTTATTTTGAGAAGATGCAGCAATCCCGTTTGTTTTGAAATATGTACAGGATTTTAAAATGGCAGCATTTTCTTTGTGGAATCTAAATTTCATGTAACTTGATGTAGTTTCTGTTTGATATTTCTTTACATTTCGTGTTAGTATTTCGAGTAAAATATAATCAATAATAAAAAATCTGAATATCATTTCGAATAAAATCCGCAAGTGATAGAAATTCATATAGTTAACTTGTGTTCATATTCATCTTCGATATGGTTCAAACTTATGTAGACAACTGTCGTCGAAACATCTAGCGTTAGTCTATGTTACTCATATTTGCCAATGATATTAGATAAAATACGCTAATATTTCTATTCATTGAAAAAGGAGCTTTTGATCTATTTTACTAATGTAAAACTACTTATTGATAATAAAGAATGATATAAGCAGATTTTTATTAATATCGTTCCATTTCTCCCGAAAGTTCTTTTGCCTTGGTATTAAAGCATTTCTATTTCACGTCATATTCTATTCATATTTCTGATACAAAAACCAAATATTTTCTCAAAAATGCTTTCAAAATATATTGAGCTTGAAATGATTGAAGTCTAAACAAGAATTGCGATGTATTCCGTCAATTTTTGTCATATAATGGCAGGCGAAAAGCTTTTTAGTCTATTCATACTTTCATCAATTCACTGCTTTTGCTGTCTACAAATCGACAGAACTATCGTGCGCATTTATCTTACACGACTGTTAAATGGTTTTCAAGATCTAGTTCACACCTCGAAAATCTTTTTTCTAGCTTTTACTATTTCTTCACGTAAGAAAAAGAAGAAAATATTCTATTAAGAATTTTTTTCTAGGGCATTAAATAGCATTCATTTTTTTCAGAAGAACTGAATTCAATTTCTTAATTCTATTTAGTCAACCACGTACAGCTACTGTCAGAGCTACCACCGATGGAAAGCTGTGGTCAATAGACCGAGATACATTCTCGACATTAACTGTTTCATTTGCTATAAAACAACGTGAAAAATATTTAAAATTTCTTCATACAGTTAATTTTATTCAAACGTTTTATGCGCGTGGTTGGTTGAATGAAAATCGTTTACAAGATTTAGCTGATGCACTACGGCCACGCTATTATGTAGCCAATCAAATTGTTATTAAGCAAGATGATACAGATGCATATGAAATGTTTTTTATTGAAGATGGTTCAGTTAAAGTAACACGTCAAGAAACAGATAGAACAATACGTGAACTCAAAATACTGGGAGTTGGAACATGCTTTGGTGAATTAGCATTACTTGAAAATAGACCACGTTATGCAACAGTAACAGCACTTGAAGAGTGTCGTTTAGCAACACTAAATGCAAAATCATTTGAAAATTTACTTGGATTTGAATTAAAAACTAAACTGAAAGAATTTGTTGATAAAGAATATGCGACAGGAACATTAGATGGTGCACCTAAAAACAAGAATTGATTCATTTTTGCTTCATTTCAATTTTAGATCATTTTTTTTCTCTTTATATTTTGTCTTTTTGGAAAGATAAATGTCACAAGGACGTAAAAAAAGGTAGATTATGAATTCAATAGTTTATTTTGAACAACATTTCTTTTTCGCATTCAGAAGCTCGTATGATTCAACTCGTGCCAGAGAAGCGATTCAGACAATTGAAAACGCTTGGTGTCGACACCGTGATAGACAAATGTTTCGATTATTAAAACATGCCGTATGTGCCGCTGAACATGCTCTTTCAAATGATATTCTCCGACGTCTATCACCCCGTGAAGCTGAACTATTGCGCGATCGTAGTTTGAATGCGAAAGTTAAATTTCGGTGAATCTATATTTATATAATTATTAATTTTCTTAAATTGCTCACTGAGCTGAAATTATAATACACAGAAAATACTTGAATTTATTTGTGACCTAAATCTAATCATTTACACATCATAAAACAAATTCAATCTATCTTGTTCTAGTTTTGGTGGTGCCGAATTTCCCCCAGTGATCTATTTTAAAATATATGTACGTAACTTTAATGGCGCTCATCCAAAATATGTCAATGGTAAAAGTATGATAAATTCCGATATGAACGTATGTGGCAATCATTTATATAGATTAAAACATTTCTTTACTATTGTACGTAGAATAGGCTCGTATAGCTGCATGTAAACAAATGGGTCAACGAGTTTTTTATCAACAAATGCTATCTGATTCATTACATGGAGCAAGTGGACGAGCATCTGATGAACTTGATGTTGTCACATTAAAAGATTATATGCAAGTGAGAAAATAAACTTAACATTTTGTTTTTCTTTACTGTAATTTTCATGATAATACAATCTTAGTATTCAAGTTTACTGGATGAATTACCATCATATCTTGGAGGACGAGCAAATAATTGGCGACGATTGAATCTTGCTGGTAATTTAGCTATTTTGTATCATCTATATTCATCTTGTGTCTCTTCTCAATAGATATTCCAAGACATTCGATCTTTTATGATATAATTAGTTATATAGAGTCTGGTCATATAACATCTGATCTACGTGATAGAATACCTATGCTACTTACTCAACCAAATGCTCAATCAGTACAATTACAACATATTGAATTACTTAAACAGATAAAGTAAAACAAGAAAAAAATAAATATATTGATACATATTTTTGCTTCTGGAAATAATTAGATCAGGAGTAACTTCACGAACAAGCGGTACATCAGCTTCATTTCCAAAAAAACCATTATCAACAGCAAGACGTTCTCGTCGTGCACTTGAAAATGCATCCAAAATGCGTCAAACTTATATGATGACACGGTCTGAATCACTACCTACAACTCTCATACTTCAATATGAACAACAAGTGGCACCGAATGCAAGTGACGAGGAAGAACAACAACGTCTTCGACCAGATAATACTCCTATAGCTAAAGATGAATTTAATGATGGAGAAGTCGATGCTCTCTACGCTTGGACTGAACAACTTGAATGGAATGAAGATTTATTTAAAACAGATCAAATCTCAACAGCTTAAATAAAATATAATTCTATTTTTTTTTCTTGCTCTTTTGTAAATTGAATGCTTCCTATCTGCTTCAAACGAGATCAAAACGAAAGAAAACTTATTACATAAACGAATGTGTGAGTTGAGCAAATGAGTGATTGAGTGATCATTGATGTTATGCATATTCAATAGGTTGTCTCCTTCCTTCTCTCAATGTGAGATAAGTCGATTAAGCTATTCATTCAGTTTTTTTTTCGAATTAAAGAAAAGTGAAATAGGATCAATTGAAAAAACAACAAATAGGCAATTGTACAAGAAAGAAGAAGTGGATTATTCAAATAGATCAATTAGATTGATGTGTGAAATAACCGAATAATTGTGATCATATCTAACGTTCAAACTAAAATAAAGTGCACTGTGTAAATGCGTACTAGTGACATTATTGAATACACAAATCGAAATAAAATGGAAGAAACAACTTCAAAAATTTTTGCTCATTTGCATCTAATGAAAAATTTTCTATGTAAAAAAATAAAAAGTAAGTATTCATGTAACATGTTATATGTAATTCTTAAAACATCATCGAATGCAAATGATAGTTTTGACAGAAAATAAAAGAGAATTAACTTCCTTAAATAGCTAATAATCATCATTAAGAATGAAAAATTCATAAAAACAATACGAGACGAGTTTCATGCGTTAGAAAAACAGTATTGAAATGTATATATATTTGAAGAATATCATATCTCATAATTTGAGTTATTAGCTGAATAATCAACTATGACTTTATAAGGATGTGACTTTAATGAGTAGTTGGATCTATATCATTTTGAGTTGAGTTTTACTACCGGACTAGATCTGTTTCGTAGATGATTGTTTCTTTTCTAATTGTTATTAGAGTAGAGAAATCTATTCTCTCAATTTAGGAACACCTCAATTTTGTGGCAATATTACTAATCATAATGATACATATTATTGTCCCACAAGTTATTATTCGATGACTGGCGACGACGATATTGATCTATTATCTGAATCGGCATTTGAAACATTAACTAATGTGAGTATTGATTCAGACAAGACGGAAGTGTTAATAGATTTTTTGTTGTTTTATTTTAACAGATCAAATCCGAGGATGCAATCTCTTCGATCAGCGCTGATTCATTAGATTCAGGCGTGTCAACAGTGAGTGACTTTTCACACTGTTCATTAAAATCTTCTTCATCGCTATCAATATCGTTACTTAATCGTACAGCAACAATGCCACAATCGTCTCATTTAAGGTGTGATCCATCAATCATTAATTATCTATCTCATAATTTATTATCTAATCATCATTTGGAATATTTTCTTGATGAAATCGATAATCATGATATTGATGAATTGCCATCGACACAAATACCCTTAGCTGAAAGTAGTCGACGTGTAATTTATGATAGTGATCAGACCGTTGTTGCCGATGAAGAAGATGAACAGATAGGACCATTAACGTCAACGTTAGTCGATCGTTGGCATGCGGTGACAAAAACTTATTCTGCTACGTTTCGTGATGATTTAACTGTACGAAAAAATGAATTAGTACAAGTTCTCCGTTGTTCACATCCACATTGGATATGGGTACGAAATGAAAAAAGTCAAGAAGGTTTCATACCATGCGATTGTCTTATGCTTATTGGTTAATTGGTGAATAAACTGTAAAACAAGAAACTTTTCTAAAGTCAATATATTCTGTTAAAAAATTGATGCATTTTTTATTATTGTACAATATCTGTATTTTTTCTATTCTGAAAAAGAAAAACAACAATAGTTATCAACCTATCAAAAAATATTTTTTCAGCAATTGAAAGAAACTAGAGCTTACAGTGACAGGTAAACTAATTCATTTGAAGATGGTTTTTTGTCATATAAGTCATGGTGTGAGTAAAGATTAGAATTATTTCGTAAGTAAAAACTACTCTCAAATATGAAAAATCTTATAGTTATCGTTTAAACACGAGTAATGTCAAAATGATATAAAAATGTAGAGACAGATTGATTAATCGAGTAACAAAGAGAATTTCGGTTTGCATGTCGAAAGAAATTTGAAAATTTGCAAAAAGAACATGAGTCAAATTTGCCCTTTGTTGCTGGCATAGTACGAAAATCATTTAATCGAGTGAACCGTGCATTTATTTATTTTGCTTCTTTTCGTGTAACGCTGATAATGTTTGCGCTTTTCACCAGATATATCAATCATAGATGATAACTCATTACTGTGAAACAGATAGAGAGTTACACATTAAATGTATTATTTAGTCGTTTTATACTTGATATTAGTGACTATTGCAAAATACGAAGATTTCCCACAGAAATATCTAAGAAAATGTTTGATGCTATTTTGATGAGGATGTTTTCTTGTAACTATTGAACAAACGAATATCGTATGAGTGTATGCTCTGCTAATATCAAAAATTTCACCGCCGACATCTTTAATCTAGAGTTTTTAATTCTTTGTACTGTAAGCATATTACTCGTCTAGGCTTCATTTCACAAGAGTAGTTCTTTCTTCGAATCTTTTGCTGTTCTTCTATATTATTGTTTCAAGGTCGAATGACTCATGTTTGTTGTAATTTCGCAAGATTAATGTAAGATACTATAAAATGATCACATGTATTCAATGTGAAAATAACAACATGGGTGATGAAGGTTCTATTCAAAATTTAGGAGCTGAGTGGAATGAATTTTTAATGAAATTTCATGCACAAAACGAAAAAGTCAAACAAAGTTTACGTAAAGTACATAGTTTGATTTAATTTATGCAAACTATATATCCTATTCGATTGATAGGTTGATCTTTTTCCTGGAAAAGATCTCGTATGTTTTGTTCTGTACAATGTATTTGCACCAGAAGAATGCCAATTTCTTATCGATTCAATAGAAAATATTGGTAAATGTCTTTGAGAGATCCACATTCAAATGTTTCTTTTTTCTATAATAAATTGAATAGGTTTTAACAAACTTCTATATGGAGAAAATTATCGAACAAATACAAGGTTGGAATAATTTCTTTCTAATAAACGTTGTATTGATTGCGACAGTTTTAGAACTCAGATAAAGCAAACTGATCTTGCAAATGAATTTTTTCTACGTGTTCAAGGTAATGATTTGTAAATTAATGCATCTACATATATTCAATCACATTCATATTTTGTAAATGAAGATTTTCTACCAAAACAATGGCCTGGCCACAAAAACACTTCACACTGGGAATTAATGAATCTCAATGATCATTTAAGAATATGCCGGTAAAATGAACATAATCATCAGTAAAAGAGTACGAACTACACATAAAGGAACAAGTCTACAAGATTGAATGCAGTATCTTTTTTCAGAAACCTAACTAGTCTATTGAGTTTTGACTAATTGGAAATTTTATCTTCGAATAAAAAATAAGTTGAACTACGTATTGAAAAGTTGAGTATTCATCTTCACACACAATGTCTCAGATCAACATGGAAACTATTTATATCAGACATAAAATACATCTTAGTAGCGGCATATCACAGACGTTAATATGCAGCTTATAGCAGCAAGGTACCGTCCTCCCGCACCAGACATCTTGGCAATCGCTCTTGATTTAAGATCAAAGACATTGTATCAATATGAAATATGTCCTCATTACATCTGTAATAGAATAAATGTAAGGCTGTCGAAGAAATGTGTCCGAAAATTAGTATAATAGAATAATCTGTGTATAGTCAGTATATCAAAGCCGACATTTTGTTTCACGTCAGTATTCTATAGGAATTTTGCTAGAAATTTCTAAGACTAACTTTATATTTTATTTAGATACGAACCAGGTCAATTTTTTGCACCACATTTCGATGGAATTTTTTAAAAGTCTTACATGGAACAGAGTCAATTGACCATCATGGCGTATCTTAATCATTCATATACTGATGGTCACACCAATTTTCTTGATGATACTACTAAACCTCATGACATTACTTATGCGTTGAAACCTGAAACTGGTATCTAACAGCTAGATATTGTTTGTTTTTGTGAACAGAATATTGATATTTAGAATAATATTTCAGGAATGGTTTTAATCTTTCAACATGATTTATTTCATGAAGGCGAAACAGTATCAACTGGAAAAAAGTACATAATGCGCAGGTAGGATATTCAATTGGAGTTTGTTTTCTCTATTCATTTAAACTTTACATTTACGGTAAATAGTGATGTGATGTACAAACGAATATTGATTGAACCAATGTCAACAAAGGAACATGAAGCAAGAGAACTTCTTGCTCAAGCTGAACAATTTGAAGATCAATCCAATTATGGCGAAGCAAGTAAATGCTATCGAAAAGCATACAAATTATGGCCAGAGTTGGAAAAAGAATTTGGAAAATAGCTAATATTTTTCTTAACATAAAATATGCTAATAAAAATAAAACAAAATATTGACAAAATTTTTATTTCTAATCAACTCATAAGAAGTTCAATTAGTTTTAGTTCCTTCATTTTTCTAAAAAAATCTATTGATATGCTAGAAATGTATTCTTAACTATGCAACAAATTGAGATAAAATTGATTTTTCAATCCTATTCTCTTTTATGCAAAAAAAAAGTATGTTTTGTGTGATATCAATGAGAAAACGAAAGTAAAATACACAATATTAACTAATGGAAACATATTGAACTGAATTAAAAGAATTTTAAATAGCATTTAATATTTTGAAAATATCTTAATAGACGACAGATTTCATAAGGTTGCCGGTTTTTGTAAAGGAAATATGCCATGAATTTCTAGACAACAATGATACTGGAAAATTCTCTTCGATTCTGTTAATAACTGTCTGATAAAATACATAGCTACAGCAATATTCGACAGTCCAATATCTCATTACTTTGATAGAAACATTTACTTGAAAATAAAAGTTTTCTTTTTCGGTCCTGTGTCACCTAGCTTATATTAAGAACAATAGGATCTTAATACTGTGCTATAAAATGTGGTTCTATGTATATGCTGAAATGCCAAGTATATACAATCTCCGACTATTGTGTTCTCCGGTCCTATTCGAATAGGTTGCTACGTTTTTTTACATTCTATGCAATCATCAGTAGTTTATCCATCAATCTAAAGCACGGATCTGCTCTACTAAATTTTAGTTATCTTATGGATAGACACAAGTGAGTTTCCATTCTCTGTTTTACTAACAAAAATTGACAGAGAAGATTCCAATGGGCTCGAACATAGTTTATTCTCGCTTAATAGAGGAATTGTACAAAACGCTTTCTTCATAAATTTATTCACACCGTTACGCGAAAAAAGCTGTAAGAACATGAAATAAAAGAATGAACAACTCTCCTCTAATATGAATGATTATTCTTTTTCAATTCATACCTGTCTTTTGTCTGCAATTCGTTGTTATCGATATCGTTCGCTTTTTAAAACCTATTAGTATGATACAGGTTAAGTTGATAGAAAGCACTTCTGTAACAAAGTGACGAGAAAATGATGCATATAGGCACGTTACAAAATATTTATTGATTTGTTAGTTATAGTAAACTCCTGTTGACAAGAGACAAACATTAAATATTCATATAAACACAAGAAATGGACTGAGTGAAGCTATGAGTAGACGACAACTAAACTATGTAATTACGTAGACGATCAATAATCTAACTGTTATCTATTCTGTCGGCATTATTATTTCTCATCAAAATTATAAAAGAATAAGCTTTAGCTTCTAGAAGTATAGAAAAATCTATTTTGTATGTGAGTCAAGAAAACAAAAATTTATTTAAATCTATTGAACTGATAGTTTCATTATTACTGATCAATCACTCCTTTTCCTTTTGCATTGTAATATCTACTATATTGGTTCATATATCGGAATTAAGAGAAAATTTAGTAAGCAGCCGATCTGTCGGACATGTGGTAAATTCAAGAGCCAAAGTATTTATTTTTTTAGAGCGATAACGAGATAGAGACGATAGCCTGTTAAAATTTCTCTATTATTAAACAAACACATTTGAATATTGCAGTGGATTTTAGAATATTTGTAAGCTACAAAATAACCTTCAATGAATCGAGAAAATTTTCAAATAGATTTGTGTTTTCATCGAACTTAGTTGTGATTCACTGATCATTGTATATTATTTGCAATTTAACTCAAGGTCGTTTGAAAAAGTCGAACTCAAATAAAGAAAATTTTCATTGTCATAATTTGTTCACAGATAACTCACACCATTAGACTAGCACCAGTGCTTTCTTCTCACGGTGGCACATAAGGATCTCACATGAGCACTTACAATTGATATTATACAATAATTTAGATTGAATGATACGTATGATATTATCTAATCTATGTCGGATGAGTAACTGAATAGATCGCGTTCAAATTAAATTGTTTAGACTATTACAATATTCTTTTAATCGAGTAAACAAGTATATCGGATTTTGACTAGGTGAGTTTAAGTTACGTCAATTAAACATACGTAAAAAATATGTTTGTTTTTTTGTGATGCAAAATATGTCAATTCATATTTTGATAGATCTATTCTGAATGACTAAATCTACGCGTAGAGAATTTTCCATTCGAAAGATAATCAAGAATACATGTTGAAATAATATTATATTTTCATAATTCAATTCCAAACCAAAAATTATTCTTATCTATTTTAATCTTTTCTTCTATTTCAAATCAATGTGATGAATTCTCTTTTATTTGATATTTTTCATTTTTGATATTCTTTCCTTTTTTAAAGCTATATTTCATCATTACAAAGCCATGATCAGTTCATCGCTCAATGACATCATATCATGTTTTCTAGTTTTTTTTTCTTCTTTCATAAAGTTGCAATCCCCATCTACCCACGAGTCATCATCCGATTGCCGCCAAGCACCCACCCATGACGTTCGCTGATTTGTCTTCACTTGTATTACTCTTTCGTTTTTTTTAGCATAGTAGCTGTGCAAAAGAATGTCAGGTGTATATTCTTTCTCTCTTTTTTCTCTCTTTTTCTCTGTATCTCTTTTTTTTGTGCAAAGTATCTGCCTTAACTACCACTATATTTGGGCATGGTTGAGCGAATTCGTATTGCCTACTACAGGCATATGAATATGAATTGCCTTCGAGATTCGTTTTTTATTGTATGCTTATAATATCATAGCCATCCTTTTTGTCATGTTTTTTTTGGAGGTCTTTGCTCTTTCTCGATTTTTTTTCTTACTTTTTTTTTCCCGACTGTTCGATCGGCCATTTACTTGGTGTTCTCTTTAGGAGAGATATGTAATGATAAGTTGTTTTCCTTTTTTTTCTTCTTCTCTATACTGATCAACAAAAAACAAGAAAAACGAAAAAGAGAGGAAGAGAAAGAGAGAGCTAGTGTGTCGCACGGTGTTTGAGGAAGAAATATTGCACGTAGGACAAACAGTGAATTGGTGTTAACGAGAAGGATTACAATAGAAAATTCTTCCACGATTTCTTATCTACTTTATCTTTTGTAGATTAATTCACTCTTGATTGGACTTTTCGTGTTAATATCAACAACATGTCCATCCGACCGCCAACATATAGAATGGCTCGTCCATACTCTGCGTAAGTTTATTTAAAATATCAAAATAACTATCAAATAGTATTTTGATGAAATTTCAAATGTTTTTAGACGAGGACCCACATTTATTTCTCGACCACCACCACCAGGAGGCGTTGGAGCTGGATTAGGTAAAGGTGCAGGTGGCGGTGGTATTGCTGGATTGATCGGTGGTTTAGCTTGTCCACTACTTTGTCTTGGCTGTCTATCAACATTAGCCATTCTAGGACTTTTTGCAACCATGATTGGTGCTGCAGCTTATATGAGTAAATGATTAGTTTCTTTTATTTCTATCATTAATTTAATTAATATTCAATAATTTCTTTTTAGACGGCATTCAAAGTCAACTCCGTAAAAGTATTCAAGGTTCTGGTACAATAATTGAACTCAATATAATGGTTCTCTTCTGTGCTCTTTTCTGCTCCATTTATATTTTATCAAAACATCGTCTTGGTGTTGCTAGCACTTGAGTTGGGTGATGATTCTACATACCTATTCAAACACCTTTATACACATTTGAACAACAAGCACGCATATCTATCGAAAGAACTATTTTTTTGCAACACTACTATATTTTTTCTTTCTTTTTTTATATTTTGCGCGCCGGAAAAATACTTTTTTTTTTTGAACAGGTACAATTCGTTTATAATATTAACAACGATCGTCAGTCAGCATCGTCGTCGTCGTCATCGTTATCATTGATTTTCTCCGAAAAATAAAATATCAAATAAAATGCTGCTGAATTGTTTCTATTATCAAATACATGAATACCTGTTTTAATTTTTTTTCTGTCGCCTGTCTATTTTTTTGTCTATGAATTATTAAAAACAAAAAGAAATATAAAAATATGTGCAGATTTTCAGTTCATCATAGACGATAGCAGGGCGTGTGTACTTTTTGAAAACTCGATTTAACATTTCTTAAAAGCAAAACTATTGCTTAATTATATTTCGATTTTTGTTATTCATATGTATAAATCCATTTGATTAACTAATTTATCTGAATACAATACGTGTTGGTCGTCCTCTTTTTTTGTAAATCGGACTCGTTTTCTTTTTGTTCTGCACGAACATGTACGATACTCATATTTGAATTTTTGCTATCAAGGTCAATTCTCGTTTACTGGTTTGTATATTCGTCAGGAATCTGTCATTCTTTTACGTATGTATGCGTTCGTTTTTCTACGTTACGCATGATTTATCTTTTTTGCACTTTCTTTTTTTGTCATATGTATGCATATTCATCATAAAATATGGAGGCTGATGTGTAAAGCTTGTTTCTCTCTTCTTAGATTTTTTGTCGTCAACGTAGGTAAAATCTTTTTTTTTGTATATTTTATGTCATACATATTGGTGAGAAATACATTAGTTTCTCTCTTGCACTATCATGAAAGCAAAAAAAATGCCGTCAACCATGACTTGAATGTGCAAAGAGGTGTCTCCTTCAGATAGGAGGAGAGAGAGAGAGAGAGAGAGAGAGAGAAACAGAGTGCGAAGAAATACAGTCGTATTTTTTTCAAACAATAATTATCATCGAACCCTATATGCTTATGCTTTTACGAGAGAGAGGGAGAGAGAGAGCACATATACGTGGATTTAGCATTGGTTGTTGTTTTTTTTCTTAAAGAACAAAAAATACTATGTTTCTACATGGATCGTGAGCCATTAGATTTTTTCTTGTATTCTTATATTGATTCTAGATCATATTCCACCATTGAGTGAGAACATGTACAGACCACGGTAAGTACAACTTTATTATGTATGTTCTCTGTGCACAATTATTTATGAACTTCTTTTTATTTTAGAGCACCATTACCTCCACCCGGCCGTGCCGGTGGTGCAGGCATGCTTGGCGGATTATTGGGTGGCTTAGGTGGCGCTGTCACTTGCCTCTGTTGCCTAACAGCACTTGGTCTAATCGGACTTTGGGTTACATTTATTCCATTCGTTGCATTCTTTAGTAAGCTAATTGGAAAAGTTTGTTCGCTTTCCATTGAACACCATTTTTTCGTTTTCTTTTCATTTTCCGTTAGAATATGCATATGATCAAGAAGTAAGAGCTTTTGGTGGTAGTCCAAGTATTCATAATCTTCAACAATTTGTTATTCTTCTTGCTATCTGCTTATTGACAATGCGTTTCGTCAAGCGGCAAATGAATACATAAATTCAATGAAATAAAAAGACTATTTTTTTTACATATCGAGCTTCAGTTGTCGTCGTCGTCGTTGTCGTCGTCGTCGTCATTGTTTTTGTCAAATTTGTTGCACATCAATATGTAAACGCGCGCTTTATAAACACAAAGAAATAGAGAGAGAAGAGCCGTCGTCGTCATCGTTATATATAATCGATCCCAAACACCACAGTTTCTCTTTTTTTTGTCTCTATCTCTCTACAATTTTTTGTCTTTTTTTCATATAATATTTTTTTTGCTATTGAACAAAGCACGCGTCCGCATACATTGATCTTTTTATATTTGTTCAAAGTAAATTATAAGAAAGAATAATCCAAAATATCACAATCAATATATGATTTGAATATTTTCAGTATTTGATTGAGAATATTGAATTATGAAAAGAAAATTATACTACTGGCAATACTTCTAAGAAAAGAACAAAGATTGTGTCAGTTAACATTGTAATAGATGAACTTAATACTAAAAAGAATTGAAGATTTGAAATTCGTTTGCGTGAGCAAAAGAATATTTTTGCGAAACCAATATTTTCTAATTTGGTTTAAAACGTGAAAGAAATTAGAACGTCGCAGTCGAAGAAATCAGAAAGACCAGCGGATATAGAAACAATCAATAAAAAATGATAGTCTACTATAAATCATCTCACTAGCTCGAAGTGAAAAGTTGATCAGAAACGAACATGAATGAATTTGTTTCTTATACTGGACTATACGTAGTCGAAAACTGTGATGAAAGTAAATATTGACACTTTGAAATTGTTTTTTTTCTGTTTTTTTTCTCGTATGCATCAAAATACATATATTGATATGAAAAGTTTGTTTCTATATAATTAATTAACTGTCTACCTGGATAATATCTTTTTTTTCGCATCTCGTTTTATTGTGCAAAAATGAATGCGACGAAAGTAGCCATTGTAGAGTAGTTAGCATTTTCATCTCAAATATAGAATGTAATTAGAAATGAAAAATATTTCTCATCAACTATAACAGTAAACAGAAGTAGAGAAATCACCATCGCAGAACATTAGTATTCATGAAACTTTTATATGCTCCTGATCTGTTGTCATGGAATACATTCGTATATGAGTTTATTTCTTTCAACATAGATATTCAATTTTTTGATAAAACGCTATTGTCAGATATACCAAATCTTGTTTTTGTCCACTTTTCCAGAAAATATCGTCACAGATAATCTCATTGGTCATATTCTTTCCGTCTATTATAATTCTTACGAGAAGTTGTCTTTTACTTCGATAATCAATGTATATGCTTCATGATCATGACCTAATCGGTCGTTATCTACGAATATTCAGCAAAAGCCTTGAAATATAGACATGAACATGAAATAGGTAAATTAGAATAGGAACTGTGATAGATAATCAGTCAATTCTCTTTTAAGATCATAATATTCTGTATGGTTTTGTCGAAAATTAAAATTTAACTTCATATAATCTTCAATTGAACCATTCATTTTGTTTTAAATTTCTCAATCTCAAATGAACATCATTTTCAGCTCTGATAGGATCGAAGTAGAACAGAGTCATTTTCTGTATGTCCCTAAATATACGATGCATAGACTTAAAAAGAAAAAACTGCTTCTATAAGTTAGTTTTATAGTTACTTTTTTTGTTGGTAAATCTTTTCAAAAAATAAAAATTGCAAAAATATCGACACTGTTACACTAAACAATTCATCAACATCATATATTGATCGTAAAAATTTCGATAATAGTAGTTGACCAGCTGTTAGTGACATCTATTGGTAATTAATAGGTACAGATATTACCTTGATGTTCATATAAATTCATAGAAAAGAATCTTACTAGTGTGCAATACCACCGTTTTGCTGTAGTACAAGAATTTCATTTAACGAAAACTGCGCTACTATCGATGCTTCTGTTACATTGACTAATAGCTATTACCAATAGTGAAAATGAAAAAATAAACGGAATTACAATAATTATTTTGAATAGTTATTGCTGCTTTTATATTATTTTTGCGACAGCCATTATTTTGATTTCAACTCATTGATTATAAAATCGAAAATTGAAAACTAAGTTAATATTCATACGACGCGCTTTTAGCAAAAAACAATGGAAAATCTATTATTTTCTAGATGCTTTCAACCGGAGAACCAAATAATACTAGTAACGAACGAATTCAAGATTCAAATGTTTCATCTTCATCAACTCTTAATCAAGTTTATTCTGACTATGAATTTGATGAATCAATGACCGTATTGACTACGTATGTGACGAATATAGTATTAGTCTAATAGTTTTAACTATCAAATTATTTGAGCTTTTAATGGGTGATCTTCATCCAAATATTTCACCGATATCTATAGACTTTGTGAAGAAAATTTATGATTATATTATTTCAGACAGCCGATAAATAAGTCGGAGTAAACAGCTATCTTTCATGAAGCTTTGAAATAATTCTAATTCATAAAACCAGATAAAAGGAAATTTTCAGGTTCCAATATATAGAAAAAACTTTTTAAAAAGAATAAATAAAGAATCTTTATCATCAGATTATAATGATTCATGTTTGTCTCCTATTTTCTTATCTTCGACTGTAACATACAAAGCTGGACTCTTTTTAACCCATAAGCTTCCAACTACTAATATGAATCACCATCGAAAAACACAAAACAATGATATGTGAAAGTAAAAATAAATTATTTACAGAAGAATAACCAAGTTCTTGTTGAATTTATCTCATAAAATAGTTGCCACCTTTATCAATAATTTATTGTTAGAACTGGAAAGCTTTCCGTAGACTCAAGTTTTCTCTATTATCCATGTCTATTCATGTATTCACGAAAATAATAATAATAATCTTTGAATTGATTCTTGTAAATAAAGATGACCATTGAATTCTAGTGTCACAATAATTATAGAGCTGAAAATTTCTATAAATATAAATAGTTTTTATAAAAGTTTTGCTCAGTTATACTTTATTTTTGTAGTTCAAATTTCAATGGTCAACCATCGTATGCGTATGGTAATTTTCCTACTTGTTCAACAGAACAAATGTAAGAAAGCGTCTTATTTTTCAATATTCGCCAATACGAGTTTATTTACAGATGTATAAATGACTATATAAATCCATATAATAATGAATTCTATGAGTATCCCGCTACTAATATTGCAGATGATGATATTCCTGATGAGCTTCAAAATGAACTTGAAGCAGTAGTAGATCAAATGACAAATGAACCAGTATATGATAATGATGAAGATGAAACTATTTATTCTGATGATGTTCAAAATGCTTTTGACCAGTACGAAAACGAGGTACGGTAGCTTAAATTTGTTGCACTATCAATAATTGAAAACTTATTATTGTACTTACAGTATTCCCAATTTTGGAACCAGAATACAACGGTATATTTTCATGTTGCTGTACTCTTTTTTTTTCTTTTGCTAACACAGGAGAAAACATGAATAAAAGTATAAATAATTTTATTTTAGACCTGGAATAATCTTCCGGATAACGAGGTATTGGCAAAAGTATTTTGCTTGTTTTTAGATAATAAAATCATATGCTAAACAAATTTATATATTAAATATTTATTTATTCATTTATTGATTTTTGTGTCTAGGAAGAGGAAATGCTTGAGCAAATGAAGGAATGTATGCGTTACATGGAACATAAATACTCTGTGTCAGACATGTCAAATGATTCGGTAATTTATTTTGATTTGGAAGATTTTTTTTTAATAAAGTAATTTTCTATTTTATAAAATTCAGAGTGAAATTTACAAAGAATCTAGTAAGTTAAATCCTGAGGCAGCCGAATTTCGACCATTCAACTTCCAACCGTTAACATCAATCGATAAAGAAGCAAATGTTGCTCCTTCATCGGTACCGAATGAAGCTAAACAATCAGAAGAACACACAGACATTATTTAAGTATTCATTGGTGTGCTTTAATTATAACAAAAAGGCATTGTATATTTATCAAAGAAATTCACCTGTATGTGTGTCATGTCGTCTTTTTTTTATTTCAAGCCCGGCATTTTCTGTTTTTTTTTTTAAATTTTTATATTCCTGCACAACACTAGGAAGAAGAAACGTAGTGCCTGTGCGTAAGCTACTTGTTTTATCAGAAAAGAAAAAAAAATACCCCTCTACAAAAATGTATGACCTTCAATGCAGTTTGAATTTTCTTTGCCGCGACTCCTTTTTTTCCTTTCTTATTACAGATAATGTGACAGTGTTTCGTCGAAAATATGATTACATACTTAATTTTACCCAAACTGTTCTTTTCGTTCGCCCATTGATAGCAGTCATGTTTTTTCTTTCTTTTTTTTTTATTGAAAACGTTTCATGCAAAACAAATGTCTTTTGTATTTTAAACTACGGTATATTTATTTACTAATAATACTTATAAAAATATAAACACATATTTTTACATATCTCTAGATATAAATATTCAGTGTAATTAACAAAATGGCGTCAGCAGGTCCTTCGAAAATCTTAGGTGACTATTCAACTGACAAATGTATATCTTCTGGTGCAAGTAACATGTCTCTTGATGAAAGTAATACTTCTATTCCTGCTAATAATATCAATATGAATCAAGACGATGCGTATATTAATTCTCCATCACCCTCATCGACTACAACAACAAGCACAATTGATAGTCCATTCAAATATCGTTCATCAAGGTTTAGAGGTAAATTTTAAGAAAATAAATAAGAACACCATTTTTTTTTGATCAATAAAAGATTCTTATCGTCCACCATTGGCTTCCAAACGTCGCTATCGATATGATAAATTATTTCATCTTACACATTCACTTAATCGACAATACGTCGTAGCAATGACAAATGTACTTTTTCAAATGCAGAAAGAAATTTATAAATTAAAGAGACGTGCATATCATGTTGAACATATACTTGCTAAACAAAAAGCTTCTGATCATCCAATTATCCGTATTCCACGTTTAACAAAAGGTACAATTCAATATACCGAGAGAAAGAAAAAAGTAATTCTTTTAGTGATATTATTTTAGATGAAATTTCAACGATATGTGTTAAAGACAATGAAAATCAACAAACTAATGTTTCGAAAATTTCTGAAGAAAATGAAAACAAGACTGATTCACAACGAACAACAATAAAAAATATAAAGCCTTTAAGTAACTATTGAAATTAAAACTATTTGTTTCATTATTTCCTATTGTTATAGATGAATATACAACTCATACTGAAAGTTCAATAACAATAGACGACAAACATCGGACAGATGATAATAGAATTCATCGACGAAAACAATTAAATCCTAAAAACAAATATTGTTCCAGATGCCAGCATGAATTTTCACACCGATCAGCTTATTTACGGCATATGAAAAAAATTCATCAAGGCAAATTTCAAATTATATCTAGTAATAATTGTATAACAGAAGTAAACTAGTTGAGAAGAAAAATCAATAATTTATTCAAATAATTTTTTTCTAAATAGAATGACAATAATCATAACGAAACAAATAGTTTAATTAGTGATCAATCGAGTGATTAAATAGTTATTTAAATCATTATAATTTTCAATTGTCTTTCATATTTAGTTGCTTTTTCGGAAACAGAAAATGGTACAGATCATGATACATTACAACTTTTAGTGAATCAATGGGACATTGGAGAAGGTCGGCTACGTCCAAGACCATCATCTAAATTAAATCATGAGCCAATCAATAAAATAAAATGCGATATCTGCCACAAATTCTTTCGTGCTGAATATATTAGGGTTCGTGTATGCACTGTTGTTTTTAAGAATAGACAATGTCTACTAGCACACCGTAGAAACTATTTATTTAGTAACCATCAAGCTCTTTTGTAATGAATCTATTCTGAAAGCGTAGAGCGATGAATAATTTTTCGTTTAACCGAAAAACAAAATTCCATGGAACTAATGTGAAAAAACTTTTTTCTCATAACACTAATGGTTGTTAATTACAAAAGTAAACGCTAAGCCTTCTTGGCTGAGAAATAGCAATATATTCTTGTTGTTCGTCAGTTAATAAACGTAGTTCTAAGCAAAGATTTGAGATTTCTAAATATGACTGTTAAAAGATACTCAAATCGAACTTTTCAAGATTTTAATGTTCATAAAAATCTATTTCCTGAATAATAAAAAGGCCACTGTAATTTCTATAGTAGATTCTTTTCAATCCGAACTGTTTATAACAAAAAATGAACCCGATATATCATCACCATGTGATGTAAATGAACTGTAGCTGATTATTACTGAATATGTTTTCGATATTTTATATTGTGACATCTCAAAATGAACCGTTCTCAATGATAGACTTATGTTTATCTGTTCTAGATATAATTCAATAAAAATTTAATATTTATTTTCTATAAACTAATTATTTAGAAACACAAAAGGCGTACTCATCATGTCACACAAAGTTTTTCTTCAAGCGAATTAAATGATGATTGCAATAAAACAAAATTCAGTGCCAATCAACCCATGGATGATATTCAACTCATAACTAGTGAATCATCTACGAATAATACAAATCCATCATCAACTATAACTGTAGCTGAAATGGAATCATATGAAATACCAATTCTATTTCCTGTACGTTCCGTATATTAATATAGACTGCTTGTAAATAATCTAGAAGTTTGCTCTATTTTCATTGTTTAGATAGATGGAAATAAGCCAATTGTGATTTCTATCACATGTCTTGAACGTTATCAATTAGTAAGTTATTTGATAGAAAATATTTAATGTAATCTTATAAAATCTTATAGGATATTGTTGGTGAATTTTTAAAAAAGTTTCCATCTCGTGTTTCTCAAACAACATTAATCAATTCTCAAACAACACATGTAATAACAAATGATGATCAACATGAATTACGTTCTCCATTATCAATGAAATTCATTGAAGCTATAGCTAATCATTGTTTTTGTGTTTCATATCGTTGGGTAATGGATTGTCTTAAATATGATCGCATTGTTGATGAAAGTCCTTATGAAATTGAAGGCGATGGCACGGATCATCATCCTCATGGAGGTCCAAAACGTTCACGTTTAGTTGAAAAACGTCATTCACTTTTTGAAAATATATGTTTTATGATAAAATGTACGGAAGATCACGAAATTAAAATGACAAACGATCGTTTAAAAGAATTGATAACAATGTGTGGTGGACAGATCATAACTTGCGTTACCCAAAGTTTACTTGATCAATATGAAATTGTTGTTCTCTGTGATAAATTGTATGTATCTGAACGACGTCATAACTATGATCAATGTCGTTCATTGGGTATTCACTTTGTATCGTCCGATTGGGTTCTTGAATCGATACTTGAATATCGACCAAAATTATTTTCGCTATACGAGGAAACGCCGTTATAACTGAATTCTGTTTATGTATTTTTTTTTTGGTCAACTTTTATATAATAATATTTTTTGTAAAGAAAATACAAATCAATATATATTTGAATTTGATTGAGAATAATTCGTGTGTTTGCTTGAGCTTTTTCTTCTGTTTTCTTCCGTAATAGATTAAAAATAAAAAGAAAGACTAAAAATAAAAGTAAAAGTATGACAACAACAACAGCAAGTACATCATCGACTTTACCTGATAAGGATCAAATTCGTGTACATGTTCGACGTGATGGTTCGATTGAAAGGCAAAGATTTAATGGACGAGTTTGGAGACAATTATGCAAATATGATGGTGGAGAAGAATGCCAAGCATTTGTTGCCTATAGAAGTCTTTGTGTTGGACATTATCATCAAACATCAGGTATAACTGTTAATGAATCAAAGCGTAGACAATTAATTCAGCAATCAACAACTGCTGCTGCATCATCAAAAGCAACAACAGCGACGGCGATACCATCAAAACTTCGATATTGTACGTCGATTTATATTCGTATCTTAATTTTATTTGAATGAAAATTATTTTATGACAATCTTATTTTGTAGCTATTGAAACACCTTTAGCTCTTGGTCTTAAAAGTATTTTATCAATTTTTTCTAATATGTTTTTGTTTTATTTTATTTGAACTATAAATAGATTGGCGACGAAAAACGACACAACCAAATTGTAAGTAGTATATCTTAGAATTTAAATTGTGATTAAAATAAATCATCCCTTGAGGATCATTTCAATCAGAAAATTTCCCAATAAATAATTTTTTATCAAAGATTTGTTTTTTTCTTCAAAATTTATATAATCCCTACTAAATTAAAAATATATTTGATTCATATAAAAGAAATACATTGTTGTTAAGCACTATGTAATACATGATAGTACTTGATTAGTATCAAACAACTACACTTCTATTTTACATGAAGACTATGTTTATAAATATTAGATTACGTTATTGACTTCTGTGAGGGAAATTTTTCAACAAATGACTCCATATAATGATGAATCAGGAATATGTTTTAGCGAGTTGAAATTAAACAAAATATCATGTCTAAACACTTTTCGAACATCTATTAAACAGTACTATTCTCTTATAATTTAGCATTTACATTAATAAGTAAACAAGCGTCGCAAATAACTTCTACAAATCTAATCAACATTAATAGTAATAAACGTCGAAAGTCAGATGAGTGGGTTCTTCTTAAACGATGCCGATATGATTCCAATCAAAATAGTATGCTTGTTTTTGCTTGAAATACGAAAATTGAATTGATTAATTTTAGTGCCACCTGTTCAATCGATTTTACCTAATATCTCGTCAACATCTATAGACGAATCAGCTGCAACATCCGATGTAAGATTGTCGAATTGTATAAAATGAACAAAATAGGTTTGATATATATTTTGTTTTATTTTGTATTGTATATTTAGTGTAATCAAGCATGTTCATCTGCTACTTCCACAGATATTCATGTAGATGATTATACTTCAGCTCAAAAGTCAATCGCAATAACAGCTTCTCGTCTAACTGATGAGCAAATGGTAAGAAGAATTTAAAAAAACAATGATTATTATTAAAAATCGATTGTTTAAATTAGGATCACCTTGATCAATTTCTTCAACGCTTCAATATTCGTTATTCAGAAGAAATTGATGAAAAAACAACACATTTAATAACTGATGATACAACGATTCCATTTGTTTGTGCTTTATCATCAAAAGTTGTTCACGCCTTAGCACGTCATCTCACTGTTTTATCAATACGTTGGGCCGATGAATGTCTTCACTGTGATAAACTTTTACTAGATGAATTAGCTTTACAATTTGAAATACGTGGTGATTTAACATGTTCGACGATGTATCATGGTGGTATGCAGCGTTCACGTCTGATTCCACGACGACATTCATTATTTTCTAAACATATATTTATGTTGAAATGTGATGGCGTACAAAATGTAAATATAATTTCAAATAGTTAATTTATTCTAGAATTCAAATTATATTTTTCTCAGAAAATCATAGTGAATGTTCTTCATTCCAATAGAAGTAGACCGGTTCATGATAGACTCGGAAAAATACGTTTTGGGCTATTATTCAACGTGTTTCTCTAGTATCCAAAGATAATAAGTGTTAAAGTTCTTTTTCGTTGCGTCAGATAAAATCCGTGAGCTTATGAAATATTTCTTAGCTTATAGAATAGTATGATAATAATTATATGGAGAATTAATAATAAAAATAACGAGCAAAACGCAAAAATAGAGCCTCAGTGAAAGAAAACTTTTATTCGAAATTTAAGAATATCTATATTATCCTTCAAATGATCATTTATGACTTTCTTATATTAATATCCGAGAAGTGTAACTGGCAAAACTTTTCTATTTTCTTTTTCATTGGATTATATTTAGTTAATGAATAATCAAGAATTGCGTACATTAATAACGTTATGTGGTGGTCATACATGTTCATCGTTGCGTACAGATCAAGTAACACGATGGACAGCACAAGGTAAAATGATTGTTGTTCTTTGCGAACAATCATATGTTCAAGAACGTCAAGATAAATATTGGAAATGCGCTGAATTAGGTATAAGATTTTGTTCGCCTGAATTTGTTATAGAATCGATTGCTCAATATCAGGTGCAAGATTATGCCATTTATGAAGAAGAACCTCAACAAAATGAAGATCATAATGATGACGATGAAGAACAATAAACTAAAATACAGAGAACAGAAACTATATTTTATTTTTCTTATTATCTTTTCGTTTTTTTCCTTTTGTTTGTTTTCGTTTATATTTAGTAAGCAGATTATGTGAAAAACAGAAACCGGTGCTATTGAAGCGATACATATGTATGTGTGTTTATGTCAGATATGTTTTTCTTTGTTTTGTTTTCTTGCTATTCCTGGTAGTGGCTATATGTCAGATGATTTCTTTTTGTCCCTTTTTGTTCTTGTTTATGTTGTTATTTGAAAAACAGTGCATAAAAGAAAAATAAAAACAACGGTTCATCTCGGTGAAAATGAAAGACATTGGAGATTTTCCTGTAGTGCTAGCAGGAAAAAACGAATGAAAAAAGATTTTATTGATTGTAAAATTCTGTTTTTCTTGTTCTTGGACTTTCAAGATCTTTATATGATTATCATCAAATTATTTCTCGGTTTAGATCAATAGTTAAGAATACATTTTCTATGGCTATATTTTTATACAAGTTTACTGCTGTCTATTTCGATTCTTTGTATAGACTCATTCAAATCCTATTAAATTATTTTCAATTGATAGGCATCTTTTATTTGTATGCTATTCTGTATTTTATTTTATTCGATTTTTTATCAATTTTACTTTGATGATAGATTTTTTTTCTAAAAATGATGAAATATCTGTGACAAAGAAAAGTCTTGATCTAAGAAATAATGAGAAATTCTCGTCATCATTCATATAGTTAAATATCCGCAACTTACAGCTAAATTGAAAAAAGAAGATTCTGATCGTGATCTAGTTTGATTTTTTTTGATGTAGAATAATAACGGCGAAGAGTATGGATCGTGAAAATTCGACTTTAGCGCAGTTTTTTGACTTAAGAATTTTATTTTCATGGAGCCTACTAACTGTGAACTCAGGTGCCATCGGGGATTTTTGAATCATGCGTAGAATCAATCATGCAACCTCTTTGAAATGATATGAGAACAGTTCTCTATCATATTTCATCCATAGGTTATCTAGAACTCACGAGTACCTGATAATTTTTAGGATCATTTTGTGTCTACTCATATTGACTAATTATAACAAAATTTTTCAGGCTAGGAAAATTTAATTCGATTCTGTTTTTGATAAATAATAATTATCTGGACGGTTAGATACAAAATTTATTTTACAGTGCCGTCAGATTAATGAAAAATATGATTTATTAGGAAAAATAAAATGAATTTGATATTAATAATTTTAAATTATCTACAAACAGTGATGAATAATATGATAGAATAACTAATCATGAATGAAACACAAAAACCCTCTCGTTAATAGTATTATTATTTTGAATCTTATCGATTTTGCGCCCATGAGTTTTTTTTCGTTTGTTTTAGTTAACATTTGTTTTGGTTTTGATAGCTGTCGTGAAAATGAATATTTTGTCCGAAGAATAATTGGTGTAAACATCAAAAGATTCCATTGGAATGAAAAATATAAATAAAATAATATAAGATCTCATTAGATTTTAGCCAATTTCAGTGCATCAGAAAGTAGTTCAGATGTAACTGGCTCATAGGATTGATTTGTTTGAGTCAAAGCGACAGCTGCCTTCATTGCTGATAAAATTTGATTTGCTGATAATTCATTTGTATCTTTATCATCATTATCATTTGTTGATGAAACTTTAATTGCTAATTTAAGTGCAATAGCTAATGATTCAGGTGTAAGATTTTCATGCTTTTGTTCGCTCGATGACTTTGCAGCCAATTTTAAAGCCCCATCAATAGTTGCTGGTGTTAATTTTTCTTCATCATGTGTTGGAAGTGCTGCTAACTTGATAGCGCTAGCTAACATTTCTAATGTTAGTTCTTCGGATTTTTCAGCATCACTTTGTAATTTTGTTACAGCTCGTAAAACTGTTGAGATGTTTTCAAGCGGTGCATTTGTTTCGTTGCTTGACATTATTCTTCTTAGCAAAAGAAAAAAATAATAAAGTGCTGAACAATAATACTTTCAAATGAGTATTGAGAGAAAATATAAATGAAAGAAGTATGCAAAAAAAAGAAATCGCAAGCAAAAAAAACTAGGTTGCATTAGTTTTTTTCTCTCCGATGACAGCACGCAAAAAATACAATTGGCTTGTAAGGCAACGATGGCATACAAAAAAAGAAAAATTTGAAAAAGAAATACTAACGTAATTCTATACGAGAGCCCGAATAACAAGCATTTTGTTTTAAAGAAATTCAAATAAAAAGAAATTTATGAAGGCAAATATTCCAATCAAAAATATAATGTTTAATCTTCGTAATTTACATGTAATCATTTTTTAATCATAGGACGTGATAAAAAAAGAGAGTTCATCATTCACATGTAAAAGTTCCACTGAAAATCAATATTTTGTTTTGCGTAACATTTCATATTGCCGTTATCTTTAAGTAGTTTAAATGGGTATTAATGAGAGGCATTGATAGTTCGATGACAAGCGATGCAATTATTGATGCTTGTTTTTAAAATTGACTATGTTCATCTTTTATTTTGATGGCACTGTAGTTCAGTCACAGCATAAATTATCTTAAATCTATCGTTATCTATATTAGCATTACATGAAAAAGAACCTTCAACTAGTAATATTGATTTTACCTTGTAAACGATGCGCACCGTTACTCGTTTCACGTATTGATATGAATATTGATCTGCTGATATTCTTCCATGAAAACGATGATTCAATCGATTGATGATGTTAGCATATTAACCTTGCAAAAAGTTTGTGACAGACGGGTGATTGATCATCAGTGGCGTCGATTGTTTTGATTATCCTTTCTTGATTTCTTTTTCTTCCTTCTTATATTCTTTATCTCGTATCTATCGATACTCGTTTGCAAATGACGTTCTGCACGAAGATACGATGGTAACAACTGTTCAACTAGATACAATGTCGTTGTGCATCATTTAGAATATATTTGGCACTAGTATGTAACCGAATCAGATATCAATTTAGTAGTTTTTCTACATAGTTGACGTCGTCCATATAGTTCATTAATGCAATTTAATTATATTAGTCAATTTCAAAGCGAAGAAACGATTTTACTTTTTGTTAATAAAAAGTTTCTTCTACATCGAAATATGTCAAATAATCTAATGTAAAATGCCATTCAAATGATGTAGTTTCTCGCATTTTATATTCATGATATTAATCGTATTTTCTTCATCAATATTCTATCTAATACTGTTCATATTTTTGAGATAATAGCTATGCATATTTTTCATGATCACCATGTTAGAATTCTATATTGATGTACATGTATGTTGATGTACGGTAAGAATAACAATAATTGTTACAGTTTATATATTTCTTGTGGAATGATATTCAATTTCTTTCTATATTTCTTTTTATATGTTAACAAGCAATTATAACCGCTAAATGAAGGTTAGATATAAAACGAAGGTCAGAATTAACTTCTTCTAACTGGGCTAATCCACTCGTCCTATGTCGATGACCTTAGTTAATGATATCGTTACGTGCCCTAATTATCGATGACCTTGATTTGGCCGTTTGGAATGATAATATTGTATAAATCTTCATTTGTTTGACACTGAAAGCATTACTCTTTCTATTACTGTTGTTTTCTCTTTTCTCTGAAGTATGTCTGTCAGATATGAGATGTGTTCGTTATAAACTATTTTCATCATCACAATTATCGTTACTTTTTCGGCAAAATAAACAATGATGGTAGTTAGAAAACAATCTTTTATATTTATTATTCATTTTTATGATGAATATATCAAGTATATGTTACACATTTATATGTACCTATCATTTTTTTATATTAGATTATATTTCTCTAAGCTATACAGTAAAACTTCTCTATATAGAGGTTATGCGTTTTCACAAAAATATTATGGCCTTCAGAAAATTATTTCCTTGCTTTTTCTAGTAAATTAGGTCCTAGACTAGCAATCTATTTCGATCATTGGATAGTAAATCATTAGAAGATGGAGATGAGTTAATCGATGGTTTGCTCACTTCCGTTTTATGCCTTTGTTCGAATAGAAGCCAAAGAGTCAACGACGAATTCTACTCAATGATAAAAAAAATATTGGTAACGTTATCTTTTGATACATTTGATTTATCGGTCAGCTTTGAGACTGATTAAATCGTGACTATTTTGATTGTCTTTGATTAGGACATTTTTATTTTTCTTCAAGATTTAATTCTGGTTTATTTAACCGAATCTTCTTGTTTTCTTAACAACGGTATAAAAACGACACCAATGGTAAAATACCATTATACCGACACTCATCCGGTCTATTCAAGATGAAGTATGACATCGCTTTAGTAGTGGCGTAACCAGGGGGTGACCAGAGGGGGGTGAGCCCCCTCTACGAAATTTTCTATCTGAAATTTCAATAGCCTAGATTGTTGCCACCTAAAAGATAAAGTGTTGTTTATTTTGCTTCTCTCTAAAATAATAGAGGAAGAGAGAGCATTAGCATTTGCTGTTTAAATCTAAACCTGTTCAAATTCAAAATTGTAATAAATAGACATACCATACAATAATTAGTGTAACACGGAAAAGGCGATATTTTTCATAACATATGTGTTTAATTGAATTATAGCTAATAAAAAGTAAACGTTTTCAAATATTGGCTTCGTGCATTGTTACAGTTGAATTCAAATTGCCTTCTTCTACTTTCCAAAGGCTAGGGGGCTGAGCCCCCTCTACGAAAATTTGCTGGTTACGCCACTACGCTTTAGGTCCCTAAAATATATCTTTTTTTCATTCTGCTCATCCGATCAACACAGGAAAGTCACTATATTGAATGAGCGATGATAACTACACGACATTCTCTTTTAATTCCAAATCAGTGTTCATCGTAAAGTTCTTATTTATGAGAAACGGACCTTGAAAAAATTCCCACTACAGGAACGTTTTAATGTATTGTATTCATTAATTTTGATAGGGACAAATAAAACGACATCATGCTTCAAGTTTAGATGTACTATCATAATTAGAGCTATTCGTATTCTATTTATATTCGAGTTCGATCACGAATAAAAATAAAGATAGATTCTGTAACTCTGTAAAGAGTCATTTTTAAAATAATCTATGGTTCATAGAGGCCAACATGAAATGAATAGCAAATGATTGGTACAACTTGTTTTTAATATTTTTGTAATAAAATATCCGACTCATGCATGATCATACTAGTAGAATGATGCGTTGAGAAAGTATCAAGATACGCTGAACATATGCATTCGAGGATGTTTTTCTAATGTTTATATAATTGACTTGATAACCAGGTTGGATTATCCTGTGTTTTTCTTCTAATTATACTAAAGTAGTAGATAATCATAGTGTATCACATAGATAGTTAAATGATATGATTAGATAAATGGTTTTCTTTTTCTCTTCTCTTGAGGATGAAAAAGGATATCAGCTAATATTTTCTGCGAATGTAGCACTCTGATTTCGACCCATACTAACAATATAATTTCATACCAAATGAAACCTCACGGAAAATAGAAACGTTGGGAGATTTTGTCGAGTTCTCTATGCTAATGATATTAGAAAAGAAGATTATTATATTTCAGGCAAAAACGATTGCATTAACATTAGAATACTGATTCAGATCACACTTGTATGAGACGGCAACATATTGATCTTGCTTTGCTCTCATATAATATTCTTATTTTGATACGCGCCATAGTTATCTTGTTAATAAAAATCATTAGAAAATAGAGTTCTATTAAATCAAAGAAACAAACTTTCTGAGAATGTTATGCTTTTATGGTTAAAGAATCGGATGGAAGCAATAAATTAGATTTTAAAAATTTGTGAAAAGTTTGATAAACTTATAACTCATAACAATGCTATATTTTCTTACATACACTCATCACTAACTCTTATGTCTAAATGAGTTTGAATTCAATGTACAAATGTATTTCATTTATACTCTGGCAAACTTGCTCATGGCTCCTATCACGACAGTAATACTTTTAGTTCTCTTACAGGTGGCGAATGTACGTACTACGGCGATTTTAGAAATCCAGAATCAAGCGCTGATTATTTACAAACTTGGACGATCTTGATGGAGATCAGGAGTTCTGGATTGTAGATGATAAAACTGCCACATCGATGTGGAGTCCAGGTGGCATCAGCACACATCCAACCAAACACAATCCAGTCGATTTCGAACATTCAGTTGCCTGTAAGAAAAGTGCAACGTTTGGAGTGACTGATGCTGGTTGCTAGCAATCAGAATGTTTGTTTGGAGACGACGAGACCATGACGAATTGCTTGAAATAATGTGAACCCGACCATGTCAATACCAGTCTCTATTGCGGAAAAGGTCGTTGGCCGTGGTCAATGAAATTCTACAACCGTCTGCCAGACTCGAACTACTATGACTACGACTATATTCTACCTCAAGAAGATGCTGGCCTTAGTCGTCGTCGCAACAATGAAAACGAATGGAATCCATCATAGTTAGTGATGAATATTCATTATTCCACTTACAACATTTCTTGTGTATTGTCGGTAGCTCTTTTTTGCACAGACGTCAATTAAAATAATATGCATAACTAATTCATTAAGCTAAGTTGTAATAACGTAAACAAAAATTCTCGCTACAGCTTAGCTTCTATTTATCAGTAAATATAAATACATATAACTGATTGGGTCAAGTGCGTAACAATGAATAGAATTCTTTCTTAATTCCGAACAGATTGATAGTTTTCTCCTCTATGGTCAGCTCATACGTAGCTTCCGATTTTGCTTCATAGATTCAATTGTGATTAAATATTGTACACTTAGATAAATAAAACGAAGATTCTTCGAATTTTATTTCGAATCAATAAAAAAAATCTTCTATAAAAAGCAACATCTTCATAACGGGTGTTCATTGAATGTTTTTGAGAGTTTTTCCAATTTTTTCAATGTAACAAAAGTATGCTACTTTATTAAAAACCTTCTAGGATTTATCGAAACCTCAAGTTCTTGAATACCAAGTAGAAATCTTAATAACGAAAAATCTTGTATTCTCAGATGCTTACTCAAAATACAATAATAAATATAAACATATACAACCTACTTCAAGATAGAAAGAAAACTACTAAAACTGGCGTGTGTTTCGTGATGTTGAGTGTATGATGTCAAAATCAGATAGATAGTCGTTAATAAACATTGACAAAATTCAATATCAAACGTTTGCTTTGTGCATAATGTATGAACTTACACTAACGACAATAGAAGGAAATTAATGATAAGGTTAAAATTTGTATACTTTCCACTGGAAATACTACGAATAAAACTAAAAAAGAATTTGACACGTTCCCTAAGTGATTTTTCTTAGTTTTATTCTTTTATTTGTGACAAGTGAAAACAAAAACAAATTATCAATTTTTTTTCTTGGTTGATGATACTATTTGTTGTTCAAGTTGTTTTTTTATAAGTTCGAATGGATTAACAGAACATTCCACTGATTGTGAAATTTTATTGAATATATCAATATTTGCTTGACTAGAAAAGAAAATTGATTAATTGGGAAACAAAGGATTTTCTTCGGTTTTTCTATTTTACCTTTGTCGATTTCGTTCAGCTTGTGAAAGAATTTGTTTCCGAGTATTTTTCTTTTCTGCTAGAGCTAAACGCTGTTCTTCAAGATAGGATTCAATCTGGCCAAGTGAATTTTCGAATTCATGTTTCATATCGCTAACAATAACCGTTTTTCTGCGTGTAGCTCGTTCTTTAGCTTCACACTTTGATTCATGAGCCGCATGAAGTCCTAAAAAAAGATTTCATTAATCAATAACCGGAAAAAGTCAGATGATCTTTAATTCTATCATCTAATAAGTCGATAGGAAAAGTTTTCAATGAACTTTCGTTTAGCTGACTAAGAAATATTTTAAATATCTAAGTCATAATGCAGTCTGTGGTCAAGGCAATAGCTCTATTAAAAAATATTGATATTAACTCTGCCAGTTAATACAGTCGATAATAAAGTTTTTATTTCACAAAACATTAAACTTACGTTTGAGCAAAAATTGTCGCTTTAACTTGATTTTATCTTTTTTCTTCGATACAAGTGATTTAATTGTTTTATTTGATATAACACTACGCTTATCAAAATCTAAATCATTATGATCAGCTAAATCATTTTCGACATCGATTGCATCATCCATTTCCTATAAACATGAAATCAATTAAAAGCAATAACGAAAATTACAAACTTAATCCTACCAAATTTTCTTCCTCGTCTTGTACTACATCTGGAAAAGTTTTTATAGTTTTTTTCTCCTTAATTTTACTTTTTTGATCATTAATTTTACCCATAATGGTTATCTAAAATACTGAGAAAAATAGCAAGGAGTCTATAATTCTATTTTGAAAGCGTAGGGTCAATGATATTGAGAAATGCAATATTGTTAAAAAGAACAACATTAGTAAAAAATAAATAGTCTATTTTAGATAGCTTTTATCATTTACATTATTGAGCAAAATCGTTTTTGAGGATACATCTCATTGTCATTTATGTCACCACCATCAAAATTGCTTGGTAAGTCTGGACGTGGACTAGGAAATACACCACCAATATCCGGATTGATTGGTTTGGGTGGTGCTACTTCTTCTTCATCGCCTCCAAACAGGCTCGACCATTCACCGAATAGAACATCAATATTTTCATCTTGAAAGAAGACGTCAGCTTCCGTCTAAAAGAAAATAAAACCGGTGAAATCATTATTTAAAGCACAGAGAAAAAACAAATCTTACTAGATCTTCTTTGTCTTGGTCAAGTTGTCTGATTATAAATAAAAATAAATCTTGTTAAAACAGCACGCAAGAAATAAAATAAGAAAAAGACTTACGCTTGATCTGCTTGTTTTTCAGTAAACATGCGTAGTAAGAATTTGCCTGGTTTATCAGCATCATATGTACTCGGTATAATAATGTAATCACCAGGTGGAACACGAAAACGTTTTGTTACTTCACGTCGATTTATGTATGATCCACTAGCTCCAACACGTTCAAGTTGATTCATATAAAATTTTAAATTGCCTTGTTCAATATTGTCTTGAACATTAACACCGCCTTTTATCTAATCAAAGAAAATAAGCGTGCTTAATTAAACTTTCTTTTTTCATTCATATTTGCATGACATTATTTTCTATCGTCAGAAACATAAGGGCGACGTCATTTCTATCCTATTGCACGAGATATTCTCTTAGTACTTCATAGTTACCATCAACAAGCATTATCAAATGAAAAAGTTTTACTCTCTGTTAAAAATAATCGAACTATAAAAAAAGAGCTATCAATTTTACTCTTGTCTATGGAGAAATATTATACAAAGTTTGTGAATCTGAACTTTCAATTTCTGTATAATATCGAAGACAATCTTTCGATGGGCCAGTCATGTCCAAGTCAAAAAATTTACAGATCAGGTAGATCTTCGTCAGCTATTCATATCCTTCGGATACGTTTGACTTTTGACTTCACGATACAGAGATACCGCATTTTTAACATATATTTTGAATTGGATGATGTTGGATCTAACACAAAAACCATCGCAGTTAATACTAATGGGAAATTACTTATTGAAATATGACAACGAAAATATCAAATCTGTTGAATTAATTTCATAATCATAAAAATGAATTAGTTAGTAATACTAATACTTCACAAACAAAAATCATTCAAATCAGCATGCGTTATTACATAGAATTCGATTTAAAAGTATGAATAAAGTTTCTCTGTGGTGAGTTTATAATAATTACTATTTTAACTTTTATATTAATATTGTACAAGAATGCGCCAGGGTGGCCGAGTGGTTAAGGCGTTGGACTTAAGATCCAATTCACAATAGTGAGCATGGGTTCGATCCCCATCCCTGGCAAATTTTTGTTTTTCTTTCATTCCGTTCTCCTTAGATATGACTGATGACGTCACTGTACTCCACTTAGAAGAAGAAATAACTGCTACAGAGCGAGCACCATGGGAAACGAGTACATATTTACTACAAGGCTTGATCAGAATAACTATAAAATTATTAGTGAAAAAAAATCAACATAAATACGAATAAACTTCATTTTACTTTGAAAATCTTCGTTTAAAGATATACTGAAATCAGGAATTCAATATGGTTCTCTTGGAATATTTTCAACAGTTTTACCAAAAGCACCATTTTCAGCTATGATTATCAGTTTGTTTGAATTACATTTATCAATTCGTGAAGTTACATATAAACTTGATATATGCGAAAAAGAAGTTTTGATACTTTATTGAAAATAGCTGTTTCAACTAATATACTTCATCTATCAATAACATGTAATTTTATATCGAGACTAGTTTAAATGATCAAGATGAGATTATTTCAAGAAAACTATTGAATATTACATGTTGCCGTTATTAAAATTCAAAATACGATTAAAATCGAGTCTTATTTTACTCGTCACAATTCGAATCCTATTTTAGACGATCAGGTAAATGTCATAAACAGTTTTTTGTGCAACACAATCAGAAAAGAATGTTAAACTATGTAGAAAAGTATTGTTCGCACCCTATGTCTTATCTTTACCCTAGGTAGATCGTAACAATAGCAACGATGAAAATGTTACAGATGTCATAGGCATTCCTAGCAATATCTTTCTTTCGCCATACTTTGTGATAGATATTGTTTGAGATATGACGAGACAATCTATATCAGTAAGGTTTCATTCTCACATATCAATCTCCTTCTTATTTTACTTTTAATAGATTAAGTAAAGAGAATGATCAAAAAATATGACTACATCGTATTTCACATTTCATTACTGTAGAAATTGTGCTTCCGGTATCATAAACAATTTTCAATTTGAGTTTCTACACAACGAGAAACATTTCAAAAATGTTTTTCAAATTTTAGTTAACAATAAATCTCGATTAATACATGATATTTTGAATTGAGATGAAATCTTAGCTGAACAAGAACGTTAATCGCATGTTATATCGAACACAAAATTAATCAATTTTTTGAAATTTTCTTACTTTGAAAACACGAAATTGCATATAATCTTCACCTTCAAGACCACGTAAACGACGTTGGCGTGTTTCTTTTTGCATTAAAGCAACAATCATTGTACAGAGGTTTTCGTCATCATCATCATCAATCATACTTAATCGTACTAAATATTGTGGATTTATCCAATAGTTTTCTAAAAATAAAATTTCAAAACGAATTTAATTAATTAATAAGAACAATAAAATAAACCTTTATTCGGCTGACCACAACCACCAGCTGTTGAACCAGGAACCCATTCACCATGAAACATCTCTTCCTTCCATGTTAATTTATCATCCTAAATTAAAATACACATAAAATTTACGATCTACTATGTCTAAATAGATAATTCGTATTTCTACTTTAAATGATTATGCTCTTTTATCTTATTTGAAAAACTAATCATTTTCAAATTAATTATTTCTTCAACATTTTAAATAAAAAGAAACCATTTCTACATGAAGAATCAATGGGCCAATAAGAATCACAACGGACGTTCTCCTACTGATTCGCTATTTTCAACATAATTTATTGTCATTTGGTCTATTATTTTGTAGCCTATCAAGTTATCGATTGAAGGTGATTTTCTGTAATGTGACTACATTATGCGTTGAAAATTATTTTAAAACTTTAATATTACCGTACCAATAAGCTGAAAATTAGAACTCTCAAGTAAGTACTGATAACTCATTCAAATCTATGTGGTCGGTATAGTTTGGAGTTCAAAAACAATTAATTCGTTTAAAGAATACTCTCATCAGTAGTAAATAAAGTTTCTTTATGTTAGAAATCTATAATACAACATACCAAAAGTACTTAATCTGTCTTAAAAAAGATGAAAATTCTTGGACATGTATAGATAAACAGAAAGATATTCTAATTAATCAGATGTCTACAATAGATCATCTCAGTAATTGATTTTGTTCATTATGAAATTGACTCTTTATGAAACAAAGACTGTTGATTCTAAAATAATAGTTTTTTTCCTTTGTATACTTTTCTTATTGTCTCTTGTCTTTCATATATTTCATCTATATCGGTTTTATGCAGAAAGCTGAGCCATGTTGAATGAACTCTTTCAATTACTGATAATTAAACTTTTCATGTCTAAAGTTCTGCATGCAAACGAAATCATACCCGAAATAAATTAGTCCATGTACAAGAACCAGCATCATCTTCTGTTGTACCTAAACTAGCCGGTCCACGATGGCAAATATGTAATTGATGAAAATTAGAAAAAAAATCATCAAAGCTCATCCAAAATTCTCCATCATTTATTGCATTTACACCTAATTCTTCTTTTTCTTCATCGCTGATTTCATTCCATGCATTTGAACTGCACAATATAATTGTAATTAATTTTATTTTCAATTTATTGCTCTTACTTATCCGAATATTTTCCATTCCTAAAAAGAATAAAATATATATTATTCTACTTTGAACAAAATAATTTGCTAACCATTCAGTTTCATTTCCCCATGGATCTAAGTTAAATAAAAATATGTAGTTATAAAACAAAATTAGACTTTAACGAGAAATCAATCTACTTAAACATCGAACAAGAGTAACAGGACCTGAACTAGTTGTTACATCAGCCACTCGTGTTATTGAATAAGCATGACCTAACGAAAAATATCATCTAGATTTCTAATGTATATAAATACTTAAATTTGATTAAACCTTTAACAAGACCATTGGAAAGTCGAGCTTCAGTTACATTCGGATCAGCCTAAAACATACATAAACAAAGACATACTCAAACTTTATAATATCATCCAAACTACGTTACAGTAATTGAACATCCAAGCATTGATTTACGTAGATAAGCTTGCCAAAGAACGCGCTTGACTCTTTCTTTAAACTCGGCATTTGCTGTTGATGCATTATTGAGCTCAAATGCTTCTTCAATTCCTCCAGTCATATCAATTAAAGCATCAGTTGTAAAGCCACCTTCCATTGCTTCATATGAACCGCATATTCTAAACAAAAAAAGATATTCAACCATTTTCTTTTCTCTAAATATGCTAAAAAAGAGCATTCATACTTAGCATAGGCTTTCTCTAACAATGGAGCCCACATTTCATTTTTGTCCTTTTTATTGCGACAAAATACAAGTCTACCATCAGAATGAAATGGTAATTGATCATCAATTACAACATCATACCAATAACCATATAACCAAAAGCGAAAATGAAAAATCCCTTGTAGAAGAAAAAACAAAATTATTTGTTTTCTTCTTAAATAAAAATAATATGTATACCAGCATAAGCAGCACTATCAAATGATTGATTCGATGGAACGACACGTTGGAGAAGATCAGGATTGAGTGTAACTGCACCTGAACCAGCAATAAACCAACAATTACCTAATTATATAATGGTATTATAATAGAAAAATGATCGAATTTATTGTTTACCGATTTCCCCCTGGTCGAGATCGCCACGTTGAAAACCATCAATTACAAATTGAGCTTTTCGAAAGACTGTCTAATAATAAGAAGAAAAAAAACAACTCTTTTCTTGATTTTTCATTCAAATCAATTTTTATACCGTTGGTCTATGCCATTGAACATCAGTTAAACGTTTTCCTGAATGATATATTGATTTACTTGTTGCTGGAAATTCTGGATCGACGAATAAGTCTTTTGAGTTATGTTTACTTTTAAGTGCTTCATAATCTTGATTTTTATATGGTCGAATATCGCACATATTGTCAGTTCTCTTGTTTTGATTGTGTTTTGGAGATTATTATTTTTACGCGATTCGACTAATGCAATACAATACTCGTGAAACGAATGAATCATCGAGTCGATGATTGGTTCGTTCGTGTGGCTACGTCACTGTCTATGTACTGTATATGTCAATCATCATCATCAGCATGCATCGATATATAATTATGGTCGTGTTTGTTTACTACAAAATAGGATGACGAAAACAGAGGTCGATTGTAAAAAATATCGCTAACTCCAATTATTAAAACACATTAATTTTTATTTTGAATATCAATTAGAAAATTGTTGAATGAGAATATCTTTCTTATGTAATTTTTTGGTAACATGATTTTGAAAAAACCAATTAAGTTAACAATCCATTTTATGAATTTCTTAACAGAGAGCGTGGCATGAATGATAAATTTTTTATTTCAATTTGCTTATGCCATGATTCGACTAGAAGTACATGAGAAATTTGAATGTCAACCCAGCAACTTACTGAATCTAAAAAGAATTCTATTTCAAATAGCTAATTAAAAATATTGACTTAGGTTTCTCATTGTATTTAAATTCAAGAAAATCTTCTTCAACGACAATAATATTCTAAATATTTTTCCGCATATGAAATGTACAACTTTACCACAATGTGATGAAAATTGTCTCAATCAAGAAAAAAAAATGTCATGTATCGCATATCCGAAATCGTTAATATGGTATTGGGAGAATTTAATAGACAATCATAAATGACCAATAAATAGTGCTGATCTAGACATGTTTTTAAATGATGTATGAAACGTTATCGTCCATGTAGTTACTAAAAAAAAAGATACTATTTGCAGCATTTTAAACTTTGTAGGACAGAATTTTATCAATATCAAAGCCAAAACATCTACATATTAAATAAACTTAGTCTGTAAATTACTGTAAATTAGGAGCTGTGTATTCTGTTCTTCCATTTCGTACTATCATCGTGATGCCAACAGTAGATTACAAGTAAAAAGATACAGATAACGGATAAAATATTGACAATTGGTTTTAGATCGGCTTGAACTACACCGGATGTAGCGTTTTATAAATTAAATGTATCAATAACAAAAAGATATTTTCGACTATTTCTATGACTTGTTGAAAGATATCTAATTTGATTTACATTTAAAATGACAGCATCATTTAATGATTGGTTTGAAAAAAAAGTAATATAGTACATTGAATTCCTCTATGGCATGTGAAATGATGTACTGCAAAAAACAGCGTACACTGAAAACATTTTCTAAGAATAATTTTGTTTATATTTGATATTGTTGCAAGATAATAATATCAAAAATATATTTTTATATCTGCTCAGTAAGTCTTTTGTTTTAGTTTATCGAATAAAAATAATTATCTCATAAGTATGAGATCCTTCATTGAAGACGAATTCAACTTCATATCGATGACTCCATCTATATTTTTATGCTATGTTTGGAATAGTGATGATAGCCAATTGCAAAAATGCAAGGCGCTAGAATCATTTTTCCTGTGACCTGATGCAAGTAGCGCTAGTAACTATAAAGTCCTCATTTGGCATTGGTTCTTTTTATTGTTTATCAAGGCCATTGATTTTTCTTTTTTTCTTACTTCATATACGTATATCTAGCTCTGTAGTTTATCTATTGAATTTTATTGTGACGCATTGCTTTATATGGTTACATGATTATTTCGTTTTTTGTTTTGCTCTTTACAACTATTAAAGAACGCAAATATACACCTTGTATTGCATCAATTATTTTTCTCGTTCTCTTCGTGATAAGGGAGCACAAAAAATTTTCTTAGGACGCTTTTTTGCATTGATTTACGATCAATATAGCGTTTACGATTTTTTTTCTTTTGCGTTCGTTGTTCTTGCACCAGTAATGTGAGAAGTTACCGCTAAAATAAAAATAAAAAGTTTTTGTTTTTCTTATTACTTTCCGTTCTGATTGCTGCTTGTTGTGTCCTTGCGTTGTACTTCGAATCGTCAAATGATTTTTCAACTTCTAGATTGAGATTTATCCGTTAGATAAAAAAAAGGAGAATGAATTCGTTCGTCGCTACTTTAGCTGGTCTCTTCTTAGTCTATGCAACAGTCATAACAACTGGTTAGTAATCATTTATTTCTTCATTTCTATTAAAATAATTATGCTTAAATTTACAGTTTATTGTGTTGATCTGAGACAACTCGATTTATCAAGAGAGGAGATGATTGCTATAACACGTGATCACCGTGGTCGTGCTGATCCGGATGCGTTTCTCAACGGTTTCTTTCCTGTTTGGGCAGCAATTCAATTCGCTATTGCATGTAAGTTATCGTTAACGAAAAAAAAAACTAACTAATCAATGATACATTGATCTTATTCACATGTTTAGGTTCCTTTTTCGTCATTGCTGTACTCAGTCTTTTATGCTATATACTCGGCTGCAGAACACCAGCAGAAGAACGTATCAAGCGAGCCAAATAAAACAGTGCAAAATGACGATTATTTTTCTCTTTCATGCTTCGTTTTTGATCCTGTTTCTTTGACCATTATTTTAAAACTTAATCGATGTGTATTCCAAAATATTTACAATATGTCCTGCAATCTAATCAGTGTAACAGTGCTTTGTATTCCATGTATCTCTATTTAGCTGAAACCAGTAGTGTGTATTTGTATTGTGCAGTGTTTGTCACACACTTTCTTTTTATAAAAATATTTTAGTTTGAATGAAAGCTTCTAATCGTGGAATGTTTTAGCAAAAATAAATATGTTTAGTACAGTATTCTATAATATTTGTATATTTATGTTCAAAGGTGTATTTAAAAAAATCATTCATTTAAAACTTCATCGGCTTACTCTACGTTAATCGAGTTACTTTTGAGAGAAGTATTGCAAATCGATTAGCTTTTCTTTACCATAAAATATCAAGCTTATGACTGAAACAAAATTAGGCAAATCTATATGAATAATATTAAAGTAAATGCTCCAAAGAAAGAGAAAAGTTTTCAATGACGATATAAAATAAGAATATACCGTTTAGGCTATTTCTACATTTTCTTTGAACTATATATATCTACTGATAGATTATTTTTCCGCTTCAACCATCAAATTTCCTTGTTGGTTTTGTAACTTTGAATTTGTTTCCTATTTTCTTTTTGATTATATTTCATTCTGATGCCATAGAGTTCAAGTCAAGAATCTAACCTTCTCATCGACCGGATAGTTATAATTGTTGTAAAGAGAACTACAGAACCCAGTTAATGAAGCGTAGAATAACTTGTTATAAAATACTATTGAAGAGTGTTTCGTGAAACTTCTATTAAATCAATATCATCGAAAATTAGAGATGTACTCAACGGCGATTGTTTAGCTTCAGTATAGAGTAAACTACAATGTCAGAATTTATACAAATTATATTTGAAAATCTCTTATCAATAGCCATTTTTATTCTATCTATTTAGTCGATGATTAGTTCATATTATATTTTGTCGCACTTGAATTACTTTTCATTAATGTGATCCTTAGTCATTTCATGTAAAACTATAGAAATATTTATAGAGAAAGAAGCTTTTCAAAAAACAATAAAATGATTTTATGTTGTTTCATAAACTTCTGTATTCTTGTTTTGATCTCAATATAATGTGACTTGGAAAGTCGTCGTTCGATTCATAGAAAAATATATTTATCATTTTTCTTTTGAATTGACAACCTTTCTTATTACTTTCGTGAACGCCTATCATATTCATGCATTTCTACTATATAAATAGCTTTGCATTTTTGCTTAATAATTAATTTGATTTTCATTTCACTACGTTTAATAATTATCATGTAAATATTCATTTTTCAATATTGGATAGAGCATCAAGTAAAGTGTCGAATCTGTATTGTCATTAATATGCCTGATTTGTACATTTATGCACAGCAAACAATGGACAACAAATTTTGTAAATTAGCCAATAATAATAATAATAATAATAATAATGATGATGATGGTGAGAAAGAGAGACAAAGAGTTGATATTATTATATTCATGTTCTAAGATTTGAACAGTAATCAGAGTTCTAACAGTAAAATTCAAGTTCACCTGTGAATGATGCATTTACAGAAAGAACGTTTTTCAATATGGCAGAGATATTATTCAAAATGGGTGATACTATAATGACAAAAGGTTTACCTAATCAAAAAAATGATAACTCAAGTTGTACATCAATAGTTGTTAACTTAGTCTACAATTTTAATATTCAATGTAGAGATAGACTTTTGGTGGCAATCGCATAGACCTGTAAAATTTTGCTTCAATCATAATCGTGGGAGTTTATGTCAAGCACAGAAAAAGCTACCTCATAGATTAATTGTTCAGAATGAATTGTGCCGACTAAATAACATGCTTCCAATAATATGTTTATGTTACAGAATAAATCTTTTCGGGCCGAAGATGTACGAAAATGAATAATGCATTGATTCATGTTTGGTATTTATTATAACCAAAATAATTAATAATGGAAAAACGTGTTTGGAATTCACTTTGTTATTATACATTTGTCAGATATTATTTTGCTTTGAAGTTCATTTATCATGAATAGGTTATCATTAGAGTAACCATAACATTATTATTTTGTTATCTCTTCAAATAGTTTTTGTCTCGCGAATTTTTTTCAACACAATAAAATATTTTATTGATCAAGAGCAATTTTTGCTGTTATTGAAAAGTATAAATCAATGTCTACTGTTGCTTAGTACTCTCATAGCAGGTGAAGTTTCACTAATTCTTATCACATATGCTAGTCCTATATTAATCGATATAAATACAAATAATTTAGGATAAGAAAAGAAAATAAGGTATTATTTATTCTAAAAATATAATATTTTAGAAAATTTTCTAATGCTTAAGCTTTGAAATAGATTTCGATGTATTTTCTAATTAATAAATAAGGCTTCTCATGTCTGTATCATGTCACTGATATGGTACTTTAATCCAGTGTAATTCTTAGATGCAAGCAAGCTTAAGTTATCTTTGAATGCCTCAGTGTAAGTCTGCTCTATATTGATTCTTACCAGAGTGATATTTTGATTAAAGCATAGAATTCTATCGATAAGATGACAAGAAAAAAAAACAATCCCTTGTAGTCAGATTGATGAGGTGATTTTCCAATGGAGTTTGTAAATTACCACGACTTGTATATCCTATAATTATTATCTGATAAATCAAGTAAATCAATATGATTTGATTTATTTAAAATAAAAACATGCGTAAGCTTTTCATATAGTTAGTCAAGAATTTAAAAAAATAATTGATTTCCGATGCTGACGTATTCATATGTGAAGGAAATATCAAGGTGACAGATCAAACTTAAAGTTTCAAGTCATTATATCTGATTGTAGAGTTATTTCCATCTAGCAGAAATAAAGATCGTCTACTAACGTATCTAATTTGGCATGCCATATTATTATCGTAACATTTTCATGTTGACCACGGATATGAATTATATTTCTAAAATTATCATAGATTCAAACTTATTCAATATTTTATTTTCATTAAAAAGCAAAATGGTCACATCATTGCTTTTTTTTATCAGGTCGATGATATTAAACATTGTAATTTTTATTCTGATTCTTTTTTTTATGCAAAAATAAACAATAAATTAAAATCAAAGAAAATGTCAACCGAGCACTTTCCTTCAAAGTATTTAAATATATAACTATTGTAATTGATTCCATTAGTTTTTAATGTTTCGACTAGAATATTTGTTCAGATAACAAATACTAAATATCATCATAGACATACTTTTGAGAAATATCATCTATAACGATTGCTTAAGTCTAGAGATAATAATTTACTTCTACTCCTCTTCTCAAAACTAGTGGCAGACACCTTCACAACATCTCTCCCTTTCTTAGTATCATCGTTGGTCGCATACCAATGGCATCGTATTCAACTATATGAACTACATGCTTATTGCATTTACAGTATGTTAAGTGAACAGATAACGGAAAATATATCTTAAAATAGATAGAATAAAGCAATTCCTCTGTAATTAGCAACAACGACTATATAGATAGTTCAATATTTTAACGTTGTAGAGATTGCGTCAATAGTTTTGTTTTTAAAATCAATTAAATTTATCTGAAAATACATCGCTATGTGTTATAATATCATAGATAATTTTTCAAATTTATTGACGTAAAATCACAAGCATCTTTAAATAAAATACTATATTTTAATAGTAAAAGTCTCGAAACTTTTTTTTATTAACAAGAATTAAATGATACTTTTCTTTCAATTTTATTTCGTTCGTTGAATATCATCGATAAGCGAAACTAATCGTCTTCTTCGACGCGTAAATCTGAAGAAAAGTTTTCGATATGCTTCACGAAATCTTGGTTGAATAAATGGATAAAGAATGGGATTAATGGTTGAATTAAGCCACAGAAGCCAAAAAGCAGCTGAATATATTTGTCCATTAGTGTCAGTTAACTTTTCTATTGAAAATATTCGCCCAACAACGACAACCACAACATAGGGTAATAAAAAAAACATAAATACAAGTACTAAAGTAAAAAGTGATGTAGCTGCACGTTTATCTCGTCTTAAACGTCGGACAATACGTTGTTCACCTGTGCCCGTCGTTAAACGTAGTTCTAAATCTGACGGAGGTGTAATAACAGAATTATTTCGCCAAATAAAAATCGAATGTTTTTTCGAATTTTTTCTTGTGGAAGATCTACGTAATGTCTGAGTTGATTTCGATGAACAATGTTCGATTGACAATGGTTGTAACTGGTTTGGAGGCGGTATAAATACATGTTTAAAACGTGAATATATATTTGTTGATTGTTTTGAATCTAACTCAACTGAAGGTGACATTGGCATTGATGGAAGTTCAGTGATACCATCATCAATTGGAACCACAATCATATTTTTATGATCAAGTGATAAATTGTTCAAATGAATATCATTATTACTATGCTATAAGGAAAGATAAAGAAAGAACATTGAAAAAAATGAATATTGCTAGCTAGAAATAATAATTCGATAAGATTATGATTCTGTTTTTTCTTTCAAACGACGATTGCAAAACGAATCAATCGAACTATTGATGCCAGGTAAAAAAGCAAAAATTTAGTTGGTTCTATTGAATATTTATATTTTTACTAAAATAAGAGATATAGACAGAATTAAAAACTCTCTGTTCGCTATAGGTAATAGGTTTAAATTACACCATCCCCTACAGAAAAACAATATGCAGAATATAACTACAAGCTCATTTTCATTAATTAATTTTTTCTCAAATTAGAATATTTATATCACAATTTCCGTATTTTGCTTAGGAATTTGACTTGAAGTACTGTTGTAAACCAGAGTTCAACATTCATTTTAACTTGAGTAATGTTTAGAAAGTCGTCGTGAACTTTTCTGAAAACTTTTGAATTAAAACCTGTTAAAGGTAACAAGACTCAATAGGAAATCAATTTCAAAGTTTTGTAAACTCGTGCATAATAGAAGTTCCAAGATTTTCCTATTGCAACGAAGAAGTCGATTCAATTTTAATATAGTTGAATTCAATAACACAAGAATTTACCCTAGACATTGCGTAAGAACTACTTCAATAATTATTTTTTTGAATCTATTCAGATGAAAATTTACCTCTGACTCCGTTTTATTCAACGAACAACAGTTGGGTTCATTAACAGCTGCCATTATGTGTGCGTCACTGCCAATCTGTTGTGTATGCGGTTGCTGCTCTTCTTCTTTTTCTTCAAGTTTCTGAGAATATTCTTCTCTAAATATACGAGGTCGTTGTTGTTTTTGTTGTTTGTGTTGTGGAACTCGAAAACTCGCAAAAGCAGGAAAACGATGTGATCGTTTATAGAGATTGACAACAATAAGAACGTTAAGTACGATAATAACCACTAATGGCCAAGCAAAAAAATTGACTTGAGCGATTATTAAATATAACGTATGTGAATGATAGGCTCCAATACATTCAAAATCGTTTTTCATTGTTTTATTATCGAATGGATTGAATAATTGAGTATCTTGTGGTGATTCAAGCAGCCATATTCCAGGTGCAAAGTTCAAAAATGGAATGAGCCAAATAAGTAAAGAAAATATTCTTATACGTGCTTTCGTAGCATGACGCCGATACTGTACACTATGATTGATACTCCAGTAACGTTCTATTGTTATAGCAACAATCGATAGAACACTTGCCATCGTTACAATATCATCAATAGTAATCCATACCTTACAAAACAGTTTTCCAAATGGCCAAAAATTTTTCATTTGCGCATATCTTTATTAAGAAAAGAAAACGCAAAATAGAGGTTAAAATTATTATTTCATATTTTTGTATTTAAAAAAAAGACCTACGAATAAAATGGCATACAAATAAGACCAACTAGAAAATCAGCAATAGCCATAGATAAAAGAAAATTATTCGATGGTGTTAATAGATGTGAATCATTACAAAAAGCAAATAAAACGACAAGGTTACCACCAATAGTTAATAATATAGTTAAAACAATACCAAAACACGCCAATACAAATTCAATTGTATTCCATGAAAATGACATAATCGATTTAATTTGCCTTCAAAAGATGTTTCCACCTGTTATCATGATATTTGAACTAAAATACTTTCCATAGTTCTATTCATATCTGAAACGAGTAATAGATGAGTGTATAAAAAATAAATGAACCAAGATCGACAACATATATTCAGGTTAATGTTGATTAAATTTGAAGTAACATGAGACAGGGAAAATGGGAGAGCAACAAAAATAGAAGATACCTATTCATTTTCATCGTATTTCAAAATAATTGTAAATAATAAGGTACATAATTCGAAGATGTGACAAAGCTAATTTCGATTTTCAGCCAAACGAGGAAGATGTATGATTGAATTGAGAATATTAAAAAAAAGAATACAACAATTTCTAGTTATTTGTTTTTTCACTTTGATTGATTTCTTCGTTTTTTCTCTCGTCTTTCTTTTATCTCTATCATATCATTATCTATTCGCCAATTACAATAGTTGCGGGAGAGAGAGATGGAGAGACACACACATACACATAGAATAGTTATGGTGACAAAATCGACTACAAATGAAGATGCTATAAGATCTGCTCTGCTTTTTGTTTCTGTAAATAGATGCATCACCCACTAACCATGCTGTTGTATTATTGACAAAGAAGCTATGGGTCCGAATTAGCGTTTTTACTTTTAACCATCAAAACGAGTACGCTTTCTCGTCATTAAATAACTATGAAAAGAAAGAATTCAGTAGATGAAAAAAATTATATATAATATAGTTCTAAATGTAATAATTTGACATGAAAAATTCGAAAAATTACAAAAAAAAGGTTTGAGAGACCGGAAACGATAATATTCTTACTTCGAAGTAGTTCCCCTTAAAATATGAGAAAAAAGAAACTAAGGCGTAGATCATAACAGTAATGAAATGTCACAAGTAGACACCGTTGTCATTTTTGTAATTATAAGGAGCTTTTGTCTTTTTTTTTGCTGTAAAAATATTAATGGTCCGTGGAATTTTATTTTTGATGTCGTTGTATGACGTTGTTGGTGACAGATCATTTGGACACGATAGCCTGTCTGTTTTGGTTAATGGTAATCTGATGACATGGATGATGCTGTTTTTCAGAGCTGTTCTTCTTATTTCTCTTATTTTTAGTCTTCTGTTCTTTCTGATTCAGTAAATAGCTGTCGATGCCAAAGAAATTGCAATATCGGCTTTCACTACATTATCAAGTTAAGTTTTTTTCTCTCTATTCTTATCATGCGTTTCATTTTATCGGTAAAGCATCTTTTTTCTTCTCTCTGATATAGAATGATACCGTGAGAGTGAGAAGTTTTTTCTGAAAAAAATCTTTAAATTTATAATATCTAGTAAAAGTAAAGACTTGAGAAAATCACTGACAATCTAAAATTGTCCGTGTATGTGTCTAATCATGTGTTAAAAATGTTCAATTGATTATTTAAAGTATACTTTCTTTAATTACATAGTAACACAAGAACGAAATTACAAACCTAATCCTATACGCTTATCATTCGATCATTAACTATGGCAAATAAGATGCGATGAGGAGATAGCTCATGTATTACATTTGAGATCTGTAGGACGATATTAACATATCAAAAATAAATCCCATAACAGAGATCAAATAGAAATGGAAAAAAAACGATCTTATATTGAGATAAAATGACGAGATTTGTTTTCATATTGCATAAATTCTGCTGCTATTGTTGTTTATTCATATTCATTAAGCTGTATGAGACTATATCGATATATTCACATATGAGACAATGAAAAATCTTATTAGCACTTTCAAGTTTTATGAATTAAAAAAAAAAAATTAAAAATTTGATAATAAGAGGCATACGTAAATGTGTCTGACTATGACATAAATCTTTCATTGAGACTAAATATAGAACGATAACAATGTTAAAGAGTTGACAGCATAATTATATATGATGAATGATAAACAGCAAACGTCTTCCTTGTTAAATTGAACTGAAAGATATCTTTTAAACTACCGAAAATAGTTTGATATAAAAATGACACAACAACAATACAACAACAAGAGTGATAATCGATAATCTAATTATTAGAAACAAAAACAAATCTGATAAGTTAGATGGATGTTTTTCCTCATAAATCGTATTCATTCAAATAAATCTTCATTATGATATTGAATTATAAACGAACATAGACATAAGATTTATTTCTATTAAATAAATTTCTAGCATGAATGACATTGAATTTGAAAAGCTCATTTATATAAATTAACGATCAATTGAATACATTTTATCCAATCAATAGATTATATCGATAATCATCGTTTTTTTCTTTTAATTGCAAAAGTTTTCAAGAATAGAATATTTTACAAAGACAAATTTAGTTTTTTTCCCGGTACGTCTCGATCCAAAGGCTCGTGATCATATACTCTTTCTAAAGATTTATCGATGGTTCTTGTGATAATAGTTCTATTATTATTACGAGTAAATATTTCGATAAGCATATCAGTATTTCATCATTGATCATTGCCGACGGATACTACATAACATAAACATTTTCTTTTCCTAGTACAATATTTCATATGATGATATGAAAATATCAATGTGATAGTTTTTAACGTATACAAATATGAAAAATGTTTTCAAGTTTTATCAAATTACTTTTTTGTTTTTGTTTGAATTAATCGCCATTTACATATTATTCAAATAAATCATTGGCAATCCTCTTAAATATTAAACAAAATATACAGAAATTGATGGATGACATAGTAAAATGAATGACATTTTTCAAGGCACATTTGTCGTTTTCATAATTAAACCAAAACTTATTTTATTTTCTCAAATAACATGAATATTTATTCGATTAGAAAAAAAAATTCCCTGTACATCGAAAGTCTTAGACACAATTTCTTGTCCTGTTCAATGACAACGAATTCTCTTCAATTAGCTTTTGTTTTTTAAGAATTACTTTTAATCAAACATGATAGAATAAAATATGTTTTAATGAATGAAAATATTATCAGATGACGCTCGCCAGAAGTAAAAAAAAGAAAAGAATAATAATGAAAATAACGAGAAAAAAATGGAATGTTCTGTGCAGGTGTCGAACCTGCGACCTTCTGCGTGTTAAGCAGATGTGATAACCGCTACACCAACAGAACTCGAAAGTCAGCAGTCTAATTTTTAATAGTGAATAATGCTAAATGATTATCAGAAATGATTTTTCATATTATTTGATATTTAAAGGCATCTTAAAAATAATTCGATAATTGTCTTCCAATGTTCGCATATATAAAAAAAATTAGTACCAATATTTTTGAAGTATATATATATATATATATATATGCATATTTGTATTGCACTTAATTTTGACTTTATCTTTCAGCTCTGTTTAATTTGTGTATTTTATCGAGAAAACTTCTAATATAGTTAGATATTTGTGAAGATTTTTTTATTTTTGTCATTGATCAATGACCACGACATAAATCAGATAGAATTTATATACGCATATAATCATTAGTGAGATCTAATTTCCAGTGAAATAAGAGAGATTAATATACTTATTATATATTGCTATTTTTCAAGAAAAAAAGTATAATGATGCATTCAATATATCACTTCCGTTAATTGAAATCGTTGAGTTTTTCTCTATGGAGTATTGAAAGATTTGCTTGATTAGCAGATAAACCTAGCTATGCTAGTGAAACATTTAATCTGTTACAATAAAATTTTGTTATGCAAAACAATGTCATATATTTGCTATCATCACAACGAACACAATTTACACGAGAAAAAGAAGCCAAGATTATAGTTGCTTCATCATTGGACTTTGCTCTATCATATAGCTTGTCAAAAAAAAACGGTTGTCTGTTTCTAGAACTATTTTTGCTCTAAATGACGTCGCTCTTTTGTGGAAATGCCCTTAATTCATTGCCTATACATATGTTATATGGTGCAGTTTTGTGAGCTAATGAATGAAGAATTTCCCTTTTTTTATTTTGTTTTAGTCAGTACTAATATGTAAAAATAAAGACGGTAGATTACAACTGTTATATATTTTTATTTTATTTTGTGCTTATAAAAATAATCAAGTCAAGCAATGAACCGTTCATTAATAACGCACAAGAACACGTCGGAGAAGAAAATAAAAGTTGCTGCTGTTTCGCACTCCTTGAAACACACAGATACATATTGCGATGGTTTTGTTGATTTTTATACATTTTTTTCAAAAACATTTCAAGTTGAATTTGTTTTCAGTAACATATCAGAAAGGAAAACTTCTTATCATCTTCTATAGAAAAATACTCTCTATCACGCGTTCCATACTAAATCAAAGTCGCCTGGTGTAAAGCAGATAGACTCTCCAACGAAATTTGTTAAAATCTGAACGTGTGAGAATTTCAATAGAGTCCGTGTCATCTACAATTTTGGGTTTATACACAACTAGGTTCGAATTCAGTTTCAATTCGAACATGCGAGAAGCGAGAGAGATCATAAATACAAATGGTGGACACATAGTATGTGTAGCGAAATTAGATAATTAAATTACGACTTCAGTGAGGAAAGAAACTTTTCCCGTCTGATTTTATATTTTGACTTCTCGAAAATAGAAACAACAACGATATTTATGTACGCCCATTTCTTGTTGAAATAATGTTAATCGTTTTTCATCGTTAAAATGTTTTTTTGAATTAAAAATAATTAGTATATGTTAAAACAAATGACATTGTGTTATATTAACATTAATAACAATGTCGTGAATATTTTCGTCTTGATCAAAAGTTTGCCAATTAATAGAACAAATGTGAATAGCTATTGCATCAGGTGATTTGGGCGATATTGATAAATTGATGGTTTGTCTAAATGAACACGCTTCGTTTAGAAAGAAAAAATAACGTTTATTGTTTTATGGATGAATTTTTTAAATCAAAATTAAATCTCACTTGCATAGAATGATGGTTTTATATGGCAGATAGCAGATTTGTTATTGCTGTCATCATAATGACATGTACAATCAACATCGGAAAATAAAGTCAAACCAATAGCTAAACATTTTTCTTCTGTATGACCATTCCGAAATTTTAATACTGAACAGTTTTTTATTGAAGATAAACTACTATTGTAATCACGTCGATATTGACATTGTGAGCCATAATATTGTGATAAGCATAAACATTCTTGTATATTATTTGTCACAACACATGTACCGCTATTCAAACAAGTTTTTTTGCAATGGTATCTATTTTTGACACGACGATATTGACAACGTGGACCATCAAAAGTGGGTAAACATTGACATGCAAAACCATTCCTTAATTCTATACATGTACCATCATTTAAACAGGATTCCGTATCACAATCGATTATATCTAGATTGCATACATCACCTTTGATTCCTGGATCACAAATGCATGTATGATTAATACATCTACCATGTACACATGTGTCATTGTCACATATACCTATTCAAATAAATATTCCAGTTATTTTATTAGCAATTTGCTCAAAGCTATTCTACCGTGAACACTTGTAATAATAAAAACCCAACATATGAAGATAATCATTATAGGACAAAAATACATTACAGGATAAATTTACTGATATCAATATGTGCAATAGTCGAAGAACAAGAAAAATAAAATGAAACATTCCAGTATGATACGTGCAGCAAAGATTCGTAGATACTTTCACGCTGAAGAATTTTTCGATGCGTCATCAAACAACGGGTATTACTAATTTACGCCAACAAAACGAACACCCACAACTTGTAGAGTTATATTCACGAACACCCATTTTTTTACTAGCTATAGGGAGAAAAACTATCGACAAATACAAAAAAATGACCCCTCTCAACACGAACACCCAAAATCTCTGTTTTTGTCTATAGTAACACCTTACACTTTTGCTTACGAACACCCACACAACTCCCTAAGCTACATTTTGACTAGGGTACGTGGTATTCTCGAATGGATTTCTATAAAGATTTTTCTGTGAAAACATTTCAGAGAGAGTCCGTGAAAGAACCACTCTACGTACGGCACCGGAGAAAAAACTTTTTCTTTCGATTTAATTAGCTTAAATGATAGGTTGTTCGAACCGTTGTTAAATCCAAAATATCAAATCATTCGGTTGTTCCTATGGAAAATGGTAGAAAAAGCAAGTTTAAAGGGTAAATGGACCCCGATCGAACTTCTCAAGTTTGTAGAACAGATATGTGTCGTATCTAATTTTGTAGACGTTGTAAAGGCGCATCGAGTGGTATATAGGAGCTCGGGTTTTCACGCTTGAAAGGCCTATATAATGTTTATAGCATGTAGCAATCTATATGATACTCATAGAAATTGTGGGTCCCCATGATGACACAGAATAAGTTTATAAGAACTCCTTCTGACTCTGAAGGGGCCTAGAGGGATATGAAAGTAATATGTTTCTGCAATAGACATAAGATATCTGCGTATTATTCAAGGGTTCAACGTATAAATAAAATCTGTGTAATCGGAATTGATATTGGTAAAACAGACAATAAAAATAGTGCTCGTGTAGATATTATTGTATCCCTGTAGACTCCTTCAGGGTCAGAACAAGACAAATTGTTTTCAGTATTCAAAGAACTTATCTATGCAAGTTGATTGAAGTTGCTCTGCTGATAATTGTAACGTAAAAATGTTGGTTAGGATTGTAGGAGATTATTGAAATATTATCAATATACTCAGTCCTCCCTATAGGAAAAAAGCTATATTAGTGAATTATTTTCTAAGCTAACAACGAGTCCCTAATTTTCTGAAAGATCTTACCTATCAAATATGTATAGGTCAATAGTGTGCAGTTTCTAAGAAATTTTCCCGTTGTTACTCAATTGCTCTGTGACACAGAAGCAAGTATATTGAAGTATTAATTTGTCCATTATTAGCAAAGCGTTCTTCAAGACGACCCTCTATCGTTATAGCAAAGCAATAATAAAAAGCATCGCCTATGAAATTTCAATAGCATCCATTCCTGTATAGAACCGAGTCTCAAAAAGGAGTTCTTATAAACTTATTCTGTGTCATCATGGGGACCCACAATTTCTATGAGTATCATATAGATTGCTACATGCTATAAACATTATATAGGCCTTTCAAGCGTGAAAACCCGAGCTCCTATATACCACTCGATGCGCCTTTACAACGTCTACAAAATTAGATACGACACATATCTGTTCTACAAACTTGAGAAGTTCGATCGGGGTCCATTTACCCTTTAAACTTGCTTTTTCTACCATTTTCCATAGGAACAACCGAATGATTTGATATTTTGGATTTAACAACGGTTCGAACAACCTATCATTTAAGCTAATTAAATCGAAAGAAAAAGTTTTTTCTCCGGTGCCGTACGTAGAGTGGTTCTCTCACGGACTCTCTCTGAAATGTTTTCACAGAAAAATCTTTATAGAAATCCATTCGAGAATACCACGTACCCTAGTCAAATGTAGCTTATGGAGTTGTGTGGGTGTTCGTAAGCAAAAGTGTAAGGTGTTACTATAGACAAAAACAGAGATTTTAGGTGTTCGTGTTGAGAGGGGTCATTTTTTTGTATTTGTCGATAGTTTTTCTCTCTATAGTTAGTAAAAAATGGGTGTTCGTAAGAGGAATCGATATTCGATCTCGCCAAGTTGGAAGTTCGTGCTGTTTGCGTAAATTAGTAATACCCTTGATATTTTCATAGATGTTTCGTTTAATGCTTCATGATAAAATTCGTGATTGAGACAAGAGTAATTACATAATTTTAATTCTATAGATATTTGTCGCTGTTTTTTGTTTTTAAAAGAAATCGTATATATTTTCAAGCTATTGATAAATGTTACTATGGGAATAATTGATAGAATTCTTGATTAACTGGCTACACTTTACTTTTGTTAAATAAAAACCAATGTACAATCAATGAATCGAAGAAAATCGATAAAAAAAAGCTATCGAGAGATTTATGCAATGTTTTCTTGATAGAATCTATTGTTTACTGTGAAAGATATAAGATATGCATTCAAATATATACATATTAAAGCCAAAGCCAGAGCCGAAAACAAAATATCCATGTTCTTAACTCATCATTTTCATTAGAAGTTGTTTGTTATCAGATTATTACAATATAGGTTAACACGAATGATGATATGATCCTTTTTCCTCAGAAGTCTAACTATCCATTGTTTGAAAATATTTATTCGGAATAAAAATCATACTAAAATTGTAAATAGAATCACAATGTGTCTGATGATGATGCTGATGACAATATCGTTAAGCTATCGAAAACTCATTCACTTTTTTAACAAATAAATATTCATACTGAACATCTGACTTCTACGGTAGTACTACATTTCATTGTTGCTCTTATTATACCCATTACCAAACATTCCTACATACAAATATAATATTGGAACAAAAGAAAGTGTATACCAGTTAACGATGTTTTATCATAATGGTCAGCTGCTGCATGTCGATAATAACCAAATTTTGAACATCCTAATCTATCTGGACATTCTTTTTCTTTCTTGAAAGTTCCCATACGTGGTTTGAGCAGATTGACAATGTTTAGGTGTCGTACTACAACTATTTATGAAGAACAAATCATTTTCTTTTAAAATATTATTTTTAATCACTACCCCTATTGTGAGCAGCATTATCTAGATGAACAGCCGAGTTGGCAACATGAACTACAACATTGCTGATATAAAATCTACGTTTCATAAAAATAATGATAATTTAATAATTACTAAAATGTGACGTATAATATTACGAGTCATTGATTCTACATCTGAAACAAAAGTAACAAGAAATATGAAGTCGATCATTATATCTTTTTCTTTCCTGCAAACAAATTGATCTGTCCAAAATCTATATCTTTAAGAAACAAGCCTCCGTTTGTTTTTTTTATCAATTTTTTCTGTACATAAAAATGTTATTGGCGATTAACTACCAATTAATTCTATTGTACTTCTACACAATACACATATACTTATCCTCGTTGTACCATGTGTACCTACCGTGTCAACGAACCTCTAACAGAAAGAAAACTCACCCTAGTGATTCTCAGGGAAATTTTTAGGGAAACCCCATCACATTATCTGGTCCTTCATAAGGATCCGATAAGCATTGAAAGAGATCTATTCCTATTTTTTTTCAAAATTTTTCGTTAAATTTGTATCAGCCGAGATATCAATTATCTTTAAAATAACTGTTTTTGGTGAGACGGATTTGTCCCCTACAACATTCAACAGGCCTCGATTCAACAGACTAGTTTCAAGAACCAAATTGCCACTCATGTCTAAACGATGATTTATCACTCGAATAGAATTTATGGTAGAAAAGAATGTAATTATTTCATTAGAATCTTCCTTTTCTTACTTACTTGCACAGGTACTCTCTCATGAATTTCACACGAAATCCTCTAGGGACTCTCTCTATTTTCCCTACCCTGCAGCATTCGGGAACTTCTCAGAGGATATTCTACTAAATAAAGAGATGATCAGTAACGTGTATGTGTGAGATGATACGCCACGTTTCATTCATTACCCTATCAATGAACAGAAAAGTCAAGTTCTATTTCGTTGATGAATGTATTGCATTCGGTTTCCATGAGGAAAGCTAAAGATATCTACTTCATGGAAGACAATCGGTAGAAGTGAAATCATGTCTGGCGATCTCACTGTTTAGAACCATATTCAGAGGATTTGCAAGCATTCAAATGTGTTGCAACATTAAATGTAAGCTTTAGAAATCGGAATTTTTCATTTGAAAAACAACTCATAAAGCTCTAATAGTTTGAGACAATATTTCTGTGTAGGACTCATGGTTAATTTGATACAGATTTTCAAATAAAAAGTAACTCTCATTCATTTGCAAAAGCATGTATACGTGTATCCCTTGAATAAAACTGGCCGTACCTCAGCACAACGAACTATATTTAAAACAAAATATTCTATATGTCTTATTAAATAGCACTTCGTCCATATTTTAGATCTAAACAGGAATTATAGTTTTCTTATGTTTATAGATTTTTGGAAGAGAAGTCCAAAAATTCGATGCTTTTAAGTGAAATCCTTCCTCAATTGCTTGCCACAATCGATAAAATATATCATAAAACTCTACTTCCAACAATATAAAAGAATTTATTTGTTAATTCTAATGTAATTTTTCAATTCAAATTTTTGAAAATCATTTGCGATCAATCAACATCAATTATCATCCTGCAAGAAAGTCAACATTATATTTTATGTTATCACTATTTCATTCCATAGCTATCTTGTTTTCAGAAAAAAAAGAAAGAAGAAAAATAGAACAATGAATCAAATGCAGGCAGCATTATCGGTACACATAAACGATAACGCAATGGATGACACCATCATAGATTGTATACGCAATATGCAGAAGTCTTGCAAAACGCCATAGTTAATAGTTTGAATTAATAAACTCAGTAGTTATCATTAACGACACGACAACTTGTAAATATAGTTGTATTTGAATAGATAATAGTCCAATACACCTAATATTAGCAATAAATAACACACATCTGTATTCGTGGTGTTATATTATATTCTCCCAAGTAAAAAGAATTTTTCATGGAATAAGTCATCATTGTTTACGATTGCAATCGATTATCGCGCTAAATATTTTTGCTTTCTTTTTCAAGGCTCAGTAGTGATCACAGTTTGTCTTCAGTCATGTTCAGGCCAATAGGGAATCTAATAGTATACATCATTGCCTTGTCTCAGACTCGAACCACAGACGTCTATACCAACTTGTCTTATTGCGCTCAACCATATTCTTTCGTTCTATTAACACGGCCCAATGAACTGACCAGTAGATTAGGCCGTCGAGCCCCCAAAAAATGTTTCTCTGTTCTGTATGTCATCGCCATACGTGAATCTTTAATTTTCGATAAATATTCTAATGTTTTCTTTTAAAATGAAAAAAGGAATTAATTGATAAAGATATCTTTTGACAATTTGATTATTAAGAATTTATGTTTTATTATCCCAGTTATCATTAATATCTTTGATTTTGCCAAAACATTTAAGACACTGATAACAATTAAGCATTTCTGTAGCAAGATCAAGTTTTGTACTATTTTTACAATGTCTCAAACGTCGAACACAATCAAATACTTTTGTTGTTGTCGTCCATAGAGCAACACGTTGAACTATTTAATGTTGACATTGACGACGTGCATTACGATATAAAACTTCTTCTGATGACAATGATGTAGATTCATCACCGATTATCCGCGAAAGAAGTTCATTAAGATCAGCTAATTGTTGATGAGTAAGAGATTGATATCGATTATGAAATCCATAGACGTTATTATTATCATCGTCGTCGTCAGCACGGTTAAATAATGAAACTGCTTGAGAAATGACAACAACTATCAAAAAAACTAAAATTTATTTAAAAAAGACGGAGATTTTGCTTGTTGTATCTACTCATATAACCTACTCAATAATGCGAATCTCATCGACATGGCTAAGATAATAGACGTGCCTACGCTGGCCGAATGTTTAGAGAGATACATGCATATAAGGATCGAGACACAAATAGGCAGTTGTTTGTAAATGCTTCTATTGAAACGTCAATTGCATAAACATATCTCTATATGTCTCCATATTCTTTTGTCTTATCTTTTCTTTATTCTCGATTAACATGAGGTATCGTCACTTAGAATATGATGATACATGAGTTCAAGTACCATGAATCGTCATTATGCTGGCTTTTGGCTGGTTGAGTGACAAAATTGCATGAAAGCAGTCAACACTTGTATTATAACTAATGATCGTATCAAAGAAATACGACATAAAAAGTCCTCCAATTAAAAAGGCTGTTTCATCAAAAAACCTTAGTCAACTATTGATAGAATCATTTTTTGCTTCAATAATTTTCATAGTTAATAGGTTGAACGAGTTATAATCGAAAAAAAGCGTTTGAATTTTCTCAATAAACAGCATTATATTATTGATAGTACAAAAAGAATGTACTGAAGGCTACAAGTAAGTCGTAGCATACGATGAATTCTATATCTAATTATATTAGCAGCAGTATCTAACGCATATGAATAGAATGGTAAACATAATTACCTGAAATCCATTCATTCTTAAGATATATTTTTCTCGGTGTCGCGGGGCGGCACGAAGAAGCTAAAAGCTTCCCAAATTGTTTTTAATGTGTTTGATTATCCTGATTGCAGAAACGATCTAAAAGATTCTGACGATAATATTCGTTGATTGTATTCTAATATATTCTTCTTGTTGTTTGTACATATATTCATATTTATCATTGTTTCTGCTTTCTATACTCCTACTTGCATTCTCTTTTGTTTTTCGTTTTTCGTTCGTTAATATTAATCATTTTCTGATTATGGACAATTCATATTTCATTATTCTCTAATTCATATCTTCGCTTTTATCATTTATTCTCATTTGATTAAAAACGTTTTTCATGATTCAAATTTTTACTTCACCATTTCACTTTTTGTTAGTAACTAATTACTTGTTCATCCATTCATATTGCTCTTATTTTTTCCCGATGTTCTTTTGTTGATTATCTCATCGTCTTATGCATCACTTAATGAGCTGCATCAATGAATCTTTTACTCATCCTCAAATATATGTCATGTTCGTTTTATCACTTGTCATATCAGAGTCGCATACTATGGCAGCATCTCATTTGAATGGACGCTACGATTAAAATTTATCAGCAATTATGACATTTATTTAACATATCCATTGTATATCAACTTATACATCAATTCGTTTTTAAATCAAACTAATCAAAATTTTTGTTCTAGTTAGGTTTTGTCATGATTGCTGACTAGATGTGAATGACCGATATGAATTAGTAGTCTTCATCAATTTTCTTATTTGTTTTTTCACTAATGAATTTGTAATAGAAAATATAGAGATTCCTTTTTTTACGAAATATACACTCCAACGGAGAAATCATATGACTGTTTAGACGGATTTCAGTTCCTTCGATAATTGAAAAAATCCGAGAATGATAATAAATATGGAAAAGAAAATTACATTTCGTTCCTTGAACAGTTGAATATAAAGTGGTTAACATTTAATTCTTCTTCATCACAGTTATAAAGACTTTTTACAAACAAAAATCCAGATAAATTATCATCATATCAAAACAACAATCTCAACGTTTAGCGATCAATCAATTCTGTCTGGCTTACAGTTCATATTCTCATTTGTTGTATATTGAACTTTTTAAAAAACGTGAAATAAATATGAAAAAATAAACATACAGCATGCAATGATTTCAATGTATAATGAACGTAGTCTATCATTAACTGTCTAACTTGAAGTGTTAGTTCAATACTGTTAAAGACGCAGTAATTCATTAAAAATTAGTTGATACGTAACGAAATCACTACAGAATATGAATGAGAATGCACATAATCCATAAAGTCAGATAGGTGCAGAAAACTGATGTACTTGTATATCCACCGAAAAAGGAGAACATATATGCGTTCATGCATGACAACGGAATGAAATAATAGATGATGAAACGCATACATATATGATAAAATCATGACGATGCATTAAGGATGACCCTGTCTAAAAATAGTGTGTCATTATTAGTATGTTTCTTCTCTATATTGAATGGTTTATATGCATATTGTCTTCACCGTTTTCTGTCAACGATTAGCTTGTAAGTATGTATCATTAATACATCTTCATATAAAACAGTAGATAATATTTACGAGACTCAAAAAAAAAATGTTACTTTAATATCAGACGGTAATCTACGTGTTGTGTTCATATGTGTAATAGCAAATGAAATATAGGATGTGTGCATTTTCAAATTATTAGTTTAGTCGTTTATATAAATTTAGCTATACCGCTATACGAATAAATTAATGGTTACAATGATGTACTTAATATTTTGAGATATTGATATACATTTCAATGATTATGTCCCAAAAGAGACTACAAAACAGTACTTGACTAGTAGAGAACATGCAATAAGTTTTCCTTAATTCTCTATTCCTTTCCAAATTGAAGGGCTCGATGTTTTATTTATTTGTTTCAGTATACGTATATTCAAGTGTACTTCGAGACTCATATTCGGTAAGATTTTACCCCTTTTTACTTACGATTTTTCATTATATATGTGTCGACCGACAATGAAAAAGATGGCCTATTTCATTTCCTTACCAATACACTGCGTATGTTATTTTGATCAACAATAACAAACTAAAGGAGTAGCTTTATGGTTGCCTTCGGCAAAGGTGTGCACGACACTACGCCATCAATCAAACAGTGTCTATTTTATATATAAAATCTGGTTTATATAAAAGAGAGAAAGAGAGAGGAGTGAATTTGTGACAGATTGAATTGATGACCGAGTGAACATGTCGATATTTTCGTTGATGCGGTCAATGCGTCTAGTTTGATAGTGAGCGAGTGCTCTCACATCATTGAACCGGAGAAAAATGGAGTAACGGTGTACTCTGATTATGGGAGACGACATGGACTCGATAGATGCTTGTCGGCTTTCGTTGATTTCTTTTCTTTTCAATTCAGTCGCTTCGTTTTTTTCTAATATGGACTACGAAAAAATACGCGTGAGTATTATTTTCTTTTAATGATAGACGCAGAATAACAAGAGATAAGATAATTGAAAAAAAATGCGATTCATTAGCTAATAATACTTAGATTTATGGATACAATTCATATTTCTGTTCATTAACCGCTGACTAGTTCACGGGACTAGATGGTTTTGTTGTAAGTTTTAATTCATTAATAGAGAATAAAATCGCACACATTTCGTCTTTCCTTGAAATAAAGAGACAAACAAAAAGTTTCTCATACGATTAATTTGTATGTTCTTTTATATTTGTAAAGTTAATATACGAGAAGAATAACTTTTCAAGTTTTAAATTATTGGTTGATATGTTATGTTATGCACTGTCTTCTGATGTAGATCGATATTTTTCTCATCTTGATAGTAAAAAGTAATCATTCCAATCATGTGTCGTTTATCAAACATACGAAATCTCGTCGTTATGTTATTAGTATTGTAGCCCTGTTATTATGCTCAGTCATGTGATTTGTGTCATTCAATGATCATTTCATCGTGATCCGAGTTGACATTTGAACAGAAGTGAAATACTCTCTCTCCCTCTCGCTGTTTTTGTATACATGTATATACACTTATTTATTTTCATATGCTATTGTTCTTGTTGTGTACTCAAAAAAAAAAGAGTACACTATAGAATCGGTCAGTGTGTCCGTCCGGCCGTCCGTTTATTCGATAACTCTTCACAATTACATTCGATTGAGCTGAAATTTTGTGCACAGAATTGTCTTATCAATATCTAGGTCGAGTTCGAAGATGAGAAGGATCCGTCAAGAAATGGCTGAGTTGTCGAAAAAATTGTCATTTTTGATCAGACCATCCCTGAGGGGGAGTACAGGGATTTTTCAAAAAAAACTTTTCTCAGAATTATTCACAACATATATAAGGCGACTCAGTTTTTAACGCTGATTCCGAATTTGATATTGGTTTTGAACTAAGTCATAGCTTTCTAACGAAACATCGCCTGAAAAGCGTCTCAAAATTCACAAAAACTCCATCCAGAAATCAAATTGTCTAGCTTCTCATGATAATTTTCGTGTTCAGACATTCTAGAATGACTCATATATCGCATGCACTTTTTGCAGTACACATAACTCTCGGATGAAATCCGAAGTTTCCACATTTATTTTAAACATAATCAGATTCATTTGATTGAAAGGCGGATAGCTCTTTTATCGATCATATTTGAACGTACAACTACATGTATTTTACGAGTACATCATTATCATAATAGGTTCCCACCATGCGTCTCTTTTCCTATTAAATCTATATGATAAATATTCGACTGAATTTTATATAAAATTTGAATGAAAAATCCACATTATTGACTTCTAGAACAAAATATAACGAGAGCCAGCCAAAAACGATTTCGATGTCATTTGACTCGATCAAATACATCAATTAATTAATTAAAATCATTTCAAAAAGATCGAATCAGTGAATACAAGCAGAAAATTTATACTCGAGTCTATCTTATTCTTTCATCTGTATTTTTGGTCTTCTACTGTTTTATTCGTCAATTACCGGTCGTATTATTCTTAAAATAGCTTGAAATCCGTCGATTATAGACTACGAAAATTTATTACAACTTCCTCGTGATGACATTGAATGTCCTTGTATAAAAATATCGATTCCTTATAAAGTATTTGTGGCTCAACTCAATATTAGCCTATATCATCAAGTATGTACTATGGATGTCATTCGTCGTACATTGACCACCGGCGGTATTATTGATGGTGGAACTACCTTTTTCAACAGGGCCGATTTCCGATCAGAGCGATTTGAATTCATCAAAGGTCTCGACAGGCTATGTAATTTGGCTAAAGATAGTCTCAGCCATGATATTGAAACATTTCAAGCTTTGACTATGCTTTTATATCAATTGATACCACGCACTCAATTCGATAGTGAAATGAATATCACATTGGATCGAATGAAACTAACCGCATCTGTAGCATTCACCAGAATATTGGAACTATTTCGTTTAACTATAATAGTTATGGAAACGCATGGATAGGTATACTTTTTCCGAGTTGGAACTTTGTAACCACTGGCAATACTCAAAACATAAACACATCTTTTCTTACTGTATCTATCAACGAATATACAACATGTTCTTGTTCCATGCCAACGCAATTATTTTTTGCTAATGGTACCAGTTACTACACATTTAAAGGATTGGTTCTTGGCTGCTTTCTTCTCGAAACAATATTAGGCTCCTCGTTGTCATGTTTCTATTCGATGGTTTGTATCAAGGAATTCCGGAAGGTTATTGATCTGTATTGGCCAGAAGATCTGGAAAAATGGAGTAATTTAATCAAACAGGTTTTCCCGTCGTATTGGATGCTTCAGCAACACGATTCTCTATCAATGATATGATCGAAACGATAGCTTATAATATGTTTATTGAATCATGGGCAAGTAACGTTTCTTATGAAAATTTATTTCAGACATGTGCAGCAAAACAATGTATTATACATATTATTACGGAATCGATTCGCGTCAATTGTTCACAACATTCTTGAGTATATTCTCAGGCATATGTGCTGTATTACGATTTCTTACGCCATATCTGGTTCGACTAGTTGAAGTTATTAGGAAACATGTACGCATTATGCCAACCTAGTAGTTTGTTTTTGAAAATCTACTTTACATATTTTAACATAGTCATGTTCGCCATATTCACGAATCTAATTATAAAATGATCATTGATTTTGTGCATATTCGTTCACAAAATCGCATTCATACTGGAAAGTTCTGTTAATTTCTTTTTATTTTTATAAAATTCTTTTCACCATAAAATTTCCAAGGTTTTTTCTATTCAATTTTTGGACACCTTATTAATCGACTAGACAACATTTCTAACCATCGATTATCCTTGTTCAAGGAGTATTTAAAATCGCACAAGACAAGAAAGCTCGCTTTCTCGGTACAATTTCGACATATGGTCAAGTATATTGCAAACTCTGCAATAACCAGCTGAAACGGGATATGAATTCAATTTTTCTATATAGATGTGCAGAAATTGCTACATTCACCAATTTTCACTGAATAAATGCTGCTGAACACATTATTATACATTAGATATTTTGACTGAAAAACACATTGACAGTTTTGATGTCATTCCGTTGTGAAACATAAAGTGATATAGTAACATGATAAAACTCTCGTGATAGTAATAAGCAATCGGCGAGATGGTGGATTTTGATCTTGAAAATTTGAAATTCAAAGTTCTCACTTTTTTTGCCTAAAAATTTTTCAAAGTAAAAGACAAATTTACTGTGACGAGCAGGACTATCATTTCTGATTTTTTAAGTGGGGTTTTTGAAAATCCAAATGGGGTACACTCGTTTTCAGAATGGAATACATTGTCTGCCTCCTAAAATAGAGGATTTTATTGAGAAAACCGATCAAATAAACACCACCATTAGAAATATAAAAGCTGTTAGCGCAATCCCTCTGAGATTAAAAATGTGAAACACGACATAATCACTGCAGAAAATCACGTGGATATGGTGTATTCAAGGGAGTTCTTTGTAGATTAGGCGAGACAACTCGTTTGCTGCTACCAGTGATGATCTGCGCTAGGCTGGAACAGCGTCTCTGATGGGCTGTGCTAGGTCTCAAGATTGTCTGTCACGCTGTGTGATGGTCTCTGAAGATCTTGTGTAACCGTCTGTGATGGACATTCAATTCATATGGTACTAATTAGTCAATTAATTAAAGCGCATGTCACGATCTGTAGTCATTTCTGAAGACCTTCTATCACGGTCTGTGATGATCAATTAAGTAATTGCATAGTAATTAGCTAATTAACTAAGTAATTGAGGCGTCGGTCACAGTTTTCAATGGTCTCTTAAGCTGTCGGTCACGTTCTGTGATGGGGAAACTACCTGTCGGTAACGATCTGTGGGGGACGGGGTGCAAAATTTCTACCCTAAACACCAACACTCTTTTCAGGTCGTGTTTCACAAAAGTCTGATTTACATATAGAACAATGAGCAAAATATTTATTAATTCGACATTCTCTGAGAAATGCTAAATATTTAGGATCTTTCAACCATTTTTGGTTGAACATACAACGTCTTTTTGACTTTGATGATCATTTTTTTTTCTTTGATATTAGTAACTGGCTTGTCTCGGAAACTGGAAAATTCTTCACTTGCTGTTGCTTCTGAATCATCAAAAAATTTCAACGTCATAATCTTTGTTCAATGCCATGCGAAAATTATCACTAAAACCGAATACATTGAAGAGAAAGTCGAAAACTCGATTCATTTTTGAGACAATATGTATTTATCAAATTTGATTGAAAAAAGTAATGAAAAGATGGGAAAGGAGAAAAGGAAAAAATTCCATAAAATTTATTTCATTATTCATAGTGAAAATAGTATGTAAAACCGATTAATTAAAAACGAAATTAAACGAAATGGGTGCTAATATCTATTGGTCAGTTATTTACCAACACATTTTATTATACATTTCTTTATGAAAATGAAAAGAGTCTAGAGGAAGACAGATTGTTTTCATTAGAAGATTAGGTAGTCGTACCGTAAACTTAGAAGTCTAAATGGGGTACAAAATGGTGAAATGGGGTATTGCACCCCAAAATGGGGTATAGTTGGCAGCCCTAGCGACGAGTGTCATTTTTAGTGATTTGATTCAATGCATTTTCGTGCTTATTATATCAACAGATCTGATACTATGGAGATTCTGAACAACTTTCATATTGAAAATTTAATTATATGTCATTATACTCTATAGTAACGTGATGCTTGAGCCTTCACTTAAGCTTAAATTTTGGTACACCTGAATAGTCTGTATCTACGATAAACATTTCAGATAGTTTGGATTTATTATTGATTAGATATATGTATCACAATGTAAAATATGAAATTCTGTGACCCTTAATTATGCCTTGGAAAACTGAATAATCGAGAAGGTCGAACTAAATTCACACAGATCTCAATGACACTATTGATATACGTATATTGTAAGTAATTATAATTCTTTTTCTTTTGGATGATTTCAATTAAAAATATGTAAATAGGTTCAGTATGAAACGATACTACAATTTATAAGGCCATTAAAAAACTCATCAATACTTTGATAATTAATTATGATGTACCACGGAGTTCGATTAAACTCATTGAGTTAAGTGTTTTTTTTTTGCATAAGTAAACGGAAGTTTCAAAGTCAAATCTTGAAAGGATTTCATTATGTCATGATTGACTTCAGCTATTTAATTTATTCAATTTTTATGATGGAAATCACTAAAAAGTCTTTCCCAAATGAGTAATAGAACAAGTTGTTTCAGTTCGTAGTACAAAAGTCCTATTTTTCATCTGTCTTCACGAACGAGAGTGCGATTTTCCACTGCTCAATAATGCTTGCATTAGAATTGCTTATATTATAAGGACTCGATTAATATGAAAAATTTTTTAAAAGCAAATACCTCTAGATCTCTGTCTAGAGTTAAAGATATTCTCATGGAGTTACAGCTTTTAGCATTTTACATATCACAAAGTTGAACTAATTCTGAACATGTACCAAAATAATGAAATGCTTCAGTAGAGCTACTCTTAGCTTTCATTCGACGCTTCATCATTAAATGTCATTCCTCTCATTACCTTCAGCTACTTGATTAGTCTCCATCTAATCATATACTTTAATACCAATATATATATATATATATAGCAGGATTTCATAGTAAAATTTGAAGAAACGAAAACTAATTCTGGAAGCTAAGAATTCTGAAAGCATACATATTTCCCAACGCATATATAGGTCACAGTAGCTATTTCTCAACTAACTAAATATTTTACGGAAGAATTTCTATTGTTTGTAAGACATTCCTTATTCGGTCGATCATTTATTATGGAAAAGGTTTTTGACATAGCGTTGCTTACCACAGGAGCAAAGATTTAATTGATCGTCGCTCAAAATTAGGCGAAGAAGTTTACACGAAAATGGTTATTGCTCGTTGTATTTTAAGATATTTTTTCATTTCTGAGTGTTTCTCATATTTCTTTTGGTTTCATATTTTAACAATTCTGAGACGTGCCTATCTATGTTCCATAACGTATATATATATATATAATTACATTTATCTATTGTAATAATTTGAAAATACCGAAAAATTACAATAAATAGTTCGGGGGTTGTATTGTACTACATTGACGTCAATATTTACCTATTATCTTTTGCAGTTTATTATTTTGTATTGCTCTAAATTTCAATAGTTTGATTTTTTTTAATAGAAACTTTTAAAAAAGCCACTTTTTTATTCTACGAATAATAAATCTATTGTAATATGATTCTTTCTTGAGTACACTTTCAGATTCTACAGTTCCTTTAAATCTCTAATAAATTTCAAGAATAACTTTTAGATTTGGAACTAGCAAACATCATATGAAGATTTTTCATGATTTAATGATTTACACCATATTAATAAAAGATTTATCGATAATTATTAAGTATGTGGTCAACTGATGAGTATTAATATTCAACGTAAATTCATTACATTCGAAGGTCTTTTTGGCATCACCAATGTACTTTCTATTGTTCAATATAACTCTTTGTATGAAGATATAAATGAAACTGGTATGTTTCAAATAGGTTCACATCATAATGAAGATGTTCAAATAGTGAAAAGTTTAAAATAACTTTAAACAAAAGATAAAGTGAAATAGATGATTATATTTTAGAATAAATCATATATATTTTTTAAAAAGAGATCCCTATATAACAAGTTATTCAATAAATAGAAATGAAAGTATAATTTCTAGTCTTCGACTGTTATTGAACAGGAAACCTTATATTGAATTCTTGTGAAAACAACGATTCTTTTCGAAGAGATTTGTCTTGTACACAGAACAAGGTCATACATATTTTTCTCGTTTTCACAGTTTTAATCAATGCAATCTACTGGTTTCGAATCGTATCTAAATCTATGGAGCTATCCTTTCTTTTGTATCTGAAAAAAAGACAATAATATGTTTTCAAGCAGCGAATAATACTATTCTATCTGTAAAAGACAATAATAATCAATATATTTGGAATAAAAGAATAGTTGAGTTAGGTTTAGTCGTTTGAATTTGGTCTTGCTCGATAAGAACGTCCTCGATATTGTTGTTGATTTGTTTGATCTTTGAGAATCGTTTGAATTATTCTTGTTTTTCTCAATATTTCTAATGGTGTTTCCGTTTTCTCTGCTTCTTGTTGAGCTCTCGTCGAGGATTTCCTTGACGAAACTTTTAATTGCTTTTGTAAACATTCTAATTGATCAAGAATAATTTCCATTCGTCGATTTATGATTTCTAATTCTCTGGCATTTTTTCGTGACGTATTTAATCGTTTATGTTCACGAGCAAGTGTAGCGAATTCTTGACGAAGATGTTTCATACGTGAATGGCAATGTTTATCAGAAATAGTTGCAGTTTGTGATCGACGAGAAGCTGAACATGATCTTTTAGTTGACGCTGTTATTGGACGACGCATCGAACGAACCGGGGATGCTGATAATGGACGTCTTGGTAATGATTTATTAACATGATCAGGATAAAACGATGATGGTGAAGATAAATCACTTTTTTGATTTGAATTAAGCAGTTCTGAATATTCTTTAGATGATAAACATAATTGATGATTATGGTTTTTTAAAAGAGCAATAACCTAAATATTAAAACTGCAAGTAAATTTTCCTGTTCTTAATGTGCACTAAATTTTATCTTACATTCTGTACATTTGATTTAACATTATGACTTGGTGCTGTTGATCCACCAAGAATAAATGGTACTGTATTTATATTTAAATGAAAATGTCGTCCTTCAGAATTTGCTGTTGTTCCTGTTTCGAAGCTATTACTATCTGGAGATGATCGTTTGATTTTACATTTCGATCGTTTTTTTCGAGGTCGACATTCATTCATCATATCAAGAATGCCATTATGTTGATCATGTAGACGATGAAAATTTTGTTCAGCTTCTTTAAGTTGTTTATCTAACGTTCGTAATGAATCACCACGAGAAGTTGAAGACCATTGAATATTATCTGCTATTTCACGCAAATTTGACTCAGCTCTCTACATAGAAACGAACAAAAAGAAAAAGGTCTTTATCAGGTGAAATTCAAAACCATTTTTCTGGTATCTTATGTAAGTTTTAAACATTTCACTTTTATTAACATGAATTTGAATGGGTTTGAAAGGTGAGTAATAGAATTCTACTTATGTGATTCAACACTTTCAGGTTTCTCGTTCATATATATATATATATATGGATATGTTTCGATAATCTTTGGTTATTATAATGTTTCAGAAAAAGGTTTTTTGTCTTCTTACTAACCTCTCGTTCATTTTCAAGCGTTTTTATCCTCAATGACAAAGATTGTAGTCCTGATAATAATTGATCACGATTAGATTCAGGTAAAGTAACGGTTTTTGACAATGTGTGCGATGGTCTTAATGGTTGATAAACTGAATTGATAAATGGTTTATGTGGTGGATATTCATAAAATGATAGTAGAGAATTATAACCAGCCGTATTTGTAGGTGATATGTCCTCTGATTCCCACATCATTTTTGACGATGCCAATAATGAGAAGAAAAAAAAGAAGAAGAGCACGATTTTTCCTTCGTTCTTTTTACCACATATACGATTTTTAATGTAATGACACACAACACCGCCACCACATTTCTTTATTTCTTTTCTTCTGCTCTCTCTTTTTCCGTGCAACAAGAGAAGGAATGAGTTACCTGGACGACAATCATCCGCCGTCCTCTATTCTCTCCCATCAGTCATCACATCATTACAATTAGATGTGTAGTAGTAAGAAAAAGCGTGTTGAACAACTGCTGCTGCTGCTTCTGCTGCTGGCGGTCGATGATGTTTTATTCTTTCTCTTTTTTTCTCAAGTATTCGCTGATAAACAAAATGTCATAGTTGAATTCTAAAGTACACGTGTAAAGACATTCACTTAACTCTTATGCCAACAGATGAAATATAAAAAGTCAAATAAAACAATATTATGAAAAGAAATCCTTTATATAATTAATTGTTAAATAGAATAGAAATATATACATTTCTCGAATGTTTACAAAAGCATAATTACATTCCCGGCATCAATGAATTAGCCAAAAAAAAAGGGAAAAGAAACCGCTCAATATACGTTGATTTTCGGCTGTCTCGTTTAAAGATTATTTTTAATGCAGACTAAAGAACCTTGAAAATTTGTTGTGTCCATGATTTCCAGATAATGTTTCCTTTTTTTATTGAATTAGTTGACTGTGAGTGAAGAAAATGTGTTACAGTCACGTACCAAACTTTAGCGACATCTCATCTAATTAAATAAAATCAAACAAAAAATAGTATTGAAAAATATCTAGAAAATATTTTGTTATTAACGATCAAAATTATTAATGTTCGGCATCAGATTTTTTTTCAAATATATTCGTTGTTAATGACCTCTTAGATATAGATCATCAGTATGGCATTAATAACTTCTTGATATATTTACCTTAAATTATACTTCGATTGATTAAAACAAATGTCATCTCAAATAAAGAAGATTTGTAATTCGATAAATCGCGAGCAACTGCAAAGTATTCGTGACTTAACATCAGGACATTTGAATGAAAATCATTTACATCGTCATCATCCAACAACAAATGAAGAATCAAAACCATGCTGGCCATCTTCCAAAAAACCTCATCCAACTCTGCGACCAGCTCATCACTTTAAAACCGACTCATCAAATGTTGAAGAAATGAAAAATACGTTAGTCGACTTTACTTATTTGACTTTACCTGAAATTCCAATAAAAAAATCGCCAAAATCAAAAAAAGTGAGTTTTATTATCTTCCTATTAACATGTACAACTGAAGCAATTGATTAAAACCTTTAATCAAAAAAATATAGTCCGATGAGCAACTATCCTCATCCATAACTAGTGAACAATTACCACCGATCATGAACGAACGTATTCAAGTTCCAGCATTTTCAATAGATCTGTCTGAAGAACAACGAGTACGTAAAATGAAAACATTCAATGATATGGTTTTGCAAAAGAATGATGTCAATTTACATGGCTTGGGATATAGTGAAGATTTTGTTGCTTTTGTTGAACAAAATCTTATATTAGTAAATTTGTTTTACTATAAATATGAGCTATGTTTTTTTTTATTAATTTTTAAAATAGAAATTAACCACTATTGAAAGTCAAAATAAAGGTCAAATAATTAGTTTAAGTCGTCTACAAGCTTATGGTGAAGCTATGAGTCAATTGATTGAAGGATCAGTTGCCTTTGGTCCTATTCTTGAACGTATCAAAGTAATAGCTCTCTATCGTCTTTTTTGTTGTGTTTAACTTTTAAATTAATAAAAAAATAATTGACTAAGGATGAATATGAATTATATCTTGATCATTTATTGACTACTCAACCTGAATATGGCACTCAAGTTGCTGAACAATTAAAACGATTACGTCGAAATCAACCGAATTTCTCAACAGCTGATTCAGAACTATTCGATATTGAAAAAATCGAAGAACAAACAAGACAAGCATTAAAACGAAATCGAACATTGAATGAAGAACTTAAACGTATAAAACAAGAACAAATTAATATGAACGCTGCTGAATTAGGTTTGAAGTAGATTTGATTTTCGAAAATATATTATACAATCGATAAACGTTTTAGTTCAAGTTGTAGAAATTGCTGTTACGCCAACAGAAGTAAAAATTAAAACACAAGCAGAACAAATTGATGATTTGAGACAAAACATATTCGATTTATTCGATCGCATAGCAAGAAAAAAACGAGAATTAACTGACAATTTTGTTCCAATATCTGTGTGTACACAAATTCAACAAGCTATGCGAGATGCAGAAGTAAAATACTTTTTTTTATAACAATTAGTTTTCGTATATAAGTTCGTATTCTTTTTCTTTTAGATGGATGTAATAAAAACAAATAAACAAAATCAAGCATTATTAGATGAACTCGATACTTTAGAAGAAAGAATAAGACAGGAAATTCTTACATACGATCAAAGTGAATTCGCTCAGGAAAATGTTGAGTAAGTAGTTTTTAAATTTTTTAACTTGAACATTGCATTCTACGAAATTGTGTTTTCTTTTCAACAGTCAAATTATTCAACTGCTTAAGAAAGCCGATGTATTGCATATGAAAAAATCGATTTTTAATGAAGATGATATTGAAGATCAACACTTTCTGCATACGTATGATGATTATTTTTCATAAAATCTACGAATAATTAAATGTACAGATCTTAATATTTTCTATTCATACACAGATGTTTTTCTTTTCTCATATATATTTTTCTTTTATAATAAAGATGCCAAATTATTGTGTAATCAAGTTGTGTCTAGAAATTCAATTTATTTTCTAAAAGAAAATCTTACCAAAGATTCATTTTGATTTCATGAAAACTGATTGAAAAACTAAATAAGCATTATTTGTTTGTCTATTATTTTAACAAAATTTGTGTTTATCGAATATTGTCAGATGGTGTAGCTCATCACCAAAATTTATATTTTTGAAGCGATAGATTTCTAAGATCATTCCATATGTTCACTCCTTCTAAACATTCATAATATCCATACATATAAACATATATAATATACTACACCTATTCAATTCATACGTGAGGATTATGAATTAAGATCTAACTGTTTCATAGTCACTGACTTCTTTAGTTAATTACCAAAGTAAGAATTAACTCGATTTAACTACCCATTTAAGTTTGATGCCTAACACGATCCATCACATCGACTACTTAGTAGAATAAATTACAAAAGCTATAAAATGAAAAGGCTTCTCATAGTATAATTACCATTTGCAAGTATCAATCGTGATCGACATCAACGGATATTGACAAAAGTCTTATCGCCGATATTTAAGGTTACTGACAGTCACATGACAGGAACAATAGCTTTTGTCAAAACATATTTCACTGAATTACTTAGATCTTCTTTTCGACGATTTGAGTTTCAGCGAAGAACATGCTGATCAGTAACAAATAAATGTTTCTATTATTTAAAATCGTCTATTGTTCCTTGCGGAGTTTACTGATGAAACTATCTGGAGTGAGTTAACCATGTTACTGTTCGTTTTTTTGTGCTGGTCGTTTTATTTTCTGTCTTTTGGAGTCAATTTTTAGTTAAAGCTGTTGGTCACGCAATAGGAATCAAAAACTAACCCAATCTGCTCTAGCACTATTTGCAAGTTCATATGATTATAAGCAATCCATAATATATTATTTATCGTGATACTATATTTATTGGAATTTGTTTAATACATAGTACGATGAGTGCAAGAAAAGATTTTTAGAAATTATGAGACTTTTGTAAAACCAAAATAGGGATCATCTTTCAAGAAAATATATTTATGTAAGCTTTGATAAAATTGTTATCCGCTATTTATTTGAGCAATATTAGAACTTTTTGAGTTGAGATTATTCATCTGATCGGTCATATGATAAATAAACGTAAAAATTCCAGTGAATAATTTATACAATGAAATGCATCTTTTGAAGCTTCTGAATGAATAAGTTTACATCATATTTCAATAAATGATAGCAATTCATTCTCCCATTCATTCGCTTTTGAATATAGAAATATCTTTTTTTCTATTATAACTATTGATAGAATAAAAATTGCTATTTACTTGAATAAAACAAAAATATAATTCATAAAGTGAAATCATAATTAACATGCACTTGTTCCTGTAATTGATCTATATGAATGTAGCACAGGTCGTTTCATAAAAAGATATAACTAACGCTAAATATTCCTGTGGATTAAAGTCAAACAGGAAGTTTCTTTTTTTTGCGTTTTATCAACTGCAAATATAAAAGTTTCATTTATTTAAAAAAGACAACGAGCTAAAAGACAATCAAGTATATACTCTAGAGTTCTTAATTAGAAAAATATGATTACAGCTGTGTCCGCTTCGATAAGAGTAGTTTTGTTGATAAAATAAGATAGATTATATAACAGCTAAAAAAAATAGTATGATCATAGTCGGCATTCTCTTCTTGTTTGAAATTAATCAGATACTAAAAATTGAATCTGAACCTCTGACTAATGATTAGATATCATGCATTGCCGATGTTGAAAACACAAAAGTCATACAAAAATTTTAGTTTTTCTTACCTTTAGAAATATCAAAATATAAGAATCATTTTTATTTTCATCATTAATGTCGCTATTATTTAATGTTAAAACCATACCTATACTAAATAAAATTCCCACTATGTAAGCAATACACGAATGTAAGAATTTGTTCAAATTTTCATTGATAAAACTCGTTTATTAGTATTAAAACTAATTTTTGATAATGATCTATGATGAATCAAATAAACAGGTAGCGATAGTGAGAAAAAAAAACGATGTTATATCTTTTGATGAAAATATGAATACTCGATGATAATGAATAGATATAGAAATCATTTGACTAGTTAGAGCAATGAATAAGTCACATTACAAGAAGAATTATTTTTATCACTATCAAATGTATAGACAGAGTTGTAGTTGAATAAGCATCTCTGAAAACAGTAGGATGTAGAGTGGTTGTACAAGATTTTCAACGTAGAAAATAATAGAGATGTTTCTTAGTTGAAATTCAAAATATAGTGAACGTTTCATACGGAAATTTCAAAGGTGCAAGAGGAGAGGGGCAGTGTATTATTCTAGTTGCCTCATTTGCCTATATACGCCCTTGCACATAAGAACGTATGTATTTGTCGTAGGATTTTTTCATTTGATTGAGAAAATTCTCTAATATTGATTTAAAAGAGCAATCAAATGAAAATAAGATGAATTGTATAGATATTGTTTTTTTGTTCCAGGTTTTGTTTTTTCTTTGATGAAAGATAAAATATGAATAAAAAAAAAAAGAAAATAGAATAACTAACAGTATTCTCTTTCTAGCAGATTTGATCAATTTTCTTTTCAAATATTACTCGAGACAATTACTGAAAATATTTTAAAGACGCAAAAAAATCTAATTCTTGGCAATAATGTCATACAACAAAGCACATGTTATTTTTTGTTTCTCTCTCAAATAGACGCTCGATATCCATTGATTTATATCCGTACTGACGATCGATAGATAGAACAAGAAATATATATGTAAGATAATCTGTCTTTTTCTTGTTGTTCGTATTTGTAATACAGCTATGTCCGGCATGGATATTTTCATCGTTCTGTTTCTTTTCTTCTCTGATGAATTGAATAAAAATACAATTTATAATTTTCGTAATAGAAAGAGAAAAGAGTCGATTAGAGACGGAGTAGTTCATTTTGCATTCCTCCAGTTTAAATTTGAAAAAGCGATATATGAAGAAACAAGATACAAATAATCCATCTAGTAATTTTGCTTTGTCTCATTCATTTTCACGACGACAAATGGTAATCATTTGACGAAAAAATAGTATTTGACTAAAATAAGAACTTTCTCTTATCGTTTGTCTTCTTCTAATAGACAATGATGAAGTCATATCTTGATTCATCAGTATCTGCTGAAGTACCGCAATCACCATCAACCATAATAAATCCTGCACGTTGTCTTCATTGTGGAAAATATTATTGTCAAATTGATTTTATATTTTCATGGCTTTCACGTTATGGTAATTCAAATGATCAACAATGTGTTGTCCATCAGCACATACAAGACATTATTTCCAAGTAAATTTTATGTTTTTCTTTTTAATAATTTTTATATTTATTTTTTAATAATCAACAAAACAAAATTTAGACGTTTGCCTTCATCCGATCCACAGAATGTTTGTGAACAACGTTTACTTGATTGGTATAATTCAATGAAAATAAATTTACAAAACGAATCAATTCGTTTTTCTACACCAACTGTTACAAGCAGTGTGAATAGTTTAAAAAAATTATTTTAACAAATTTTAAATTCCTATATTTTATTCTTAGTCGATTTCTGGATCATTTCTTTCAAGCTCATTAATAATATCTCATCAAGATAATAATTCAGATAATTCAATTGACTATAACCAATATTTATCATCTCAATCAAATGGTTTTCCTCCGGATGAACCATTATTCTCATCAAATGTTTGTAATCGTTTATCATCATCAACACCGACACAAACATTTCAAACACAAAATCGTGCTGGTTTATATCAATTATGTTCTAATGGACGTTATATTATAGCTGATGATTGGTGCCAAACATATAAAGGTCATCGCTTAGCACAATTTATGCGTTGTCTAACAATTTATAATCAATACGAAGAACAATGTGTATTAATGTTACCAGAATTTAATACAATGACACAAATGGATTCTGTTCAAAGTATGACATGGCATGAACAATTACAAGTATTTCTTTTTATTACGTAAGAATTAAAAAACAAGAATAAAAAGAAACATGATAATATTAACATGTTTTTACAGTTTTCATCGTATATATCAATGTGAACCAGAAAGTGGCACAATAAATCAAATAAATGAATATGAAGTTCCATCATCAAGACATAGTTTAGCTCATATTGCTTGTGATCAACAATCCTATGTATTTCTTGCATATGAATATCCTGCGGCAAGTCTTGATCTGTGGCATATATCAACCATGGCTACATGGTCACTTTTAAAGCGATGGACACCAAGAGAATTATTTCCACCCGTACAATATAACGACGAAGATGAAGAAGATCATCGTGAACACGTTTGTTTGTTTTTATTTGTTTTCAACATTATCTATTTATTCATGTTCGAATAGTATGATCAAGAATCTGGTGTTTGTGGCATTGCATCAATGCGTTATACAAATGGTACACTACATTTTTTAGCTCGACATGAACGTCATTGGTGTCTTCATTTCTTTACATTAAATATAAATGAAAAATATCAAAAACTTATTCCACAAAGACGTATTGACATTGATTTAGCACATTTACGTTTTGCTGGTGAAAATTTTCAAATGGAAGTTCTACCTGGTGAACAAGGTTGGCTATTTGCTATTCGAAGATCATATCTTGTTCATTTGAGTTATAATGGAAAAGATGGTATGAAATTTATTCAGACTAGAAAAACAATTAATTCATCTTGTTTTATTTTTGTATTTAGCACAAAAACTATTATTACCAACATCAAAACGTGGTGCAGATTCAATTTATAATGTTTGTATAATGGACGAGCGAGGTAAAAGACGAGAAAATGGAAAACATTTAGTGGTACGAGATGCTAATTCAATTCGATTCTATAAACTTTAGAGTATACCATATATTTCCTATGTTTTTTTTTCTTTTGTCTTGATGTATAAAATAGTCTATTTGTCTGTTACTGTTCTTTTTTTTTGAATGCGTGCTATGTTTATGTGGTTAAGTGAATCCTAGAAAACTTATTGGTTTTTTACTTTAAGCACTTGAGACATTTTCCTTTGGCTACTGGTTTTCTTGGATGCTATTTCATGTTACTATTATTTTCATTCTATTATATGTGTTCACAATAAAATTGAAACATAAAAGAAACATTAGATAATATTCTTTTATTAGACTTGAATATTAGACTTATTTTTGTTTTGAGATAATTTCATATTGAATATGTTTGATGATGAATACTGTTAGCTGTGTCAAACCTATTATTGCTGAATGATCATTTGAGAGTTTTTATCGATTGATAGTAAAAAGCCTAAACGATGCATAGAATTTCAATATATCGCCGGTATAATTTTTAGTAATCATCATGAACTATTGATTAAGAGAAATAAAGATTTCGTTGCACTGTTCCAACTTTAGAATGTCCAATTTACAAAAATCAAGAATGTAAAAGAAAAAAAAAACAAACAAAAATGGTTGCAACGTTAAATATAAAATTTTCCCCACATTCACCATGCAGAAATTGTTGAAACCTTATGATTTATGTAGCATGCTAGAGAATAAAAAACTATTTTTATTAGATTGTTTTATCAGTGGGCTCATCATGGATCATACTAAAGAATGAAGATTAAATAATAAATAGCTCAATATATCTGAAGACAACTTGAAATAGTCACACTATTTTCATGTTTTAATATTTTAGTCAAAGAAACATTGCCATTAAATTGGGTTATTGATCTGAATTGTTGAATAATCTGTGTATTGAATGATAGACTTGCTTTCTTTATGAAATTTAAATACATTTATCATTGATAAAAATTTCCTACATTATTTTAAGATTTCTACGAAAAAGTCTGACAATCAAGATTAATCATCAGATTTAGGTACTTAAAAAAATATTAAAGGAGAAAAGAAAACCTACTGCGATATCAATCAATACGTTTTATCAAAAATTTGTAGGTTTAAATAGAAATTTTTTATTTATATAATTACATGCGGATTCTTAAATGCAATAGATGGGTGACCACTTCAGGAGAGAATAGAAAAGTTTTGCACATAAAAAAATAAATAAAAGCAAATGTTGTCAGTATAGTTCGGCAATAAGAGAAGACTAATATCATCATCTACGCAAAAATACATTCATTGATCTTTCACAAGTTATTTAGTTTATCTTGAACTTTTTGTGTAGTTAGCTTTTGGTGCTAAAATGTTCTTGCTTGAATTCATCTATTTATTTCTCATAGGTAAGTAAAGATGGAATGAAGTTTTGATGCAATTTAATATCGTTATTTGTTCGACATTTTATTCATTTATTTATTTATTTATTTACATGTGAATCAAGTTCATTTCATAGATATTGATTTATATAGTACAATAAACTGCCTTTTTTTCATATAATAATAAACAGAAAAGAATTGTAATATACTCGTATATTATTTCGATAGATTGGAATTAGAATAAAATATACTTGTTATTTGATGTCAGTTAATTAATTATAAGCACTTTATAACCTTTTACTTAAATATTCAAGGCTCCAAGATAAATATATGATCGATTATTATACATGTATTGATATACTTAAAAATAATGTATGACACTGTCTAGTATAGATCCATTATAGGAACAGATGTCTTCATATTTTTCTTTTTTATTCTATTTTACTAATACATCAATTGCTTTAGTTTTAATTGTAATTTAGAGTTGTAAAACATTGTAATAATGACAACATTTTATGGCAAATAACTACATCAATGCCATAAATTGACTTTTTGTGTAAAACCTTGTTCTATTTTAATTTTATAAATGTATATGTAGGTTTTATTGGATTTATTTTCATGGGTGTTGTCGTCAAATAAGTTGTAGAGATTTCCATTGATTTCTAATGAATGCATAGCTTTATTTGAAACCATCAATAATTCTGATATAGTCTCTGCAATAATCTAACGAAAATAAGAATAGGTCTATTAATACAATCAATCGATAATAAGAGAACACATTAAGTATCAGTTAAATAGATAGTTGCTCGAGCTCGTTAAAAAATAGTCAAAAATTGATACGTTCTGACAATAAAATTCTGAAAGATGAGGAAGATAATCGATTCAAAGAGTACCAAGTCATCTATTTCACGACAAGTCAATAGTTTGTGTATGGTTGAACACTTTTAGTCTTGTAGATTATTATTATTAAGTACATGAATTTTGTATAAAATATAGAATAAAAAAGATTTACTAATTTCTATTGTAATTTAAATGTCAATCTATTGCCAACGATTTTTATTCTGGTTGTGATGAAAACGGTCGAGCATCAACTCTTATGCATTTGAACGACTAGTTTTTGTTTCGAGAATGTAAAGTAATTAGTCTTTAGACAATCAATAAAACTAAATTTATTTTTAAATGAAGCAATCCGCCTGGAAGCGTTTGTACTTGGTATATTTATCATACATAAAGATGAGAAGGATAAATTATGTTTCAGCAGGAGCAATGACTTCTATATTATGTTTGATTAACATTAATATCAATGTTAATGATAATAGAAATAATCAAAATGAGATCATATTTTCCCAAATTTTTAATTCTATGATAGATAGAGAATAGTTAACTATTATTCATATCATATGTAAACCTTTTCAAATCTCAAAATCAAAATCAAAATGAATACTAATAGGATTATTACAGATTACGTATGCAATTCAGGTATAAAATTTCTCAAATGAACTCTTTCTTAGGAAACTATACATACGTATATATATTCTCTACGAGAAAAAATGAATAGCTAATGTTAATAATGATATTTTTCATTTTTTGTGCTCGAAAGCATGTTTAGAAAACATAAATTACTGCGTTATTCCTTATCAAAAAGAAACTGACACTTCGCAGAATGCATGAAATCATCGTGATCACATGCGTCAAAATTATTCAACTAAGATATACGATTCGGAGAGAATCAAAAACATCAATTATTATCATTTCTTCTCTAGAGAAATGCTTTTGTATTTATTTCCTGACAAATTCCTAAATAAGTATTTGTGTTTGATCAATCGGAAGCAAGTAGGTTCTTGTTCTCTGTAGAGAAATAGGTCGCTTAAAACTGTATCACTCTCTATTATTTTCTTCTTTCCCTGTATCTTGTAGCATCTATGATATTATTATATGAAAGGTTCTGACTCAAACGTTTCCGTATTAACAAAAATAAACAAATAATTAATTTTAGAATAGATTTATTTTCAGCTTGAATACCCCCAAAAAAAGACTACTATTTATAAATTTGTAGCATGAGCGGAGATTGGTTTTCGTTGAAAATAGGCGTTCCTTTAGATATTAGCACAGAGCAATACATTGGGAATCCAACGGTTTATCACAAAAATACATCTGACTGAATCTTCTTATATTTCGTGGAAATTATTCTATTTTGTAAACATTAATTGTTATTATTAACACTGAACAATTGATGTCTTGCTACCATTTGTTGTTGTTAGTCTAGATACCATTTAGAGCCAATGTCCCTAAAGCGAACGGACGATATAGGGGTGTTCATTCTGAATCTTAAATCAGATCCATTTTTCCTTTCAAAAATGACTATTTTTATTCCATCGGAAAGAGCACAAAATTCTGCATCGGCTCATATAAAAATATAGTTCGTAGCTTAAAAAATTCACTAGTTTAGGCCGTCTTTTCAAGTGTCTGTGGTTTCCTAAACAAAAAGAAACATCATATCTGGGATCCCCGCTTCGGATCGTCTATCAATCAAAACTATTTTAACTAAATTAAAAATGTTGACATTTAAAAATCCCTGCGGAGGAGGACCACAGCGAAACGTTTTCATCGAACTGAACAAGAAGATAGTGAACTATGATCAAAATTTTATGCTGATTCTAACCATACAATGTTTTCCCCAAAAGTATTGAAAAATCAAAAATGCTCTCAATATTAAAACCGTTTTTCTTAAAGCATAAAAAAAACACAGAAAATATGTTTTTTGTGACGGTGCTTCTCATCTGTTCTAGTTGAACTGCTAGTATGTTGTAGAGAAAACAATTCTGAAGATCTTTGTCAGCAGAAATTTTATTGAATTTTGACTTTGATCTATGGTACATGAACAAAATACTGAAACAGGGTGAATCGCCAGTTAAAATAGCTGGACCGTTCGCTTTATGTGCACTACACATAAAGCGAACGGAAACTATTTTTAATTTCATTTATAAAAAGTTGAAATCACTTTCAATGAAGCTGAACTGCTAGAATACGATAGAGCGGAATGAGACGAATCGAATCGTATCATTTTCAAGAAAATGCATTGAAGTTTTCGAACCGGACCGAGGAAATAGTTTACGTTTTTATATTTTGCTTGTGTTTCACTGGGCCGTTTGCTTTAATGACATTTTCTTGCTGTCCGTTCGCTTTAGGGACATTGACTCTACATTATACACCAAGTAGGAAAATATAAAGCTGAACAATGTCAACAAGATAGTTCTTACTCACTTTGATGATTCGTGCATTAGTTTTATTGTTCTCTGTTTGACATTGGCTTTGTTTGACTGAGCCATTTTCTAATGTGTCAATCTTTTAGATATTTTTATTTACTCATTTTATATAAATGCAAAAAACGATCAAACCATTTCCTCTAAATTATAAGTCTTTTTTAATAAAAGTATTTATAACCAGCGCACCCGAAAACTATTTTATAGATAAATTCTATTGAAGAATATTTTGTCCTCAAGCTATTTAACTGATTATGATCAAACTCTGTGTTAGTGAGAACATGTATGTAATAGATAGAGAAAGATAGAAAGAAAGCCTTCCACGTAATTTCATTTTCATCTATTTTATCTGGCATCTTCATCACTTTTATGATCATCGACATGCATCCACTTGTTATCATTGACTAGGATTTCGATTAACATCTAGTCAGACAAGAATTAAAAAGAATTGTGATCGTTTCGAGGCGACATCGGCCAATCTAATAAAACATGTCTGTTGCAAGTTTCACTTCATATCAACTTAAGGTTGAGGGTGGGATACACACATGCAAATTAAAATTAAAATAACTAAATACAACACACAATATACCCTCAAGCATTATTTTCCATCGCTCTTTGCTTCTTTATTGCAGATACACATCTTCTCCTATCGATCTCTCTCTGTTTGTGTCTCTGTCTCATATTCTTCTCTCTTCACATTGACGCACGGAAATGTTTGTCAATTCGAAGACATGGTACGACATGTGTTATCCATCGGTTTGATTTTTAGTTCATTAATTCTCGTGATTTTAAATAAAGCCGAGTGTAAATCAGGTGGTGGTCATTATTCATCACAACGTTCACTTGGTTCTGGACCTTCTGCTGGATATGGTTTTTCTGGTAGTGGTCATCAACAAAATTCAATGAATTGGGGTAACCCATGGTTTTCATCAGATCTAAATTCTTGGTATGATTATGGTACGTACATAACTCTTTATTTGAACGAGAATATAACAGATCTACAAATAATATTTAAAATAAGTTTCACAAAGAGCAACGAGTTTTCTATAAACGATAAAAATAAGTTTTTCTCTATCATTAAAAAGAAACTAATCAGAATAATCAAACGATAGAGAAAAGACAATTTTCTTTGCTAAAAAATATGTAATTTGATTAATCGGTCTTTTGTTGATTATTAAATAAATGTTATATTCAATGAAATATTCTATTGTTCAACCATTTATCTAATGATATAATTTTTCATCTTTTACTTTTACTCACAAGATTGATCAAACATGAGTTTCTATTATTAATTTCGGCTATTCTTTTTTATGCTCTCTGTAAACAACTAAAAATAAGAAGGTTATGTTTTGTCTTGTCATGTTTTGCTCTTTTTCTCTATGTTTAGTTTCTTTTAGTTCTCTTAGTTTTTTTTCTTCTCTCCTGTCAAGTACGATAGTATCGGGTTCTTTTCACATGGATACTGTCAATAGTATATATATTATATGAATGACTAGCGAATATTAAAATATTCTTTTTAATAGACAATATGGTGATTCCACTTATCTTATTTCTTCTATTAATAAATTCATCTGAGTTTTTTTGTCAATTAATATTTACCAGTCTAACAATGCCCAATAAAGATAGTCATAGTTCTTCATCTTCTTCTTCGAGTCAACAACATTCTCAGTCTATGCCAAATTATTATTATCATCCGTATTATCACTTAGCTTTAAACGATTCTGATTCGATACCTGATGAACAACGTTTGATGGCGCAATTATTAAGAAATTATGATCCATCTGCACGACCTGTATACAATGCATCAAATACTGTCAGTGTTGCATTTGGCATTGCTCTAACTCAATTAAGTGATATGGTATGTAATCATATTGATAATGATTGATAGATTCATGATTTGGAACTCGACGAATCTTTTCATACATTATGTAAATCTTGCAGAAGAAAAAGTGCACTGATGTGCAACAATAATATCTTAACATACATATCTAATAGAATGCATTATTCCCATTTTATTTTTTCTTCGATCAGCATAGAAGGCCAATCCAAAAATTAGTCATTTTTAAATAGTTCTCTTTGCTTGATGCATCATGTACAGAGAAATGTGCATTCATGCAAAAAGTAATCCGAAATAGCTTCTTGAATATTTCATTTTTTTAATGCTTATTTTCTAAATATATACATGTCAATCTAAAAACAAATGGCAAGTAAACAAGACTTGCATTATATTATCGTTCTAATAAGATAAAATACTATGTTTAGATAGTAAAAATTAAGATTTCAAAAGTTAATATGGTTGTTTTTATTCAAAAAGAAAAAGAATTACTCTAACAAAAGAAACATTCAATTCCGCTTTCACGATAAAATTCTTCATTGAAAGTTATATATATATATATATATTTATACACGTATATGCAATTGTATGTTAGTATAAAATAGCCAATATATTAGTTTGAATGACAAGGAAAAAAACCAATGCATTCATTTTTTATATTGATGTGTGAAATCAACTTTTCAAATAAAATGCTTGGGTAATTTTTCAATTATGTATAGTAACAAATAATTGTCAATTTAGGATGAAAAGAATCAAGTGTTAACCACAAATATATGGCTTGAACAGGTTAGTTAAACTTAAATTATATTAAAAATCAAATAACTCTAAGGAATTTCGTTTTATCTTCTTAAATAAAGGAATGGTTTGATGAACGTTTAGTATGGAATGCATCGGATTTTAATGGCTTAACAACTCTTCGATTACCATGTTCAAAAATTTGGTTACCCGATATTGTATTATATAATTCAGCTGATGATTATACACAAGGTTACTATCAAAGTAAAGCTATGGTAGAAAATAATGGACATGTTTTTTGGCCACCACCAGCTAAATTTCGATCATCGTGCAAAATTGATGTGACTTTTTTTCCATTTGATGGTATTCAACTTTTCTTTTTCTAACACAGTTTAGAATCTTTAGTATTTTTACTTTTAAAGATCAATTATGTAAATTAAAATTCGGTTCATGGATATATGATGCAGCTCAAGTCAATTTAACAAAACGACGTGATAATGTTGATATGACAAATTATATTCGTTCAGGTGAATGGCATATTGTTCATATTGCTGTCAAACGTAACGATGTTACTTATCCATGCTGCCCTGGAATTTATTATCCTGATGTAACAATATATGGTAAAAGCAAATATTTTGATCTTGATTTTGATCTTAATTAAATAAATTTAGTTCATATTCGTCGTCGCGTTTTATATTATTTATTTAATATAATACTGCCTTGTATATGGCTTTCAATTCTTTCACTGCTCGGCTTTTGTCTTCCACCAGATTCCGGAGAGAAGATTACACTTGGTATAACTGTTCTTCTAGCTTTTTCTGTATTTATGTTATTAATTGCTGAATCAATGCCAGCAACAAGTGAAATGGTTCCACTAATTGAAATATATTTAACAATTGTTATGGCACTTACGTCTTTATCAATTATTCTTACAGTTTATGTACTTCAATTGCATCATTCAGGTCCTGTGGTTATTCCAGTTCCACATTCATTTAAATATTCATTAGTTAGACGTATAGCACCTGTAATTGGAATGAAAAAAATTGTTGAAATTTATGCACGTGAACATAATCTAACTGAAAAAGACTATGTTTATCGATGTTTTGCTCAAGCATCAACACAACCAACGAATACTTCAGCAATGAATCATAAAAGTAGAATAATCAATGAGAAAAAGAAAACTAAACATCGACAAGGTAATATATTCTTTAGTTTATTCACGAGTTCAACACTTTTTTCATTGCATAATAATCTCATCAAAATTGAAAAAGCAATAAGAATTATTTACGCAATGTATGATTAGATTTCCTAGGAATCCTTCATTCCCTTATTTACGCTTGAAGCATTCATATTCTGTTAGATATATTCTGTATTCTGGTTGTATACAACATAGATGTCCATCGCGGCAGAACATCTGCCACTGCCGCACCGCCGCGATTTCTGAAACTTAATGCCGCGCCGCGCCTAATAAAAAAAAGTCTACCGCTGCCGCGACGTTATTAATAATATGGCCTAGAGCTCGTTCTGTATTCTCTAATAAAAAAATATTGTTATGCATTATAAAATTGGTATGAATTTTTACGTCAAATCTTGATATGTGACGAAATTGGTGACAACCATGAATCGATTAGAGCTTCAATTGAATAATAAGCATCCAGTGAGTAACCAAAAAACATCCGAAACCATATAATATTAAATTGTATAGAAAGAATTTTATAGTTTAAATATGATATTCATATTCAGTTTGCTTAACTGATACTTCGAATTAGAAAGAGCTAGAAATTATGGAAATTTACAGATAGCATATAGCTATATAGTAGTACAGGAGCGAAATGACATAGAATAATACGATGCATTCCTTATATGCGAATGAGTTCCAAGTAAATTTTTTGTCTGTCATTGATTCAAAATCGGATTCATATTTTCTTAGTAAAAGAAGCTTGAACAAGTTAATTTAAATGTTTATTATCTTTCATAACTTCTAACAATAAATTACCAATAAAAATATTCTACAAAAAAACAACCATTTACGCGTTGAATCAGTTAGTTTTACATTTTTTAGTACTTGTCGATCACTCCTAGTAACGATCATGTTATCCACTGTAACGATTCTTGAGTTTGTTATCCAAAAGAATCTCCCAGATCGACCAATCCAAGAGTAGACACCAATCGGAACCCATCCGATCCGACTCGTACCCAGTAGGATCTTTTCGGATTTTGTCGGACCCTACAGATCTATTGTCGGATTCCGGATTCCGGATTCGAATTTGGATCCTTAGTGTCGGATTCCTATGAATTCCAAAGAAACACTGTTGCCCAGGACAAACAATCAGATACTAAGATTTGATAAGAATCTGAATATGATCTTGTATGATCTTACACGATCATATGAAAATCTGACAAAAAATCGTAGTTTATGAAATCTTGTATCAAGTCGCACAGTCAGATTCTTGAAAGATCTTATTAATGTGTAAGATCTTTCAAGAATCTGACTGTACGACTTGATACAAGATCTCAGAGACTACGATTTTTTGTCAGATTCTTGTAAGATTTTACCCATATTCAAAGATCTTGTAAGTATTTCATAAGATCTTATGTCAGATTTTTCGACCTGGGATGACACCCATGGATGTCATTGGAAATTCAATGGGTTCTGACTAGTGGTTCCGATGTCAATTTCTCGGCCCGGAATCCTATAAGATTCTGTCGGATGGCAGGGTACTATCAAGTTCCTATCGGATTCGATGTGGGATTTCTCGACCTGGACTCTCTCTTCCCTGTCGTCCACTCTTTTTATGGCGATCGTGGAACGAGAGAAGGAGAGAAAATATCTTATACAGAGAAAGGAAAAAGAACAATAATTGAGTATGAACAAGAACGGTCGAGACATAAGATAAACTCGTTAGTGATATATACTCATATAGCGCATAAGATTATATTGAGCATGATGAACGATAGACGCGTGATACGGTAATTAGCACTAGATGAATATGGAAGAGGAAAGAGTAGCATATTAGACAGCAACGAATGATATGATAAGTTAGAACAGTAAACAGAAACAATCATTGCAAACGACAGTGACAATATATAATGATGCATAACATGTTCAACCAGGGTTGTCACATTCACTTGATCAGGTGATAGTCTCTGTCTTCTATTATTTAATATTATCCCACTATAACTAAAAAGTCGCTCGGTTCCTGAAGATGTTGCAGGTATTGAGAATCGTTTTCGTGCAAAATATTTCTAAACAGGACACTTTGAAGAAGCTAATTCACTTGACCAAAATTGAAGTGGATTTTCATTAACTATTCCTGATGGTAAATCAGCTTCTAGATACTCATCAAGTTCATCAGGCTTGAGAGCTTGATAGTTCGTTCGATATGAGAAGACAGTCGATATTGATGAAGCAGATGACGAACGTCTACACCAGGTCGATGATTCCAGTCTTCAGATCTTTCCGGAACAGGTCTGGAAACGGCTTCTTTCCAGTGATTTCCCACTGGTTTCCTTGTCTTTCCCGCCGGATTCAGCAGGAAAAACAATAGGAAGTGGAAGCAGTATTCCATCCGCAAAAAAGCGTTCCCTGAACCCTTAACTTCCTCGCAAATCCAGTCATAAGAAACTCTAAGGAGCATACAATGATCCTAGAGGAACAGCGAGGAGGAAGCCAGGAATGCCAGCGGAAACCTTCACATCCAAAACGGAAAAGCAAAGGATACTGATGGGACAAACCGGAAGCACAACGAAACTCACGATTCTGCATCCTGAAACAAATATGAAAGATCTACGAAGATCACTACAGATCTTTATTGTGACTACCTTAGTTATAGGGTATTTCTGTGATTAGAAGATCCAGATCGATAGAAAATCATATTATAAGATCTTTCCGCGAAGAAACGCTGTAATTCGAGCTTGACTTAAGCCCAAAATCATGATTTTACTAATAAAGATCTTTGAAGGTGATTTGTTCTATTTACCTTAATTGGATGATATTCTGCTGATGGATAGTACGACACTGATTGTAAATGTTGCCCAAGGAAGATCTATAACAAGTCCAAACTCCTATGCCGATGCTTGTTTTCAATTATCATCGATTAATATTAGAAACTGGGTTGGAATGATTTTGAGAAAGTTTTGGTATAAAAAAAGTATGCGAAGTTTTACCTGTGACTTATCTGAACAGGTGTATTGCGCATCTGGGGTTGGAACTTTGAATACTCGCTCATATGGATAGATTGGTGATTTTCAGGGTGTTCATGTGTCGCTAGGTCAGTTTGAAGGGCCTCAGGCAATCTTGAAGACACTTTACTAGTAGCTGCATGGACGAATGAATGAACTTCTAAGTATCGAACACGCATATATATCTATATAGGTGAAGGTCGGCTGCTATGCAGTCTGAAGACTGTTTTAGTATTTCAATACTTTTTTTTGAGTGCTTTCGTTTTTGACATATCTAATTCTGTTGGATTCGGAGAGAATGGTCTTTCTGCTCTTGTGCCTGCCTGTCACCTTCCGTTCGTGGTGTGGGACAGGTGTGCTTGCAGACCTTTAAAATTATAAGATTTGAGTATTTTGCCGGTTTCTAGACTTTCCAGAGATGGACGTGTAATTTATTGCTTTTTATGGTGTCGGTTTTTTGTAGCAGATGTTTTTGAACTCTGGCAATTAAATTAATTTAAACCAGCTCAGTAGTGATTCCGTTTACCTCGTTATCATGCATTGTCGCGTCGGATTATCTGAGCTAAATAATATCTTCCAATTTGAAGACACAATTCAATAGTCTATCGTGGTCTCTATTCAACTATTGCTCGTAGCAGTGGGTTGTGGGCTGTGCAATCTCTTACGCGATATTTTGTATCTAATCGGCTGTTCTCACACTGCTGTTAAATTCGTACTTCTTAAAACTGTTTTAAGAATGACTATCATTACCCACTTTAGCCCAATGTTCTGAAGAGAGTCAAAATCTTTATCAACGCTTGTATGAAATTGTAACTTTTTCTTAATATTTCATACATTTGAACATTGAATGTACAATTGTATTCTAGAGATTCTTTTGAGAGAGCGATCCAATTTGTCGATTGTAAGGTATTAAAGTCATGTAGTTATAAGGAATACGTCTCAAATAGATCCTATCGTTTCCGGTTGCGAGATTAAATCGTCTGAAAGAAAATAAAAACGGTCGGATCTGGGAGTTCCAACCGAATCGGAAACGGAAGGAACATAGTTAGAATTCTGCTCCCGTGAAAAGCGTCGGAACCCTTCTCAGGAAGTTTGCCGGAAACGACAGCGGGATCCTGACATTTCATCCGATTGCAGGAATCAGCAGGGAAGAAGTCGTAAACGGTAGCCGTAACCGGTCCCGGAATACTGCTTCCATGTTTTTGCCTGGGACTTTCAATATCAGGCTTACGAGTCAGATCGACAACATTGTGATCAACATGAATACTATTTTGATCAAATGATGTTTGTTCTTTTGTTTCTATAAAAATGGGAGAAAATAGTATTTGAATTTCTAGTTATATGTTATTATTCATGTATTACCTTCATTTTCATCATCTTCTCCTTCGCCTAAAAGCCGATGCAATAATTTTCTATTTTTGCTTGATGATGAAACACAATTTTTTGCTGTGTCCACAGCATCCAGTTGTTTCTCTCATAAGTACTTTCTAATATTAGCATAACAAATGTTTTTTATTTGATTCGAAACGTCATCTAATGAGATATATCATCATACCTAATCATGTTATATCAATATAGAAGAAAGGATTTCTCTTACCCATTTCTCTTAATGCTATTTGTTTGTTGATATATCTGATATTTTTGATTTTTAAAATTAATGATAATTGGAACATTTTCATATGTATAGAATAGTCACACGATTCTGCGAGTGTAGGAATATCTAACTTGTACGCAATTAATGAGGCTATAGCCATTTTTTATACTATTACAAAACTTCATAGAAGAATAGTAAAATTTCAAAAAAATCAACCGCTGTCCCGATGTTACATTGAAAAATCTGCCGCTTCCGCGTCGCTACCGCCATGGACATCTATGGTATACAATTACTATGTAGATTGATGACAAGAGAGAAAATATCAACAGAAATAGAGATACAGTTGACATCAATCTTTTTTGATATAGAAATAGAAAAATTGATTCCATTGATTTACTTTCAATCAATAACAAATTACTACATTTATTGATAGTCACAAAAATCTAAAGATAAAAGTGAATGGAGTAAACTAACACGTGTCGATTTTAGATACAATGAAATACATATACGTCCGTATATATTTACACAGCGTTCTTGTTTTTGTGTTACCCATGATGAATAATCATCGAAACATTTTATTAAGTCTTAATCATTCTTCTTTATTACCTGTAATCAAAAGTAAAATAATCCTAAAAAGTTTTGTTTGTTGATCAATTTGATAAAAATAATCTAAACATGAATGATATTGAGGATATGATCGATATTTTGAATGAAACTAAGATTAAGAAAAAATGTTGAGAATATTTCTAAAAAATTATACAATTTTTGTGTGATCTAATTTTTCACTTTAGAGGCTAATCATCGCAATGATCCTCATTATGATGGTGAAGAACGATATAATCATAATGATAAATATGATAATGATGAAGAAAGAATAACAAAAGAACTTTTAATAAGTTTATCTACAAGGAATGGTGATATTCGTTCAGCATCATTACCTAGTAAACGGCGTCATCATCATCATTCTCGTTCTAGACGCATACCTCAAGTTGTTCTTATTCCTCAACAGCATTATCCTGAGTCGACATTGAAATCATCATCAAATCTGACTAATTCTCGTTCGCCTCCCAATTTATTCAATTCGAATATGCATTTACTTGAAACACATTTAAAACATTTAATTAATAAACAGAAGCGTGAAGAAGATCGTAATGAAACAATTAACGAATGGAAATTAATGGCACTTATTATGGATAGATTGTTATTTTGGCTTTTCGCAATCTTTACTGTTTTGAGTACAATTTTATGTTTAATTATTATACCATTTTTGAAAAATGCTGGATATATACCAGTACTATCAACAGATTTAGTTACGGAATACAAGGCAACAGCAACAGTAGCAAATGTCACTGAGGGACAGTTAAGGATAAATCTTTCAGATGTATCGACAGTGGATACATAATAAATTAATTTGATTATTTTGTGTTTTTCTTTGTAAATAATTATTTATATAACAAAAGCGGAATTAATTAATTTGTTTGTTTATATGATACACTTCATATACCGGATGACACAAATGAATAATGAAGTACTTAAAAAAAGGGTGAATTGTATGCTAATTCCTTTTTTTTTCTATTAATTTCTATTAACACCAACAACATATTCTGTATAAGTCGGCTAGAGTCTCAATGCGGACATCACGAAATCAGACTATACTCTTTATACCTTGACAGATTCTTGAAGACCCTTATAAAACATAATAGAGATTAATAGACGTATATTCACTTCGAAAAATCGTATATAAAATATATTGTATGTATCTAATCTGATCTAATTGTATATTAAAAAGTATTTTGTATAAGTGTACTGGATCAAATAGACACATTTTCAATTAGTTTGTAATTCATTTATGTCATGAACTCGAAAAAGAAGAAAGAGAAAACAAAATTCATCTCGACAAATACCAGCTCTTTGTTTGTTAATTGAATTCATAATTGAGAATTTTTCTTTGAAGATATTAACTTTACAACAAGAACGAACACAATCTCTATTACAATCTAGAAAAAAACCTAGATATTACGCTATCACAACTGTTGAGCTTAAAGTAATTCTTTTAATTATTTATTTTTCTGTTAGATTTTATTTCTCTTGCATTTAGGTTTATGACCTTCGCGAAGTCAAGTGAAATTAAATAAAATTATCTTTTATATTCTTATATTTTTTATGATTAAACTAGATGGTATTCGAGTGAAACTCGAATACGAATGCGGTACGAAGCTCGAATCAGATCTTCACGAAAAATCTTCAATTCAGAGAGATCTTGAATACTTTTTATGTCGACATGATGAAATTCATCACTGAGAAAACTCTATTCTTACTTAGCAATACATTCTTAAGGGTCGATTTCGATTAATCGATTAATTATCTTCATGATTCATTATCTTAGATCAGCTGTCAATGAATAGACTATAGTGGCGAACATATGTTCGTGACGTCACTTTAATTATCTCGCAGTAAATTTCTTTCATTTTCGTCATTTTGGAACCACATTTGTGTGTGAACAGAATATCAGATTAAAGAATAGAAAAAATATGTTAGAAGTTCGATCTCGATACTTTCATCTCCCGGTTCAATGAGTTTTCTATGATTTTCGGCACTCGAGATCATCGGGTCACAAAATGATGAAAAAGATGCGTACGTCGAGAAAGCAAAAGCAAAAGAAAACACGTGACGGACTACATAAATGCTGTGCTTCGCACCGCATTAAATAGTATTCAATTTGGAAATAACTTGTTGTCTATCAATTTAATATTTTTCAAATAAGTGAAAAGAGTCAAAATCGAACGATTTGCTCATGGTCGTCTTTTGAAAATTAACATACAAAGTGTTTTGATAACGATGAAAGTTATCTGATCTATAGAACACGGCACCACTTAAAAGAATCATATCATGGTAAAAATAGGACAAAGTTTTGTTGTTTTCTATTCATTTCCTATTTATCATTTAAAGCATTCATGCTTGAAAAGAATCATCTTTGTTAAATAGACAATCGAGCAGTTAGTACTCCGAAAAAAAATATTCCTATATGATAAATAAATAATTTAAAATATCATGTAAGTTGGTTATTCTTTTAATTTTATCAGAAAAGCTATTGAATTTAAAGATATTATTAACGGACTTTCAAAGTCATACATTCAGTTTAGCATTTACATCTTCTTTCATCATGATTCATAAGGAATCTCATGTACAGATATGAATTTTTATTCGAACATATCTTCAAATATAAAAAGAATGCTGCTAAATGCAGTCACATTTTTAATTCACACTAGCTATTATTTGTTCATTCAACTGTCAGTGTACTCAGCCAATGTGTGCTGCACAAAAAGTAGATTTAACGTATTGTAGTATCGGAAAAGATTGTTATCTTTGAGAATATTTAGTATACTGTCCCGCTCAATCTTATTCATTAGGCTCATATTGTTATGGAAAAAATGTTGTGTATAAAATTGACCGATAGACTGTGCCATTCAAACATACGAAGAAATGTCAAAAATGAATACGTTTAATCTATAGAATAATAGATTTTCTTAACAAATTTTTATGATAAAATTTGCTATAATGTGTCAAGTAAAAGATAGATCATGGTAGGTTTTCTAATGAAAATGGTAATTTTTGAAAATTTCAAGAAAACCACTGATTTTTATATAATTATTGAACAGCGGTCTAATTGCGTGCAATTTTACTATTGACTTGATTGTAAAAATGAAGCGCACGGTAAGAGGTAAAGTTTATAAAATAACTCTTCTGAAATACAGTTTAATCATATCGATTAAAGAAAACAAATTAAATATTATTCGATTTGGAAGGAAACGTTTCTAACAATTGCATGAAAAATCAAATGGATAAACGTGTAATCCTAAGCGCAGTCATTACCTGTAGTTACTTCGAATATTGCAAGGAAGATCAATATAGTTCTTGTGACAATACTAATTTAAGTAAAGCAATAGAAACACGTATCGGTTATCAATGTGCTGACTTTATTCGATATTCTCATATAAGAGACGATTGGTACGGTGATAAGGCACAATTTACACTTGTTATTGTTACACATTTCATGATGTTAATTTATTTTCTGTTCCTGGCGTTATTACTGATAAACATGTTTTTATGTTATCGACTACTGCATGTATGAATTGACAAGCTATGAAATTACAAGACGTTAAACGAGAATAAACAATTGTATTATAGAATTTTGACGCTCTGGGACTTACTGCTATTATGTGCACCAAATAGTGAGAAGTTAACCGAGTTATTGTCATTATCACAAAACTATTAGAGAAAGTACATGAATAACGTGAAGAGTCAATTGATCACAGTGAGAAAATGGGTATTTTTACTATGTTACAAATTTTCAGAGAATGGTCTCAATGTCTATATTGATGTAGCAGGTTTTAGATATATAAAAGAAATAATGCATATATTCGAGCTTCTGTTAACATGAGAAACAAATATAATATTTTATACGAATCACAGAAAATATTTATCTACTTAAGAAATTCAATAGAATTAGTATTATTGATGGCTACCATTGACTGACCACTAAGTTGTTTAGTAAATGTATTGCACTGCGTGCAGATGTTGTTTGTCTGCAAAAATACTCGAGATTATTATTTAAATATATTTTTGAACGGATAAATTGATCTGACGCAGATTATATTACATGTCTTACCTAGAGGTGGCACTATAACTTTAAAAAACCAAAGTGAAAGTGAAAAATAATTTTTAGCCCGTCGTGATCAATCCTCTATTGGTTTAACTGCAACTTTAAATTTTAAAATTAAAGTTCAAGTATCTTAACTGTAATATTAAAGTATAAAAGTTTAGTGTTCTACTTTAATTAAAGTTTAAAATGTTAAAATGTTTTTACCTCTAAACTTTAATACTTTTTTTAAAGTGTTTTAAAGTTAAAGTGCCACCACTAGTCTTACCGTTAGAACAAGCGCTTCGTCAATATCAAGTAGTTGACGAAATAAAAAGATCCAATCTGATGAAGTAATTCTAAAAATATATATCCAATTTCTTCCATGACAAAATCATATTGCAACTATACATAGAAAAGATTAAATTTTCTGGTTGAATCGTTCGATATGAGTGCATGCAGTCTATTTCATCATAATCATTTGCTTATCTTATATATTTTCATAAGATTATTTAAATGGCAATGATGGAAGTTTTACAGGATTAAGAAGTTCATAGAAGTAACTGTGTTTGTCAAACTTTTAGGTAGTAAGTGTTTTGAAAAAAGAAAAAAAATTCTTTTGACGTCGTAAATACTTGGTGAGATTTTTCCAAATTCAAAGAAACTTAATCATTCTTTCAAAAATCTAAAAAAGAAAATTCTTTTGAAAGAGAACATTTTGTTGAGCTAAACAAAGCTTTCCATCAATCATATGAATAAAAATAAAAGTAAATTCGAAGTATGCCTCCTTGATTCTCTCGAAAAATCTGTAATTATTTTTTGCACTCATGAACATACTTGTTATTTGAAATTTTATCATTTTCTAATAATGCATATTGAATACGACATAGAGTATGCTATTGTGTAATATAAAGCACTAAACATGTTTTTCAAATATGATAAAATTCCAGTTATTTTTGAATCTCTGAATCTTCTTTTTAACCGAGGAGAGCAATTCCTCATAATTTTTGTTCGTAACAATTTCTTAATGATGTAAAGAAAACATTTTTCTTTACGATATATATATATATATATAAATATCAGACGGCTATGTGAAAACTTGTTAATGTTCAAAAACCCTTCTTCATTTACTACAAGCATCAAATAAATTGATCTTTGACCGGAATATCTATTTAATATCGTTTACGATGAGCTAACAACTTCAATCAATAATATGTCATCAATCTTTAAAAGATGTAAAGTCTGATTCAAGTTGAGAAATAAGTTCGTCTATATCAGTAACAACCGTGACCTATATTAATAATGTGAATATAAAAAAAAGGATTAAAGATATAATAAATATTATCCTACTTTCCAATATTCTTTAGACCATTTTTCATGTTTCTCTCTCCATTGACAAAAGACATAGACTGATAAAAGATTTGAATTTTCATGTATATCAGGTACTATGTGTTCACCTTTTTGTCCACTGATAATGAGAAAAATATCTCATTGAACTATGCGCACCACGTCCAATAAATCTTTTGAAATCATTGTCCTCCAAAAATTGCATACAATCGCCAAATTTTCGACAAAGTTGATCCAAATGCTGCTTATTTTGTTTATTGTTTATGTTTGAATCAAGCCAAGTAAGAACAATTTTATTGGAATTTGCCATCGATAGATTTTGATAATTTACAGTAATTTTGTTTTTCTTCAATTTCTTCCTAATTCTTAAACTTATAATAATTTTGTCTATTTAAAAGTATTATTGAACGTCAACTATCGTAAAAATAATAAAATTAAGAATAGCAAATACTATTTGCTGCTGTCGTTTATTTTTATTTTTTCTCGCACAACGTGACACTTCTCAATGTACGATTTTATTGAAAAAAAGCTACAAGATAAAGAATTTCGACTGCTTATTGAAGAACAAGAAAAACGTGCGTTCTTTTGTCTATCGTAAATGTACTTGGTTGTAAATTATTCATCAACATAACATGCACACGATTCAAAATTACAATAAAATTAGTTTTCAGCGATATTTATATATTGGTTGGATAGAGCATAACGTGACACCTAGAAAAAAATAGCTTTCCTAGATTACACGTTATGCTCTATCCAACCAATATATAAATATCACTGAAAACAAAGTTTGCTATAATTTTGAATTGCAATCATGGTATTTTTTCTTGAAAACTAAGAATTACGAAGCACTCAAACATATTTGAAAATATTCATGAAAAATTATTTAGTGAATTAAATAATAATTTAACGTACGAATTCAACGGTACTCATATTCGCAAATAATCTTTGAGTTGATTGAATCTGTATCTATGAATAAATCTTTGCATGACTTTGAAATTTGCTTTTATTTATTTTACATCCATAGATTCATAATTTTTAATCGATAATATTGATAGGATTCTTTTATTTTCTAATCATTTTCGTTCAAAGTTTGTGAACACATATACAGTAGAATACATTAAATTTCATTGGATGCTCTCAAGATTAATCGTTATTTAAATCTCTTATACAATATCATAGATGAATGGTCACCGACAAGATGTATTTCATATCAGATTCTTTACTTTTTTCAAGTTTTTTCAGACATTTGAATGCTAATTTGAACGCATTAGTGACTAGAACAACACATTTCAGTATCTGATCATGATTTTTTTTTGAAAGATTTTAACAATTATCTCATTATAGATATTATTTGCAATTGTATTATCATTAATAAGTGGAAATTAATATTCTTAATACATGATAAACGTTCAGGTTGACTTTTAGAGATCGATGAATTCCATTGTCTATCACTTAATTCTTTTTAGTTTTATCATAACCAAATGCAACAGGCTAAAATATTGTTCAGCAACAAAATATACGATAGCATTGAAAACATGTATTCGACAATTGCAAAGATAAAAAGAAACCTGAATAGATTTTGAGAATTTTAATAATTTTAGATCGTTTTTGTTTTGAGTTATGACATAGTCGGTTTCTTCAAAGCTCTAGCCCACAAAGTTACAATACAATCTGTGTGTTTATCTAATTTCATAATTAATACTTTTCTGTTCTATTCTTTACTTAGGCAAATTTAAATGTGATACAAGTAATAAATAAAAACTGTCAAAAAGCGTACAATGATAAAAATTGGAAGAATATTAATATGACAAATTATTTTGAACATATTGATGAAATACATGATAAATAAAGAAAAACTCAATGACACTCATAATTGTAAATATAAATATTTTATCAGAGCCAATACTATTTATTTTTATTGGAAACACAAGCACATAACACTAATAGAATATCTCGAAGTAAAACGATTGCCTATAAAGCATAATTAGTAGTTCTACCTAGAAAATTAGCCATATTCACATAAAATAAGAACAATGAGAATACTTCTTTTTCAACGAAATAGTTTTCATTTTCACTAATTTAGTCTGAAGTATTATACCATTGTTGAAATCGTATTTATTCAAACATTGCCCAGATTATTTTCATCTAGTTTATTTTTTTTTCATTTGAAAATATTAAATAATTTTTTTACGTCTATTACAGTAAATTTTTTTTCATTTCAATCAACTACATCCTACAATGAGGCGCATAAAACATAGATTTTCTCTATAAATCAAAAAACAACCTGATGAACGATATTATTTAAATTTTTTTATGCGTAGCAACTGAATATAAGCCATACTAAAAAATCCTATAGCTATTAAGAATATCGCCAAAATATTTAGCCATAGGTCCCAAGTTGTTGCGTAGGAAATGTGACGTCGAAATAAAATATCTTCACCTTTGATGAAGCATGTGTCAATGTCAGATGAATAACATAAAGTTAAATTTCGAAATTCATTGATTGCTAATACATTGGAGGAATAACGAAAAACACTTATCCATCGTATCCATCGAAGAAACTCAACGATACTTGTTAGGTCAATAAGAAATCCACTAAAAAGCATCATAGTGACATAACCACATATGATCATAACAAGAGCAACACCTAAACGAAGCAAACTAATAATTCATATCAATAAAAATGAAAAAGTTTTACCTAAAGTTGAAGTACTAGCAGCAACACAATAACACATTGCTGAACCAAATATTTTTGCCATAAGATTAGTTATGAGAAAAATGAAAAAATGATGAATTGATTGACGAAGACCCGTCAAGAAAAAAGTTATGATTGTATAGATCATAGAAGGAATAATATGAACCAAAGGAAGATCAACAATTATTTTAGCAAGAAAAAAGCTTGACACTCGATAGTAACCACTGACATTTTCCTAGAATATATAAAATGTATTTCAATGAATTTAATAAATAATATTTTCATTATATATATAAATTAAAAATTTTACATGAATAAAAAGTGCTCGCTCTTTGATTAATGGTTCTAATGCACTCGTTGCACCAAGTACTTGACAAGATATTATAAAGAAAATAGCTCCAAAACGATTGTATACACCTGGTTCAACTGTTTTTTCTAATTTATTAAAGATTAAACCTGTAAATAAGCCATATATAATAACACTGATAATTTGAGATGTAACTAATGCCGGATTTCTTAAAACATTACAAAGCGTTCGTTGTGCAACGCAACGAAATTCACTTGGATAAGGTCGAGAAACATCATATTTTAACATGTAGTCATCGCTATCTTTACTTTGATGGATTTCATTTTTTATCATTTTGGAATTATAGGAATACATTGTGGAATGAAGATATGCTGTTTGAAGTGTCATCGAAGAAGAATTATTCGATTTAATCAATATATCAAGAACAAAATCTGCGGGATTATCATGTTCTTCACAGTTAAAAGCGTTCGAAGCAAAATAAGGTAAAACCTCAGTAGATGGACCTAAATAGATATTATGACCAGCAGACAGAAAAAGAACAGTATCAAATAATTTAAATATTGAATAACGCGGCTGATGAATAGAAAAAATAATTGTACCTAAGTCAAAGAGACAAAAATAACTTATCATGATTCCAAAATAAAAGTAGTTTTATATGACGTACGTTCTTGTCTAGATAATTTATGTAAGCAAGCCATAACATTTTGTGCTGTACACGCATCAAGTCCTAATAAAAAGAAAAATCAATTTTTTTTAGAATTATGAAATAATAAATCGAATTATTCACCTGTAGTTGGCTCATCTAAGAAAAGAACATTGGGCGAAAGGACTAACTCCATTCCGATGCTTGTTCTTTTTTTTTCTCCACCTGATACACCTCTGACAAAATCAGTTCCAATAAGAGTATCAGCACATGAGTGAAGATCTAAATCATGAATAATTTGATTGACTCGATCAATTCGTTCATTGGCTTTTATTGATGATGGTAAACGAACATTTGCTGAAAATAAAAGATTTTCGCGGACGGTCAATGTTTCACTGATGATATCTTTAAATAAGCAAGGAGAAAGAAAATATAAGAAAATAAAAATTTCCTACCATCTTGAGTAACATAGCCAATAATATATTTAAAATAAGAAGGACGAGGTTGTCCGGATACAAGAACATTTCCCGACAATCCTCGACTACCCTTTCGATCTGCGAGAATATCAAGTAGAGTTGATTTACCGCAACCTGTCGGTCCTATCAATGAAAACAAAATTGAAATAGAAGAATCATTATAAGTTGAATCGAATTCCATAGTAATGACAAACGATTATTATTCTTCATTGTCGACGTAAAAAAATTACTCTTATACTGGTCAATACGTTTAGAAGCATACATTAGTTTTTTTTAAATCAATATTTATTATACCTAATAAAGCATTCATTCCAGGAGTAAAAATGCCCGAAACATTAGTAAGGATTTGTTTTTTTGGTATCGGTTTCCAAAATGGAAATATTCCTGCTGTCCATCGAGTATTTAATGCACCTTTGATTGCTTTATCACCAATCGTATAATTAATATTATCAAATGATATTGTTGCTGATTTGAAGTCATTGTTATTAGATAAATTTTCAATTGGACTTTTTACTTGTTTAGTACTCACAAATAAATTGTATTGATGATGATCAACATTCGAATCTAATAGTGTAGATTCAATAATAACACTATTATTATGAACGGGCAGTTTTGTTTGAAGTAAAGGAGAGACAATATTTTCTTGTTCATCATTTACTATCATCAGTTTGGTCATCTTTTCACTCATTATTGTAATCTAAAATTGAACAGCTTATTGTTTGATGAAGAACAAAATGTACGAACTATGACGTACAATTATGTTATCAAAACTGCTTCATTTGACATATATCGATACGATATCGTTAACTCTTTGTTTTAAAGGTAAATTGTCGAGACAAGAAATTAAAAACTTGTTTGATTTATTTTCAATTTTACTTCATATTAAATTCAAACAAAAAATAATTTTTGCGTAGGAAGCAAAAAGAAAAGAAGCATAAGTTTAGAATAATTGATTACTATCAATATGGATTTAATTATATTAATCAACTGATCTGATCGATAAGAAAATATGTTTACTATGAATTCTACAGAAATATACATGAAGTCATACGTAAATTCTAGAACTGTTTCATTCTTTCGTCATTTTTTATTCTTTTTCTATCGAGATTTGAGATAAAAATAAAAGTTTTTCATAATCAAATAACATTTAATATACAATATAAAGAATACAATAAAATAGAAACTGATAACATTCAATTTTTTTTCTCGTGTTTTTATTTCGTTTATATCTTAATCAAGAAAAAAAGACATCAGCATCTTTCAAACACTTTATACAATTGTTGCACTTCAGTTAATTTAACAAATGCTTGTCGTAAATGTTTCGATGGAACAAGCATGGTTTTAAATGCATGATAAAGCAAATGTTCAATAGCCCAATGCTGTTTTTCTTCTGTATCACCGTCCGCTTGTGAATAGATGTTCATTCGGTATGAATAAAATTTAGAAATTTCATCAGCAAAAGTTCGAAAACATTCTCGTTCATCTGTCCAGTTAACTTCTTTACTTAAACGAAGGAGATATTGTGGTAAATAATCAAGATTAGGTACATATGTATCGAGTAGAATAGGAAGAGTTTCTAAACGTATTGGATCTGTTGATGATATAACAAATGAAAAATAATCTTCAAGCATTTCACGGCGCTCTTTTAAAATATCAATCACATATTCGACAATTTCTTCATTATCGGTTTCTAGACGTAGAAGTTCCTTTAAAAAAATTAACCTTTTTCTTTTCAACAAAACAGAAAACAAACGCTAATAAAAATTACTTCAATAGACGGTGGCTCAGGTTCCAATCGAATAGTTCCCATGTTTCCAAAATGATAAATACATAATTGATAAAATAATTCTTGAGATAAATGTCGTGTATGAACTAAATATAACTGAGTATCATGCTGAATAAGTGAAGATTGTCCATCGACGGTGCCGACGTAGACAAAATTCCGTATTATATTTAATAGATCTGTATCACATTCATCACTAATTGATTGACGTAATATTTCAAGTGATGTTAATTTTACATTTCGCGGAAAAACAATTGAAGCTAATGGAGATATAGTTATTGAGGATAATGTTGACTTTTTTGGAATTGATATTGAACTATTATGATAACGATGTTTATCTAATTTTTGATCACGACTAGATGTACGAACTGTACGTGATGGATCAGAATTAGCAATTGATTTCTTCGCAGTCGTCGAGTTGGCTGTATTAGACGATATTTTCTTTGATGCAGTTTCAGTTTCCATAGAATCTTTAGGAGTTGGAGGCACTAAAGTCATTGAAGTAGGTGTCTTAAAAAGAAACAATAGATAATTTGACTTAAATCGTATCATTCAAGTTAAATATGATGTGTACTTTCATAAAAATCAATACATTTAAAGACAAATGTAAAAAATTTTCTTTTTTTTCCTTTCGATTTGATTTCGACCACGTTTTCAATAGGATATTTATGGAACAATTAAATCTTATTGAATATAATTATCTTAATTAATAGTGACTAAATCAACAACAAATTTCTAATCATTGCACTGAAATGTTGAGATCAAGAAAAAGAAAAAGAGCTGATGAAGTTTTAAACAGAAATCGATTGTTGATGTTTTCGAATTACATACAATTGAATTACAAAAGTTGTTTCTTGAAAGTATGATAAACTTATGATTTCCGATTAAAATCGAAAGCTGTTCTTTAAATAAAATACAATGGCGTCGTATGTTTAGTCATATTCTTATCAAAACTTTATTGTTGTTGTTACTATTTCTCATACTATTATGACTATTATAAACTGTTTTTGTTTTGTATTAGTTTGATTCTAGGTGATAATGGATACGCTGATAAACTGTAAATAGATAAACTAACCATATGAAATGTTAATTGAGTTGTAGTTGTTGTTTGTTTTGCTGATTTTTCAACAATAATATGTTCAATAGCTTGTACAATGTGAACAATAACTGGATCAGCATGTAAAAATCGTACTTCATTTTTACTTGGGTGTATATTAACATCTAATGTTGTTGGATCCATTATTAAATCGAGATATACAAATGGAGATGTTTGTTTATTAACTAGAACAGCATACATTTGTTGAATCGATTTTTTTAATGGTTGACAATCAACTAAACGTCCGTTTATAAAAAGAATAAAAGTCATTGAAATTGGCGTCGCTTTTGATGAACACTAAACATTAAAAATAAATAAACATTTTAATTTTAATAAGACTTTTTTTTTCTTTTCAAACGAAAGCAAAACTAACCGAATATTGAGTTCCAGTAAAACAAGCTTTACATTGAAATTTATAAGGTGTATCATCAGTATTAATCATTGTTTCATACATATCTTTTACCATATCAGCACCATATAACATTTTCATATTATGTAAAATAGTTATTGTTTCTTTTCCATCTGTGTGGATATCAGGTTCGAGTTGCGTATCCCGTTTAAGTGTAAAAGAAACATGAGTATTACGTAGTGCCATTTTCATTACACAGTCAACCATTCTGGTATATTCTTCAGATGCTGATTTCATCATTTTTAACCGTATTGGATTATTACAAAAAAGATCTTCTATTATAATTAATGTACCATTCGTACCTAAATAAACAAAAAATAATAAAATAATTTCTTATAGTTTTTAATTATTTTTCATTTGTAAAGTTAGATAAAAGATGTTATTCAACTTTTTATTTTTTGTTTCAATGAATAATTATGATTGATAATTGCAATTCTAACTAGTATTCGAAGATCTGGAAGGGTTATGATGATTACTTCTATTTTATAAGATATCTAACAATTCATCAATGTTATATTAGATTTATTTAATCTTAATGATGAAAATTGGCTCTAAAAATTAGCACTCCTAAGTAAATGATCGAATTAACTATTAGATATCCGAGTAGAGAAAAAGTAAACAATTCATGTATGTTTCAATATATAGAATTCGTAAGAAACATAAAAATTTATCCATTTGAAAAGTTATTCTAAAATGTAAGTTTAGAATAGTATTAGGAAAAGTTGGAAAAAAATTCTTTTTAAATTCTTTTCTAACCTGCACAAGGTTTAATGGATGTTGATGGTCGAATCTTTTCATCTTCGTATTCACAAACATAAGCGCATGGGCTTTCACGTATTTTGCTAATAATTTTTACATGTCCAGCATAACTCAATGACGCTAAAGCTTCACCACGAAAACCATACGTATTTAAATGATATAAATCATCGAAGCTTTTTAATTTTGACGTCGCAAAGCGTTCACAAACAAGTGGCAAATCAACTTTACTTATTCCACATCCATCATCTCGAATTTCAATAGATTTTAAACCACCTTGTTTAACATGAATTTGTATTGTGCACGCACCAGCATCTAGACTATTTTCTAGAAGTTCTTTTATTGCTGCACACGGTCTTACAACAATTTCTCCAGCAGCTATACGATTAACAACTGCTTCATCAAGTTTTTGAATTTTTCTATTCATCTAAAACAAAGCAAACGAAAAACATAGTATAACAAATGAAAATCTTGTTTTCTTTTTCTTTCTCTATTTATTTAATTTGTTTAATATAATTTCTATTATCTTCGTTTTCTTCAGTTAAACATTTAACGAGCCAAGTAACGCAGGCTTGAGCTTTTGGTTGATTAAGATCGATTTGTGTCATTGAAAGAATCGATTCTATTGTACCTGCTGTTTGTCGAACTTGATTTTGACAATTAACGTGTTTATAACATAATGTGGCTAATAGAAGAAGAAGATCAGCAAATAAATCAAATGTCGGTAGCGGATGTTCGTTCGGAATATCAATATATAAACGATACCATTCATGTTCAGATTTTGAACGACGTCGATGAACTTCACAAAGGAGTTTTGAAACAAGAAAAACAATAGTTAACCGATAACGATTATCATCCAATAAATCGTTTTGATGTATATAATAATTATTTATTAATTGTATCAAACGACGAAATAAACGAAGAGTTAATGTAGAATAATTGTTTGGATTAATAATAGATATTAATGAGCAAGAAAATAATATATGAAGATCATCAGGATAATTAGTTGAAGATGAAAATAAATGAAAAAGAGATAATTCATTGATACAGTGATTAGGAGTTAAATTCATAACGTAGAGCGATAATGTTGAATGCAACTCATCGAAAGTTGACACTTGATTTAAACTAAGAATAAAACAATTTATTAAAGATTACGAAAATACCTATTACTTTGAAACTTTTCTAATCGATATATGCATATTGGATGACTTTCTTTATCGTAATCGGTGCATAGTAATTTTTAATAAAACTTAAAATAAATTTCATATCCTTTAGATATTCTCATTTATATAATTAAAGGAGTTTTTCGTAATCTCATTTCATTTAATCTAATCTGCATTACAGATCAAACTTAACTGAAGAGAAAATAAAGCAATGATACACTCAATCAATGTTCATTTCGAGCATTTCCAGATTGTCTTTCTTTTCTTCTCATTCAATATTCGATCGATCATATAGCTAAAAGTTTCCATACTAAATCAAGATTTTAAAAGGCAATAGAATTTTTTCTAATTTTTACATTTGACTTAACTATGGATGATAGATTATATTTCGATAACTAATGAAATCTTTACTTTGAAAACCGAATACAATAATTCAAATAAGAAAATGTAGCGATATGAAAATATGTTTCGTTGAACAAGATAATAACAAAAAAATCTATAAACTCTCGATTACCTCGTATTTCATTCAATAAAAACTTACTCAATTTTTTCAATTGTAATTGAAGATAATTCTTCTAAATTTTGTTTCATTACTTCAATATTAAAAATATCATCTTGTCTATGTGTATCAATAGCATGCAAAATTTCATTTGTATATTTTTTTTCTAAATAATATTTTCTTAACCATTGAGTATCTCTTTCGACAAGAAATTTTGTTAATTGATCTATCCATTGATTATCTTCTTCGTCGTCTTCATTTCTATATAAACCATCAATAATTAAATCATATCTTTGGTTAGACGATGTATTCATCTCTAGATATGCACATATAATACATGCAATCACATTTCTATTATTATTTGGTAAAAGAATCAATGCACATAAATAAGCGATATCGCGAAAATCTTTGGGTAATAATCGATTAATATTATGTAAATATTGAAGAAAATGTTTAGTTAATTGCTCGAATTTAGAATCAAGACATCGTTTTATGTTAAACATTAATAGATCAATTTCACATTGATTTAATGATGATGATCGTGGTCTCCCATATAAATTTCGTTGAATAGCAAATCCTTCAATAGATATGGGTTGATGAAGAAAATGATTTGCAATATGAAAAAATGTCGAATCAGATATAATAGAATGAGATTTCTCTTTAAGAAGATTTGCTAGACGATGAGGATCATTCAATAATGCGATATAATCATCCGACGAACACATCTACAATACAATAATGATTATTTAATTAAAACATAATAAGTTTATATTCGAGAATACACGAAAAATAATCTTTTGTTAAATACAATCTTAGGGAAGTATTGAACTATCTGGAAAAATATGTGAACCATTGTCATAGCTTTAAATCAATGGCATAACATGGTATCATAATATAAAGAATACTTCATTAGAGAATTTTTGAACTACTAAAAGAAAGAATCATGAAGTAATATATCCCAAATAAGATATCTCCATGCGATTGGTTACAGTAATTCTATCATCTTTCAAATTTCAACTGCTGCTCATGGATTGCGCTAACAGATTTTTATATTATGTAATTTCTTTGATGTTGCGCAATAACATCAACATCACCACTTACTACTTTTCACAAAATTAAAATGTCTAGAATTAAATAAATAATATTTATTGAATATTAAATATTGAAGAGAAAGAAAAGAAATAAATATTTATTATATTGAAAATCGTCATTATTTTTTGCCGCCATTAGTATTAAAAACTTTGCTTGATATTTGTCGAATGAATTCTCCTGGCAATGACCAAAGTCCCAGTAAAAGAAAGACAACAAAAATAAATATTATGAGACTAATAATTATTGTCCATTTAAAATTAAACCAAATAACATATCGAAATGTTTTCCATGGTGATGTAAACCACAGAAATGAAGTTTTCGGACGACTGAAACACAAAGAGAATTAATTTTTTAAATTAATAAATTAAATAAAACAAACTTAGGTTCATCAAGTGGTTGTGGTCCTTCGCGTGCTTTTCCAACAGGACTTTTTTCAGCTTCTTCAGCTGTAAGAAGAGTAAATTCAGCTTCAATTTTACCCTATTAGCATAAAAAAATATAACCGATTTTAATTAATTTTTTTAACTCTATCTTACTCCTAACAGAGTTGTGTCACGAATTTCTCCAAATTTCAATGGAGCAATCATTGGCCACCAACCTGAATAAATCAATAGTAAAAAGTTATTTTTATGAATAAAACTTTACCAGCAATCCGTTTGTTTACAAATAAATTGAATGCTCGATGCTTTGAATCAAGTAGAATATCAGCTTTGCATTTATTCGATGTTTTAGCACCGATTGGTAAATGCGTCATATTGAGAATGCATTCTCCTAAAAATCAATTGAAATTTATGTATGCTAAATCAAAAATATTGAAAACAAACCGAGAAAGTCATCGGCTGAAAAAAGATCGGCATCATAGACTCGAATAACAATTCTTGGTGGAAATTTTTTCAATGTATTTCCAATTTGAAAAACAGAATCTTTTTTTTCGTGAACGATTTTTTCTTCAATATCTATATAATTAAAATCAAAAATAAATCGCCAATTAAAATTGCCTTCGCCTGTTAATGATCTATGAGAAAAACAAAAAAAAAAAACAAAAAGAGATTTATAATAAAAACAAACATTATCGTTCAATTTTCAAACTGACCGATAATGAACATCTGTTTGTTGTCCATCATCTTTTTCTCCTAAAACCCATGCTTTTACATAAATATCCGATGTTTTTTCTCCTGTAACAAAATTTTCATCATTTAATTCAACATCTGTTGTATTCAAAATAGTTAAACGTAATTGAAAAGGCATTGGTTTCAATGGTGTTATATCAACTGGTGCACTTGATGGTGGTCGAGACATTGGAAATATATCTAACCACATCTCTAATTTCCCTTGCTCAATATCAGGGAAATTCGGATTGAAAATTGATCGACATTCAATATGTTCAGATACTAGAGCACCTTCCTAAATTGATTTCCATGCAAAAACAAAACTCACAACTATGTTAAATAAGAAAAATTCTTTTTACTGGATTAATTTTTCTTCCCCATGCATGAAGTGCAGCTAATGCAGTGTTTTGTCGGATATATTCTTCAGGTGATTCATGATAAACTTTACGATGTGACATCTCACTTGATGTTCCACCTGTAACGAACTCGATACATTCAGGATCACAATTGAAACGTATATCACGAATAGCTAATGAACGAAAATCTGTTGAATAAACTGGCAAATTTAAATTTGTTGTTCGACATAGTTCCGTTAAAATAATTAGTGGTTTTTTTGTATCCCGCCAAGCATTATAGCCAGCACTAAATCGAAACGATATGAACAAAAAATGTCAATACATTTCAATAATTATTTGATTGATCAATTCACCTGTCGTATCGTTTTTGTAAACCACATGTTGCTCTATGACATGAAAACCAGCGATTTTCAATATCAATACTTGTTTCAGCAATTCTATCATTTGAACGAGCAAAATCCCAATCCCAAATTTGGATACGTAATAGTGTTTGTTGAGGTATTGTTACTTCGAATTCATAAGATCTATTAGAATGAGTTTTTAGATTAATTCATTATTAGTTTGTTTTCCTTAGTTACTTTCCAAAAACAGGCTCTAATGTATTATAAAGTCTTGAATTAACATCATCGATAATAATGTCTCTATTCAGTAAAATTTTGATATATGGATCAGCTTTACCTGATGCATCCCAAGCACGGAATAATAATGCTTTAATAATATATAATCGACATTTAAGTGTAATTGGGTTTTGATTAAAATCAAATTGTAACATTTGTTGATTTGTTCTAATACCTGAATAGATATTTTTATTTCTTTCTACTTCAATTGGAGCATTGAGTAAAATTGGATTAACACATATTTTAGGAATTTTATTTAAATTAGTTAAAATTCCACGATACAACTCATCTGATGTAACTTGACGAATACGAAGTTTTCCCTAAATAACAAATAAAAATCTAATGAATAAACATGAGAAAGCAAAAATGAACTCACCTTAAATTTTGCATAAACACGATTTTCATCACCTATTTCATCTGAACGATTTGTACCTTTTCCTTTGTACCTTGAAATATAAAATAAAATAAAATAAAAGTATTTCTCAATTTATAATAATAATAATAAAACTTACAAAGGAAATTTATCAAGACAATCATTAAATCCTTCATAATCATGAACATTTTCTAATTCCGTTTCAATAATCTATTAATAAAAGAAATATCAATAAAATTTTATTAACTAATTAGCCAGTAATGCTTTAACGCAATCAAGCTAAAAATGAAGATCAAAATAAGACAAAATATTACTTATTGATCATGATTCTCATCAAATAAAATATCAATATATTCCTAGAATTGTATCAGTAATAACGACACATTCAAATAAATTTCACAAATCAAGAAAAAAAAGTCACGAAAATTTTCATGTATTTGCCTTTAAAATACTATTAGGTTAAAAATTGCAATTAGTTGTTTCATTTTAAAAGCAAAATTCTATCTAAGGAATATTCACTTGCATGATAAAGATTGTTTTATTATTTATAGTTTTTTCTTACATCGAATGTTTGTAATAATGTCAATTGTTTAAGACGACCAATTTCAATAATATCTAAACTTTCATCAATAGCTGATTTAGACTGAAACTAAAAAAGCTTAAATCTTAACTAAAAACAAAATATCAGGATAAAATGGTCACATTACTTTTGTGTGTTCTGCAAGATTTTCAATTCCGTGGACAGCTAAATCTTTTAATTCTTTACGAGCTTTTCCAGCACGCATAAATGCTTTTTTAGCTTTACTCCAAAATGTGCCACGTTGTTTAAGAATAACTTCTAAAATACAAAAACAAAAAAACAGACTAGTGTCTCGAAAGAAAATTACAAAGAAATTTCTACTGACTTGATTCATCTTCAAAAAAATCGGCATAAACATTATAACTATTTTGAAGTTCATCATCTAAATCGATTCTTGTTTTTTTCTCTAATCTCTATGATGATTAAAAAAGAATAAGTGATCTTCAAGAAATTTTAAAAAACAGAATGAAGAATACAAGTTTCGCTTTTGATGCATAATATTTACTCCACCATGTAGCAGCCTTTTCCATTGAATTTTGTTTTAATTTATCTAAAGCTGTTAAATATTAATGATTTTACTATTAGCTATTTACAACTGTCACACCTGAATCATTTGTATATTTTGTCATTTCTCTAGATATTTCATCAATTTCATTCTGAAAAAAAAAGATAATTTTGTATAAAATAATCGTTTAATAGAATGATTTCTATTGTATTGCTTACCTCTATTTCTTGTTCCAATGAATCAGCATTAATAATTGTTTGTTGACTATCATCAAGCGTTTTTGTTTGGTCTGCTTCATTTTCGAAGATTGTTAATTTTTTCTTTCCTATTTCACTATCTTTACTTGCTAAGACGGCTAAAAAGTAAAAATAAAACTATGGTTTTTGTTATGCATTTTGCAAAGCATGGATAGAAAAACAATAAAAACAGCAATACTAAACTAGTCCGTGAATTATTGAACTTCCAAATCAAAAAGAAACTGTTCTAATTAACAGCTTTTGTAATAGACGTGACAACAACTTATCTATTGTGTTACTTTTTTTCCGAATTCGAAGTATTTATGACTCTTTTCCAATTATTAATTTACGCATAATTACTGCATTTCAAAGAAGACTAATGAAATTTTCAATTGTATGTAAAATTGATATCGTGTTTCATTTCGAATTTTTGTTATCTATGCAACACTATCATGAAAGATAGATAGAACTGAATCGTTTAGTTTACCCTCGTAAGCATCAATAACCGATCGTCGAACACGATTGAATTCATACGGAAGTCTTTTTGAAAGTTCATTGATAGCATCAGCCGCTATTTCATTGTTTGCTGACGAAAGAACTTTTGTTTTTTCAAGATATTTTTGTAAATCAGTTACGACCAGGTTACCTACGGGCTCTTTCATTCCAAAAAGGCGATGTTGCACACAACATATACTTAAATGTGGCCAAAAATTGTTATCTTCGGGTAAATTCTACGAGATAAACAGTAAGTATAATAAAAAAAAAATAAAAAAATATTGATTTTTCAGCTTACAACTGTAATTTTGTACTTGTCTGCGTCGGTATATGTTGGTTCAAAGTTTGGATTTTTTTGTACATCTTTTATGATTTTAGTTATGCGTGCACCCGCACATTCAATAGATACTTCAGCTTGTTGAATTGATTGAAAGTTAATTGGGCGACATTCGCGTAAACCCCAAAACATAACCTTATTTATGAAAATCATATTTATATAGAAAAACAACTCAAATGTAAGATTACTTCTATTTCATAGGCTTTTAAATCAGGCATAATTATATAGGGAATATCATAAATTTTATTTTTCATCAACTTAGTTATATGTGAGTTGGGTGGAAAATTTTCCGGCGTAATGGCAATTTCTTCAAGATCATATGCTGATTCGACTTTTAGAGTTTCCTATTTAAGCAAAAAAGGAAGTTATTTTTTTTCAGATTAAGAAATATTTTTACCGGATTAACTTCATTTAGTTCAAATAATGCTAACAGTTCTCCAGCTCTTCGTTCACCAAATTTAAATTCGTACCATTGAAATAATGGTCTATTAGATGATATTTCTTCATTGAATAGATCAAGTTTAGCTGTTGTCGAAAAACGTCCTATGAGATCTGGTCCATTGCCAGTCTAAATAAACGAAAATAATGTTTTATTGGGACTATTATTGAGGATTCTAAACTAAACGATCTTTAGCTTTCAAGGATAGAAGGTCATATTAAGAATAATGTTTGAAAGAAACCTGTTAAGCATATATAGTATTGAATCCATTTTACTTTTTTCGGTAGGCGAAATACGAAAAAGAAAAAAAAGGTATTTTATTAGTTAATAATTTTGAAGCATTTATCTTTTAATACGGCAAAAGTCAAAATATCAATATGACAAACGTATAAAAATATTCAATAAAATATCTTCACATTAATGTATTTATGAAAAAAAAATATTAAATGGTCCTATGAACTATTGATTGAAGCTATTCTTTCAGTAATAATTCGGGTTTATCGATCTGATATACTATTGAATTCCAACTGATTCAAAATGGAACAATGCTTTCTTTTTAACTCCACACATTTTTTGAAGATAACTAAAATAGATTTTCGAGATATGTTTTATTCAACTTTGATTGTAAAAACTTTTGAAGTAACATTCATGAAACATAGTACATTAAAATCTAGTGTAAAGATCGATAATATAGAAATTCTCATAGTGTGTCCATGAATTTATCTCAAAAACAAACAGTAAACTCTTATAAAATACTGAAGTATAAAGTGCAAGTTAGTTATATCAATACCATTTGTATTCATTAGAAGAGAATCTAATTACGATTGGATATAATTATTAATATCGCGTATCTTATAACTAGGTAGCAACTTTAGAATTCTGGTCATGTAGCTATAGAAATCAACTAACAAGCAAAGAAAAATAATAATTTGAATAATTCTAATGATAAAAACAAATTTAATGATTACTTCATCATAGTCATAACATTCAACAACAACATTTCCAATGATTTCTTCAGCCGTTTCTCGACTTCCAACATGAATCAAATTTCTAAAAACCAATGTTATATTCCATTGTGGACATAATGATTCTTTGAGAATCTATAAAACAAAATGAAAACATGAAATTATCATTTCTATTTTGCTACGATAAGAATTAAAAGCTATTTTCACTTGTTATGAGAGATTTTTAAGTAAGTTTAATCATATTAAATAATTTAAGGAAAGTGTAAAAAAAACTTACAGGTGTTGTTTGTGTTTCATTACTAGCCGTAATACTCAAATAAGGATCAGAGAAACCTGTTTCATCCGAAGCAATTAACGATCTTGCTTTATAACAATGGCATCGTAATTCATACAAAGATCTTCCTAATATATATATATAAACATGTCTTAATTATTGAAGAAGCTTTTTCTTTCTAACCATTATATCGTATATATTTTGTGTCATTTGTTAACGGCAGTGGTGGCATATCAAATCCAGTAGGTAGTTGTTTAAATATATTTAGTTCTTGTTCTTCAGTCCCAAGCCAAAGATAGATTTGTATTTTAGCATTTGTTGATGATTTTATTGGTTTATCTGATGTACGCGGTGTCTTTAGAATAAAAGTTCTTCTTTTTAAATAAATCATTTAGAAAATGATTGATGACTGACTTGAAGAAAGAGTGTTTGCACTCGGCCATTATATACACCTCGTTCACCTTGGCATGCACTAAAAAGAAGATCTTCTGGTTGAAAACGAGCGTAGGCTACTCGTTTTGAATTACATATCATCCATAAAAATACATCAGGTAATGATGGTTGTACCTTACGACAATTAAATATAAATATATAGAAATAAAATAAATGAATCTTATTTATTTACATCAATTGATAATTGACGAAGTGTTCGAGCTATTTTATATAGCTCTTTAACTATTTCATATCGTTTTACTTCGTCAAAATCGCAAGCTTTCGAAATCCAACTTTTCAATGATTCTAAATTATGTAAAATTCTGGTTCGCCGTTTTTCATCTAATGTATTCATGCGATTATTTGATTTTGGAAAAGTTAACACTTCAGACAGACTAGGATGAATTGATCCTGTTACACCCGGATTATTAGATGTTGGGTTTAATTCATTACATCCACAAGGTAATGTGTGAATATACTCTTCCAGTTTTTGGTAGTTTTGTATGAGAATTTCATCTGATACTTTTGAATTAACATTAAACTCAAAGTCTCGAATTAACTTAAGCTGAAACAAAAACAAAGAGAATTTTGTTAAGTAACTATAAAACCATTACAAGAATAATTAATACCATATCATTAGCTGCATGTTTCAATCGATTTGATAAAGTCATACGATAGCTATAATCATGAAACGTGTATTTTGTAAATATTATTGGTTTTTGTAAATCAATAGGTAAACGAAAATGTCGTGCATTATTATCAATTGGAATACGCGGATAAGGTCGTGTTACTGATGAAACAGATTGATGAGTCGCTAACTGATTTGTATTTAAATATCCACTTGATCCAATACTTAATTCAAAACAAATTATTGCATTACCAAATGCTTTATCAATCATTGTTACATCATAGATACAACCAAATAAAATAAATGTACGCTTCATGGGAAATATATACTACGAAGAAAAATAAAAAATATGATTGAAAGTGATGAAAAAAGGAATTTACAGATTCAGGAAATTGTATTCCACTTTCTTTTTGTACATTCATATTCGATGCATATTCACCACTTATAGGATGGCATTCAATTTCCATAAGTAAACGTCCTCTATAGCAAACACCTTCTCCCATTCCTTCGCCAAGACCATCATGATCTTTATTAATAGTATATTCTCTTGAATTTCCGTATAAAAACATCCATGTTGGACCAAATGTTGGTAAAAAGCCAGCTAATGGATTGCTTTCACTAATTGAAAAGAGGTCAATTAAAAATGATGTTATTGTACGATCTTGTTGAACAGTAGCATGATCTTTTAGTGATACTTTTATTGTTCGTACAAGTGGCGGAAATTGCCCAATTAAATAAAGTGCTTCACCCCAAACAGGTGATGTGCCATTACAATACTCTGTTGTTGCCTGAATTGCATTATAGGTAACTTCAACATATGGATCGACTGGTTCCCAACCATCAGCAGCAAGAATCTTTTTTGAAACAGTTGCTAAAAAGTCAGTCATCATTTCGGGTAATTCAGTTGCTGTGAAAAATGTTATTTTTAATTGAACAGGAAAAAGACGTCGAGGCATAGAGGCTGGAATAAATTCTTTTCTGTGTGAAAAACAAAATATTCGCTAAAATTAAAAACAAAAGGTTCTTGTTATGTTTATTTACGATGGTTTTAGTTCGTCATCTTCTTGTGTTGATTCACCAAGAATATTCTATGGAAAAAATGATTATTATAATACAAAAAAAAAGAATTCTTTTAATGTTTACTTTTGTTGAAAAACCACGTTGTGTAATACCAACTGAAACAAGTAAATGGCCACAAGGTGCTTTGATAGAATCTGGATTAACTAATTGAGCCCATTTCCGTTCGAATGCATGATCTTTTTCATTGTATACTGTTGCTACATCAACTTTAAATACGCCAATTGGATTTGTATCGGTAAAGGTACTAATTATTTTTTTTGCATGATGAACCTGAATTAAAGTAAGTTTTAAAAAAATAATCATCATCGTATTCATATATACAAAATCAAACTATACTTTGAAGTAAATCACTTTCTCCATCATTTGTGTAGCTGGAAGTGAGAAATCAAATGTAAAGAACTAGAAAAAGTAAAATAATATACCTTGAAACGTGTTGTTCAAAATAAATAAAACTAATAATACAAACGTCTTGTAATTAGTATTTTACTTATTTTACAAATAGATAAAAACAATCGTAAACTCTGTTGTTAATACACACTAGATAAGATTTAATTTCTAAATACTCTATGCATTAATAGAATTAGGATTTCTGTAAACTTCATTTTAAGAATTTGCAAAGATGTTTTATTTTTTCAATGAGAATTATTGCTTGTTTCGTTAGAATATCTATCATGACAGATAGCTAATTTGATCTGAAACATCTTTAATAAAATAAATGATGTTAACTCAAAATTCATTTTGGAAATTTATTGAATACTAGTTTCAACTATTTTCTAATTTTCAAATTATTTAACATGAGTTTAATGCAGATGTCTCATATGGAAATAACTTACGTCTCCAAATAATGGTGAGTTATTACATTTATGTACTCCTGTATATCGTTTTTGATTACCAATTTGAACACATACATATGGATTAATATCAACTCCAGCAAAATCTCGTCCTTGTATGATATTAACCATAATTTGCCACTGAATCATTTGATATGCATCACCATCGTATCGTCCCAAACTAAAGTTATTTTAAATAAAATATTTAGTTAAGTATCAATAGTATTTTGTTTTGAAACCTTTTTTCGAGTAATTCAAGATTATGATATTGAACTTTTATTTTTTCATCTTCAGTCAGTGGTAAAGATGTTTCATTAGAATTTTGATTAACATTGAAATTTGAATCACTAAGCGAATCTGAATCAGCATCATCTTTATGGCCAACGAACTTTACTTGAAGCTTTTTACTAAAACAAAAAAAGCCATACTTTTCTATTCTAATAAGATTATTAATGATTTAAATAATAAGTCATTAAGAATGATTAATCATTTTGCTGATGACAAATAGATTTGACTCTTGTATCAGTTAATAGTACAAATAATAAAACATATTTAACTTATGTTACGAAAAGACTATCAATAAACTCTTTTGGGAAAAATATTCATGTTATCAAAGAACAGAAAAAATGCATCGCTACTTACAGTCTACGTTCACCTTTTGAATTAATATGTCGATGTCGATGGCCACCATGCCGATCTTCATCATTGAGAGAACTCATCCAATCGATTGAGTCAACTAGATTAACAGTTTCAGTTTCACCTAATGCAATTGTTTCTTTGTCAATACTTGGAGTAATATAATAAATTTTAAGTTGTACAGTCGATTTTATTATATAATTCTTTGAATCCGATAAATTTTCTTGAGATAAATAAATATATTTAGAATCCATTAATGATTCAAGTATTAATTCATAAATCGCAATCATTTTCTTATGTTTTCTGTTCACAGTTACTGTATAAAATTCCATACGTATTTTATCATCAGGTAATAACATAGTAGCTAAATTAAAATTAAATCTATGTGGTTTTTTCCCGCGTGCCACGAAATTTGCAGTTCCATTTTGTACAGGAACATTGTTTGACCAAAGATTAATTCCTAAAGAAATATTGAAAAAAAACATTATTATTAAGCATTCTTTAGTTATTTCTTATTCTATTATGATGAAAATAGTTTTAATAGAATACCTCGAAATATAACTTTAGTACAAAGTAATATTGTACTATCATCAACAATTACTTGTGTTGTTTGCTTTTGATATTCATCAATTACATCAGATATCGTGTTTCCTATTTCAAGATCAGCAACTTTAAATAAAAATATTATTAATGCCATTCTATATTGTATAGGAATCAGTAGAGTTTTAACTGTTTATGATGTTTTCTTTTATTTTTATGTACTCTTAGGAATATGAATACATTTATCAACATTAATGTTTTTTTTTTGCAATTTTCGAATGGCAGGTATAAGGAAAGAAGAGAAGACTAAATATAACTCCTAACAATATAAGCATACACGAAACGACAATCTAGCAAGAAGAAATAGTGTAAAAACGAATAATTTTGATCATTTTCTCTCTTCTATGACATTCTTTATTTTGATTTGCCTGAATTAATGATCATATGATTGTAGCCATTGATTTGTGTTGAAAGAAAAAAAGAAGAAATATGTATAGCAATGTATTTTTATTAAACTAACAATATCAGCCTTTTATTAAATGTGAAGAATTCAAGAGGTGTCTTGTTCTTGAGAAGTTTTTTCTGATGTTGTTTTTGTTGTTGTCGTCGATGAAGATGAAAATGAAGAGGTTGGTGGCACCAGATTATCACGAAATGATTCCAAACGGACCTATGGCAAATAATTTTAAAATCATTTTTCGCTTGATAAATATCAGTCTAGATCTATTTCTTGATAAAATTATTTTTTTCCTTTTTTGTCGAATTCATTCGAAATGCTTGGCACTGCTGATAAAATAGATTTCTTGATAATAAAAGGACACTCATTCATCATAGTATAATATAGGTATTTTTCTTTTCACAAAGCGTCTATTTCACATTGATAGAAAAAAGTCATTATTCAAATAAATGTTTGTTTCATTCAAAACAGAAACGAACTTATATAATGACTCTCATTTATATAAAAGAATTTTCTTCGAATTCATGTTTATTAATCAATGTCTCAGATAATTTCTTACTCGTTCAACAATCATCATAATGCCTTCTGGCAAATTTCGTTGAACATATTCGAGAAATGTATCAGCAGTTGAACCAGTTATATGTTTAAACTGAAAAAAAAGTAAAAATAACAAGGAGATAAGAAATCAAAAATATTTACATTAAATTTTTTATAATACGTTCGAATTTCATATTCTCGCCAATATTTTTTCTTAGCAAACTTTGATCGAAGTAAAGTCCATCGTTCTGTGAAAAAAGGAGGATTTTCACTAAAACATAGTTTTAAAAGATTAACCTGTTTGTTTTCAATATAAATATATTATTTACACATTAACAAGCTGTACAGCAAGTTCTGTAGAAACAAGACGAACGAATCGCTCATAACTTTCTAATACAGCTGGATCATGACCACGAACTTCTACACCTAGACGTTTATAAAGTTCATCACTACCAGATGGACGTTCAATATGTGGTCGAGGAGTAGCTGCAACGTTCAATTGTTTTTTTAACTAGATATTACAAGCAAAACAATTAATGCTGCAAAAAACGACAATGATTTGTACTCGAGCAGCAGTCGTGATCGATCGACAAGTTAACGATAATGCAGAGAATGGAATCTGTGAGGTTTTTAAAAGAAAAATTTGATTGACTACAGTTCGAGCTAACATCTGAAATACAAAAAAAAGAATCCAGCGATTGAATATATCAATATAACATTCATATTAACAGTAACTATAACTATTTAAACTAAATACTAAACTAGTAGCTAGCTTTGTAAAAACATAACCATTCATTATAGGTTAGTGATATACAATCAATAGAAGTATGATGAAATACCTCCATGTTGTCTCATTGATTAGTATTTCAGCGACATCTAACGAAAAGTATCAATAAAAATAGTAGAATAATATAATAAGATTGTGAAACCTAAATTTGTGTTTCGTATCAGAAAGAAAAAAGTATTTGTTCTATGGAATCATTTAGTCATCGTCTAAGAACCGAATCCTTCAACGTGAAATATTTGACAACTTATTCAATTATGTACATCTATTTGTCTACCATTTTATGTCAAATTGAACGGAGATCTAACCTGTAGCTGTAGTGTAGCACATTATATCATTTTATGTCAACATTAAAGAAAATGTTAAAAGACTGAATTATCCGGTCAGACTACTTTTCAAAAGTCTAATATACTACAGAAAAGCAATTGTCATATTTTTCATATTCTATTTGATATTTACTATCAATTGATGAGAGGTGTCCAAGGACTGAGGATTAGGAATTCCTCATCAGTTCCCCTACAACTCTTTGCATACTAAAGGTAAAAATATGGAATATTCACGATAATTTTTGTTCTTACACTCATTTTCACTTGCAAAATTGTGAGAATCAATAATTTCATGCAAAAATTATTTTTAAAGCAATAATATCACGACTTTCGTGAATGGTGGAACTGTGAATGAACCGATAGTTGATTCCCATTTTCTCTAGGAATTATCACAGCGACATTGGCAATTCCTCGGCACATTAGGAATTCCTATTTCTCAGTCCTTGGGTACTGCTGGATGTTTTAGGATCCGATAGAATCCGTCGTTGGATTAGTTGATTTGGGTATTGTTAGTTACCCAAGAAAGTATACGATACGAGAAACTATTAATCTGTTGAAAATTACATGTACACTTCTTTTTCTCGGGTTTTGTTATTGTATTTGGTCTTTTCTGTCGAGAAAAAATAATAAAGTTTGTCTTTTCCTTCGTCTATGCTATTTATTCATTGGCTACATCTATTCTGCACATAGAATAGAGAACTTAAAAATGAGAAAGCAACTCAAAGTATCATATATTGTAGTTTGTAGCTATTTTTGCTTTTTTCTGTTGTTTTCTCTTCGTATAATTCATTTGTGGATATGGGTGCCCACTAGCGTTTCCTTGTTTTTGATTGATTTGTTTCTGTTTCGTATGGCTTTATCTAATTTATCTAATACTAAATGCAACATGAGAGAAAGAGAGATATGCGATGCGATAGATATTACTTTCTTTGATTCCTTTATATTCCATTGTGAAAATAGCTTCAATATACTTATTTTTTTGTTTGAGTTGTATTTCAGACCCAATAAACTATTTCATAAATATAAATTGCACGTATAACTAAAGAAGAACGATGATAAATAATCTCAAATCTTCATCTGTATTCAGAGAAGGACAACAACAAACGAAACCGATCCGTCATTTTCTTCGTAAATTTCAAAATGATTGGTCAATGGATTTTTCTGCTATGCTCGCATATAATTTATTGATTACTCTGCTTCCAATAGCTGTTGCATTATTTGGAATTTTGGGCTTAATTTTAAAAAATTATCCTGTTGCACAGAATGAAATCAAAGATAAAATTATTCATTTGTTTCCAGCTGATAATACTACACAAACTGGAATGAAACAAGTAAATAGATTCAATTAGAAATAAACATAGTAGATGATGCTTCTCTTTTTTTTAGGTAGTGGATCTTGCATTTAATCAATTATCAAAAGATGCTGGCTTAATCTTAGCTATTGGAATCTTTTTTGCATTGTTTGGTTCGTCTCGATTATTTATTGCTATTGATAAATGTATGACGATTGTCTATCGTTTACCTCAAAGAACATTTCTACGACAAAATACATTAGCTTTTGGAATGCTTTTTCTATTTATTACAATTATTCCAGTGATGCTTGCGGCTAGTTCTGCTCCGTCAGTTTTAATAAGTATTATTCCAGGTGGTGGTAGTCGTTTTGGAACATTTTTTGTTGGAATAATTTTTTCATTAACAGTAGCATTTATTCTCTTTGAAAGTATTTATTGGCTTATACCGAATAAAAAAATGTCATTTAAAGTCACATGGTGTGGAGCATTGGTCGCTGCTTGTACACTTGAAGTGTTCATTATTTTGTTTCCATTATATGTACGACGATTCATGGGAAATTACGCAGGTTTATCAATCGTGTAAAATTTATTTTAGGTAAACATATTTTTATCCTTTTATTAGGACAAATTGGCTTTGCAGTCATTCTTCTTCTGTTCTTTTATTATTTTGCTACAATTCTTATTTTGGGTGCACAAATTAATGCATTCTTTTTTGATCATTATAAGCCATTAGTAGAAGGATTGGGTACATATATAAGTCAAATGCATCAAGAACACGGCGTTGGAGATATAAATAGACCTTTGTGCGACACTGAAACTGATAAATCTCATCATTTACCAACAACAACATCTGATCAATCATCGGATAGAAAGCTATGGTGGCATAAGTTATGGTCATCAAAAAATGCTTCGGTAACGAAACAAGAAGAAGAACAAAACAATATGCTTTGAAAATTTCTTTTCTTTTCTTTTTTCTTGTTTTTATGTAGAAACATTGTATATTCATGAATATGTAATCATAACACAAAGCTTAACACAAATATATTAAATGTTCTTGAAAAATTCATTCATTATTGAACGAATTGAAGAACTAAAATGATTTGATAATCTCTGCTGATTTAAAAAAATTGATTTATCAATTAGAATTCAAAAGTTAACTTAGCTCGACATGTAATCACTGTTTCAATATTGCATAATAATATGACAATATCCATAAATGATTTTATACAGAACAAAAGTCAGATATTTTACATCATTTTCAATAAATTTGACTAACTATTTCTTAATCTTTTCTAGTATTTGCGGAGACACTTTGTTATTTGATTAGTTAAACATTTATTCGAAATTTAATACTTTTTTCTCTAATTTATCAAATCTTGAAATATCCAATTACGGACATCATCTGATATCCTGAAATTAGTTCTTGAGTCGATGTTTACTTATTCAATTTGATTTGACACCCAACTTATTAGAAAAGAATCATTCAATGATGCTGCAACTGCTAAAAAATCTTGTAAAAATGAAGATTCATTTAAGTAAAAACACCAATTGAAACAATTGATTGACTCTAATATTTATTACTTTTTTTTCTCCAAAATGCAAATAAAATACTAGAGAACATTTTATAATAGCATAATTTCAATTGAAATTTAAAAAAAGATTAATTTTGTTATTTAAAACGACGAAAAATCAGTATTTCTTCATTTAAATGATAAGAATATAATGCTACAGAGTTCAAGTGAACTGAATCTTTTCAAAAAGCATACTGGAAATATACGAGCATGACATACGTATTTGTCCTACTTATAGATAAACGTATAATTATATATTTATTATGAGGTCTTTGTAATTATGATAGTATACATCAGATGTACATAAAGATCGAAAAAGCTGCAGTTTTTCACCTAAACTTTGCGATGTACAAAACTGCGATTTTACACAGAATTCTATGTAACGAAAGCAACTGATTGATGGAGAAAAGGCATGACTATGGTTAGATTGAATGGAGTATTTCAAATCTTAAGAAAAGTAAAGAATCAGATGAAACTGTTGCAACTCATATGGACGAAGCTTACAATGGAAGGTTGTGAAGTGTTAAGCAGTAAAATTGACCTTGTTCCGGCGAAATGATCACTCTCATCGAGAAACGAACGTATTTAAAAGATGAGCTGCCCATGGCTTACCTGGACAGAGATATTCGATTTTTCAGTAAGCTTTCTCTGCAGGACCTTACTTTCGAAGCAAAATCAAATTTTTGAATTTCGACCTGAAACTTTGTAAACATGAAAACTTCAATGAGACTAGTTCACAGAAAAAATTTCAGCATTTTTCGACAAATCCTCTTCGAGATGTCCATCTCTGAAAATATTGGCGTTTTTCTATAGAAGTTGCATATCTTGAGAATTTCATATCTCAATGAAAGATTGTTCAAAAATGCTGAAATTTTTTCTGTGAACTAGTCTCATTGAGGTTTTCATGTTTACAAAGTTTCAGGTCGAAATTCAAAATTTTGATCTTGCTTCGAAAGTAAGGTCCTGCAGAGAAAGCTTACTGAAAAATCGAATATCTCTGTCCAGGTAAGCCATGGGCAGCTCATCTTTTAAATAGGTTAGTTTCTCGATGAGAGTGATCATTTCCCCGGAACAAGGTCAATTTTACTGCTTAACAGTTCACAACCTTCCATTGTAAGAAATTGTTTTGTGGGCATATTTTTCTATGTGGAAGTGAAATCATATATGATGCCAAACAAAATAATGTTTCAATGATTAAAAAACATATACTAAGTTGATCCAAAAGCTACAACGAATCACATCGAATTCATCATATCCAATATAGGTTGAATATTAAAATAATCGTATATTGATTAAGAATCCTACATACATATTATATGAATGATTTACGTATATTATTTATGATACATTGTGCGTGATTATTTATGGATTTTTCGACTCAATACATCTAGTTCTTAATTATTGTTACACTATTCTGTTTTTCATCGTAAATAATTTATGGATCTATGATTTTGTTATATAAAATAAAGTGAACTGATAGTACATTAACTTTCATTTTTAGTGAGATATCATATACAAAGAAAGAAAGAATATGGTCCGAACAGTAGCCAAAAAAATTTATGTCAACTAAATAATTTCTCTCATTAATAAACTACGTGGGCTAGACTGATTATTTAATGAAAATCTCTTAAATACATACCATTATAACAAGTAAATTAATACGTATGTGAAATATTTCTATACATCAAAAAGAAAAACAACATAATTTGAAAATATCTTCAAATATCGTTACCAAGCCAATGTATTCATTCGACTTTGAAGTGCGATTGAAGTTCTTTCTTCCTAGTTAGTTAAATCAGTATGTAACTATAAGATATATGGATCTACGTATAATTCTCTGTTACTTCGTGTAACACATAGGAAAGAATCAGTTTCCAGTTATTTGCAAATTAATAGTTGTTTTTCTTACGTATATTTTTGAATATCTTTTTTAATACGTCTACAGACAAAAGAATCTATCACAACGAGAGAAAAAAATAACTTTAACAAGAACAAACACATACAACATGCATAAGAAGGAACACAAAGAGAAAAATAGCACCGGTCAAGATCTATACAATAATCTGCGTCTGACATTTGATTTTCTCTGATAAAGTTTATTCGAACAAAAGTAATAAATATATTCAATAGGGATGATATGCATTTATATTATATCGAAAACGTTTCATAGGTGGTGCAGGAGGTTCTCCGTATCGTTTATTATTTATATTAGATAGATCTTGTTGTGGATGATAGAAGAGAGGTGTTTGCTGTTGAGGATAATATGAAGAATTGTTAGCGAAAGTTGAAGAATATTGATGTTGAAAATGTTGACCATGCAATGATGGTGCAGGCAGACGAAAAAATTGTTGGTTCGGAGATGAAGATGGATACTTAAGAATAGGAGTAGAAAAACGTAAATGTTGACCAGAGGCAGCATAATTATCATACGAATTCGTATTCGAGTTCAATGATGTCATTAATGTTGGAATTGGTTTTGCTGACGACATAATCATTGATGAATTAGTTGTATCTAATTACAAAAAGAAGCAAAAAAAAGATTCTGTATTTCCCTCTATGTATGTATATGTCATTACGATTTTTTTCGCTGATATTATTTTGATTTTGTTTTGGTGAAACTGATGGTTGAATGATTGTCGTTGGTGAATTGACAATTGGTCTCGACAATGGTGAATATTCATTACGAGAAAAATTCATTAAGGATGATTGATTTGGCGTACGATGATGAGTTTCTATTGATGCAGACATTGGCCCTATATAAAAGTTTAAAATAATAGATAAAACTTTGCATTCATTTTACTATATTCACAAAATTTTAATGGTTGTTGTTGTTGACTCAGTGATGAAGACAATGTTGTACTCCGTACTGAACCAATCGTTGTCGCTTTTACATAATGATTTTGCTCATTATCATGCTGCGATGTTGTTACATTTGATTGTTCATAATCTATATATAAAAGAAACACACAGAGACTGATGAAATTAGTTTTCGCTAGAAACTAACTTGATTTCGATTTAATTTGTTGACAATTGAATCTCTATAAAACATAAAGTTTTCTTAACATTCATCCATAAAAACCTTTTCTTACTGTTTGCTGTCGAATTTGTTCAAAACGTTCTTCAGATTTTTTCAAACATTTTTCCATACAAATTAACTTATAATCATCAACAAGTTCTATTAAAAATAAAATAGCAAATTCGAATACAAAGGTATAACCCTATTAATTTAACCTTGAAGTAATTTTTCAGTAAATTCTTCGTTAAGTAAATGAAACCATTGACTTCCATCTTGATTGTCTGGCATCTAAATTATATACAAAAGATTTAAATTACTCAAGAATAAATAAAAATAAAGTACATTAAATTGAGACGATGTTATAGCCATATAAAGTGCAAAACAGGCAATTAAATTCGTTGTATATTTCATTGAAAAAACAGTAAAAAAAATACTATTACAAAATTGTAGAACATAAGAAAAAACAAAAGATTATGTTCTCTTACCATTTTGTAGCAATTTCACACGCTGTCTGAGCTATTTCTTTGGGTACTAAGATTAATTAAAATAGTCAAATGAGAATTCTTTTATTTTTAGTTTACTTGATAATGTTTGAGAAGTTCTCGTTATAATCATATATGGTTGATCAACATTGAGACAAAAACCTTCGTAGAAAAAAAAATCTACAAAATTTATTTGCGCATTAAAATAACAAACCAAGAGTAGATAATAATATGTTTTCATAGTCAATTATTTGTTGATTGTAATTTGAAAGACCCTAAAAATTCTTTTCGTTTTTTTATGTACTTGATAAACTTAACAGTATTTTTGACTGACTTCAGATGTAATATTTCCTGCTGTTGCTATTGATGAAGATGTGGATGAAAAATTATCACTGCTATTACTTATTTGATTGACAAGTTGACATAGATGTCGAGTAAATTCATTTAATGGTCGCGGTATTTCATTGACTTTACAGGCAAGAAAAAGACATGCAGCTGCTACTGACTAAAAAGTAGATTATTAGTAACATTCATTGAACAAAAATGCAAAGAAATAGGTCTCATTCAAAGAATGCAAGAATTTTTCAGTACATTGATATCGAATGCAATAAACATTCTCTTAAATGAACACTTTCCACGATCTTGAGATGTGTGCAGTATTAGTTGAGTGTTGTTCATCTGCGTGAGAATTCATATATTTTGCAAAGATATGAATTCAGTTTCGTCACTTAATTGTAAGTAACTAGAGACTCGCGTTTATGTTATTCATATTTTTTTCATCCGAATATTGATGAATTCAAAAATATTCTGACAAAATTTAAAAAATAGCCATGTCTCGGTTTTGAAACGTTGTGTATCCTTGCTTTTCTCTTGAGATATATCAATTAATCAATTCCGCTTTACAAATTCATCTAAAGACAGATTCGGCAAGCTGTATTGTGTTATCTATTTCGAGTATTAGTCTAAGATTTTGCTTATTACAATTGACATAGCAATATTTATGTTATTTTTTTATTCTAAAATATTATATTTACTAGATAACTCATATTTTAATGAGCTATTAGAATCCCAGGTCGAACAGTCCGGCCTGGAAACGACCGGTTCCGAGTAGTTCCGTTGATTTTGTGGAAGCAGTATTCCGGTTGGAAATATTTCGGATTTTTTCCGGTGATTTCCGATCAATTCCTGCCGGAAAGCACCGGAACTTGGCAGGAATTCGTCGGAAAAGTCCGGCCGTATTTTTGACCGGAATACTGCTTCCATGTTCCAGTGATTTTCTGTGTTTTCCTGCAGGATATGGTGACTTTCCCGCATATTCCCTGGAGTATCCTACGGGATCCGGTGCCCGGAATGTTCGACCTGGGACATTGTTATCATTATTTAACTGAATTGTTTTTGAAATTAATATAAAAAATGATTGCAATATTCTTTGTTTTTTAGGATGCTTGCAGTACTTCTAATGCAACGGACACAAATAATGAAAATAATAGTGTAAAACAGAGCAGGTACGTGCTTATTTTTGGAAATAAAAGAGTTCAGCGTAGTTAGCAGAATTGGAAAAGTAATGATTAAATTCAGAACAGGTAAATGTTTACGAATAGAAATTTGATTCTATGTTTCTATTTATCAATCATAAAATATTCTATATAGTGATAATAGTTGCTTCGTTAGAGATAAACTGAATATAATTCAAGATTAGAAAGCTGTAATAGTCATTAGTAATATCCAAGAAAAGCTTTGCTTTAATTTTATGTACTTGTACAGTTGAATCTAGAGTTACTGTAGAGATCTGTGTTTCTTTTTTGATGGTTAGTTCATAACTTTTGAATGATCTTACTGAACAGATATGTTGATTATGAAAAATTTAATATAATAAATTCATCGTCTGATGTAGACGTTATGAATTAGTTTCGAGGAAAGTTTTTTTTTCTCTAATTACTCGATATGATGACAACCTGTCAACCTTGAAATAGATAATTTTGACAAAAACTAATATTGAAAAATATTTAACTGTTTTTCAATAGTGGAAATTCATTTTCTTTTAAAGTATGATTAATAGATTCTTTTTAATGGACTATTCTTTGCCCGATATTGCTACCACTTAAAATATTGGAAATGTTAAAAATATTATTGTATGGTGAACAACTCAAAATTCGTAAGAAAGATTATACTCAAGTCTTTCAAACAAAAGTTGTTTCTGTACAATGGTAGTGCAATGCAGTAGAATAGAAGAGAGAAAAAATATTATTGAAAAGTTTCACTTCATTAGATAAATATTTCATTTAACGACTAGTTGGTCTATAAAATTTTAAAAAAACAAAATTTGTCACCGAACATATCTAATGTGGCAAACAACCATTTTTAACTGTTATAATATACTGATTTTCTTACTTCTTTGATACATTGTTGAAATGGGTGTAACATAAAAAATCGATGCATATAAATGACACCGGTGAAAATGCAAGTAAACGACCTATAGAAATAGGATATATTATAGCAAATATAATTGCTTAATTTACTTACACATTAAGATGTAAACCTAGATCATAAATAAGAATAGCTAATTCTTGTCGCTTCATAAGTTCATCATTGATATTTAATGGTTGAATATTAGATGTGAATGATCGTTTTGAAATACAACTAGGTAAGCTATCGAATTTTTTCGGTGGAAAACGCCAAATAAAATTTGATTTGCATATTGAGGATGATGATGATGATGGTGAATGCGAATGAAGAGACGTTTTTGGTAGAATTTTTGGAAATGATGACGACGACATATATCAAAAAAAAATGAAAAGAGACACGAATAAATAAAAAAATATGAATTACATATCATTTTAGTACTTATATTTATCTTTCAAAATCTTTTGCAAGAAAAAGCTTCGTACTTTGCCAAAAGAACCGATTTAACTAGTGTAATTTATAAAGATTTCTATTCAATGTTATTTAATATCAATTCAAATCCACTACAATCAAAAGTTAATGTTGACCTTGAGAATCGATCGATGAATTTATTCCATATATATATATATATATATATATATATCTTATATCTTATATCTTACATGAAAAGTAACCTATTGATTTAGATACTGGGAAATTTCTAGTGTTCTTAAATTTATTGAATATTTTCCTTCCAATAACCACAAAATATTTATTTGAAAAAATCTTTTAAAATCGAAGAGGTCATCATATTTTGGATTAATTATTGTAGCTGCATTTATTACTACGCCTTATTTTCAACTACCGAATACTGAAAATACACGGATTAGAATAGAGCACTCATTAAAAGCGATAATTCTTAATTTTTCATTGAATAAAGACTGTATGAATTGGTAACATACATCAGTTATATTAATCATAGATTTTTTCTTTGTTTATAACATAATCCCAAAAAAAGAATAAACAACAAACAAAGAAAAACACAGTCCGTCTTAAGGTGATAGCAATATAAAAAAAAAGAACACGTACATCGGAAAAAAACACAAAATATGTATATATATATAATTATATAAATAATAAAGATAACGGTAATAAATAAGAAACGACATGTTAATTGAAAGAAAACGAAATTTGTTGATCACACTTCTTCCTTATGTCGTCTTGCTGATTTCAGTGCAACAAATTCTCTTGCTAATTCATCATTTGTTCTATGCGATAATATCCTTAATATCGTTAAACCAGTATCATCAAAATTAATACGAGAACCGAGTGGCACCCATGATGACCATGAACCTTGCTCACATACTTGTAATAATTTTATAACATTTAACCCAATAATACGATCTTCACGCATAAATGAATAATCCTTTACAGCAATATTTAATTCATAACAATCCGGTTCTTCTTCATTGCCCAATAAACTAAAATAAGAAAATTTTCTTTTTAATAACCAAAAAGAGAAGAAAAGAAAAACAAGAACTTCGAACAACTTACAAATGAAATGTTTCATTATATTTTGGTATCCATGTATTACTTTTTGTTTTTGTTGTTTGTTTACGTTTTTTATCACTTAAATGTGGACCACACATAGCTAATTCAACATATGGACGAAACATTCCCGACGTACGCCATTTAAGACCATTTGCAGCCACAACTAAAATAATTATGATTGAAAAACAAATACAAAAAAAAAAGACTTTATTTGTTTATTCTACCTTTTACAGTAACTTTATGTTCGCCACTACCCGGATGTGTAAATAAATCAACTTGAATCGATACTTCACCAAAAGATTCTTCTAATGCTGGTCGATCTTTAATGAAACAAAGATAAGAAGAAAGGAAAGCAAAAGAAAAGAATTAACATAAATCAATATGAAATTATTCTTTTACCTTGATCTCTTTCAGTTTTAACAAATGTTTTAATTAATGAATCAGTTGTTTGCGTGTATAATGAAAGTGCATATTTAAGTGATTGCAATTCTAGCGTTTTTTCTAAATAATTTCTTTTTAAACCTTGTCCGGATGCATGAAAAAATTCTTTTAAATCTTCTAAACCACGATCTAATATTTGACATTGTTTTTGAGTTAAACTTCGATCAGTATCTCGTCCTAATTCCTATTTATTTCCAGAAATTTTCTTATGTATTTATTGAGATAAACAAATAACAAACCCCAGATAAAAGTCGATAAGCATCTTCTATTCTTGCCGATGGAATTGTTAAAAGATGTTTGGAATCTGAGAATGGTGGTAAAACAATAACTTTTTCTAAATCACTGATAACAGCTTTCCATAATTCTTTTAGAAGACGTTTCAGTACTGTTTTTTCACACTGATTTGCGAAGAAAGTTAATCTAATAGAAAAGAAAATCAATTAATGTCAAAGTTATATAATAATTCAAAAGTTTATCATCAATTTATTCAATAGTATTAAATCTATTGAATAGTGTCGAGTCATTACTGTTTTTTTTTAACATTTATCTATCGTAAAAATTGTGTTCATGTCTATAGTTAATTTCGCATTTTTTTTTATTTGATTACAAAAGACAATGTTAGGAAAAATGATTCGATCCAAAATAATTCAATAGTAATTAGATAATACGATATTCTATTTTCATGAATTAAACATTTTCAACTATATATTACATAGAACATTCATTTGAAATCTTTTTCGAATAAAACTTGAAGGAATTTCATACAATGACTTAGAAAAATTCTCGAAACATTTTATTTTCATCCAAAATATACATTTACAAATTATAATTCGAATTTCTTTCGGTATTTATCTTATAATCAACGAGATCACTATGACAATAGAATAGTAAAATTAAGTTTTGTTTTTTGGTTCATTTATATATTATTACACTGAGAAGAAAAGATCTTCTACAGAAAAGCGAATACTATATATTTATATATTGAACAGTTTTGAAAATGCTTTTATTTAATATTCTTTTAATTTCTTCTAGTAAAAAAATTTCTATATCTATCTCAAAAATAAAAGCTTCTGCGTTTGTTTTCAATTTCAAATACTTGATAAAAGAGTCAAAAGACAATTAGTTTTATAAAAATATTTCTGTTAAGATCTTATTAGAAAAGTTCATTTCGAAAGTATTGAACTGAAATATTTTACTCGTTGAAAAATCGGTAGTTAAATCTCTATTGAATGTTTGAAGTAAAATGATTTAGTCAGTATTATTTAACAAATATGTAGATCTACTCATTAGAAAGTTTCCTATTTTTATATGATGCTATAAATAAACCACAGACTGTGATTATATAATATGTACTAGCTTTTGGTTTGAAGACATTGTTATTTTGTGTTTTCGAATTAAAAATTTAATTACCATTATCTAGTTGAGATATTTCATTACTTATGACAATAATAATCTTAGGATAATTGAATCTTAATATACTAGACAAGATCTTCTTATATTCTCTACTCGTTCATATGAACTGTTAAACTATTGAAGACTATAGATTGTTTTTTTAGCCAAATATTTCTAAATGGATTCAATTTAAATTATTTCGATAAAGAGCTATTAAGGTTTATAAAAAGAAAGATTAATTTTTGAATACCTTTGATCAAGATAATCTAATAATGCTTTTGTAACAAGCATAGCATCAGCACCTTTTTGTTGCCCACTAGTATTTCCCGTACCAATTTGGTTTCCTTTAATTTGTTGTAATTGTTTATAAACTTCTTCAATACATTGTCTAATAGTTGGTTCAATACTTTTAACAAATGTTGCACTTAATTCATCAAGAACATCACTCAATTGTTTTTGCAAATCATTAAGCATCGCTTTCGTTTCATCATCTAATTGTGCTCCACCCATTAGCTCATATAGCTGTTCTAAATTTAATCTTAATTGTTGAATATTATTCATTAGTATAGAACAAATTCTATCTTGTCCTCCAACATTTTCAAATGTTCGACGTATTGCATTTGCATAGCCAAGTAAAACTTGTGATATCGTTACAGAAAAGCGTTTCATATATTTTGCTATAACAAGTGGATCATGTAGATCAAGAGTTTTTATTATTCCATGACATTGATTTAATTGTGTAAATACATCAACAACAGATGGAGAAAATAAACAATGTTCAGATGTTTGTTGATACTAAAAATATGAAAAAGTATCACTTTAGTTAACTAAAATGAATTCAAATATGCAACTTACGCCTGTTTGTCGATCTTTTTCAAGAGCATTATGAAGATATTCCATAGACATATCATCATTTTCATTAAGCCATTGCATCACAAATGGTTCAAACCATCTTAAGAAAAACAAATTTTAAATATATTTTATTTTCTATATTCAAAAATCAAATAACTCTAAGACTATTGAAATCGTGCTATTCTTTTTTCAACTTTTGACTGCGTTCAATCACGCGGACAGAGTATGCACGTTTTCTCCTGTATTCTTTCAACATATTTTTAGAGTTTTAAGCGTATATGAACTGTATACGAGTATTGATTATTACAAAATAAAAGATGAATAAAATAGGAAAGAATATAAATTACTTAGGATATTCTGGAACAGCATTTTTTGCTTCGGGAATTATTTTAACTGATGTATCATAAAATCGTTTGACCATAAAGTGAAGATTCATATAATCAGCACTTTTTACGTCACGACGTTCAGCGAGAATTCGACCATGTTCTAATAATAATAAAAAAGAAATTTTTATTTCGATGAAGATTTATCTTCAATTGCAAAATGTCGCAAAAAAAGAAAAATTAGTAATTGGATATACTTGTAAAGTTTGTAAATTGTTGTTACTGATTTTTAACTGTGTAACTGTGAATTAATTATTTCATGAAATTAAACGAAATATTTTGAAATTAATTAATTTTTTTGCATGAAAATCACGACAAAGAACTTTCCCTAGATTAAATTTATGAACATTTTTGAATTGTACAATTCTACAGACATTATTGCATATAATTAAATATGATAATAGAATTAATATAACAAGAACTAGCATTGATTGATGCCTCCGAATTCGTTAAGATTTGCCTTTAGAATCTATGAATTATGCGACAAGCTATGCGAAAACGTTTATATTGCAATCAATATAGCCAATAGAAACCTAGTGAATATTTGCGTTATTAATAATATTTTTAATCAATCTATATTTCAATTTAACATAGAAGATATTAATTTATCCTATTTAGATTATTAACATTTAAAATTTCGAAGGATTTAAATTCGTAAAAATGCTCATTGCGAATTTTAAATATCAAAAATGAAAATGCAATCAATATAACATCAAGTATTTTAATTTTAATTTTAACATTACTGTATACTTCACAGTTCGAGTAAAAACAATTTT